TCCTTAGTTTAAACTTACTTTTTTTATTATTTTCCACATAAAAATCAATACATTTTAATCAGCTTAAATCTCTGCCAACTAAATTCTCCCCCTACACTTGTGATTTTTATTTTTCTGTTAATCCCTTTGCAGCTCCTGCCTGCCCATACACAAGAATTATCAGCTGCAGTCCCACACGAATCATATGAAATATGTAGATGATGACATATGGCCTCAATGTTGGACCGCTAAATATATCAAAATTTATAGCCCGTGCCCAGAGGTAACCCAAATAATAAAAAAGAATATATAGAAAATAATCAACTCACCTGCCACCCTCAACTCGAGCACACTTACCTCTTTATTTGAGCCCACTTATTTATAAAAACAGGCACGCACCCATATATATCACTCGGATATATATATGTGCACTCGTGTATATAATAATGTCGAGCAAAACCAATCGCTGATGTGAGACTGAGACGTCTCAGATGCGTTGGCGTTTTGTCAACATTTATGGGAGGGAAGGAGGACCATCCATCCACATGGGAACCTGATTCAGCGGCCAGACTCTGCAGCAGAAATCACTTTGATGAGCATCAGCATTGACATGTCGTTGAAATTATTGCCCGACTGTCGGTTGGCATCCACATTTATTCACTCAGCGCGCTTTTTGAGTGGCCTTTTATAATTGGCACTCGGACAGCACAGGAGGAGGAGTTTGGCATTTGTGGGTGGTTTTCTGTGTGCGACACCAAATCCCGAACCTAAACCCTCTCAGAATCAATATTTATACGTCTCTCGCCTCCGTGCCCTGTGTGATCTGACCCCAACAAGTTCGTCCCGGCCAGCCATGATGAGTTAATGCCGCCGCCAACAGTCAGCCATTAGACGGACCAGTGGACACACCAATCCCCCAGAATCCCGCTTTACCCCATTTACACTGCATGTCGCCCTGTCATGTCGAATGTCCATTGATGTTGCACGGAGAGAAATTGGGGAGTATTAGGATTATTAGATTTTATATGAATGAGTTTATTGCTGAATTAAGATGCAACTTTTGGCATTTAAAGTAAACTTAACTTTTTAAATATTTTATTTTTTGGGAAGACATTAGAATTACACCTTTGAATGAACTTTAAACTCGTAGTTATATTCTTCACTATAAATTCTCTATTATTTTAAAGTAATATTCTTTCACTACCCCTATTTTTTCTCTATGTATGTTACTGTCCATGGAGATTTGCATTGGTTATTAGCTCAGCTGCTCATCGGGACCTTCCATATTCGCGTGTGTGTGTGTGTGTGTGTGCGTTGTCTGCGGTTTCGATTTTGTTGACAATTTGTAGCGTAATTAATTGAACCAAAATTAATAAAAACAACAACAAGCCGTCAAGCAAACAGACAGACGATGACGACAGCAGAGCTTTGCTGTTTGGTTTGTTGCTACGGTTGTTTATTGTTTGTTGTTTGTTGCTGGGGGGACAGATTACAATTGGCAGCGCCAAGTGATACATAATGTTACGAGTAAATGACTCGACTAACGGGGGCTGAAGCTAAAATATAAAATCACGTTCTTCGCAGCAGCAGCAGCAACACCACCATCGCTCACGATTAGCCACGATCTCTGGCGGTTGCCATTTGGCTGGATGGCTGGCTGCCTGGCTGCTGTTATTATATTGGCGGGTTCACTTGGCTTTGGCTCTTTGGCAGTTTCACTTTTCGCCTCCTTGTGATTTGTTAAGCCTTGTCAACGCTCCGACATATCCATTATTCTTCACACACGATTAGTTTTCGTTTCTCATATGTTAACCATAGTTTGCCAGTTTTGCGCTTTTCATGGCTAATAAGCGTTGATTGATATGAACAGGCCAAGCATTTAGCTGAAAGTGATCCATGTTTATGTCAATGGGTATTCAAGTCGAAATTGGATTTGCATTTAACTGGATTTTGGTTAAATTGAACTATTAAATGTACATAATATGCATACAACAATTTTATAAATTAAAAGGGATTTGTTAAGAGAAGGCCATAATATCTTAATTTAAGATTATAGAAATATATAGAATTGTTAGTTATTATAAAAGGAAATAAAATATTTCCTTAGGAATAGTTTCTTTCAATAAATAAAGTCACAGATGCCTCAAAATAATTCTTAAAAATGTTTTTATATTTCTAAGAAATATTTTAATTGTTATTTCTTTCTACCCTATTACAATTAAATCTTTATTCTTATTATTTCTTTAACTATTTTACTAATATTATATACCATTTTCTCTAAGCCATATTTGAAAATCAAACTTTGTTTTTAAAGAATGTATTTATTTAAATTTGACTGCATTAATTGCCTATTGTCAACTAGCAAACTGTTTATTTTATCTATGATTTTTTCCAGAGAGTCTTTACTATGCCATTCATAAATATACCAACTGATTCATATCACCCACGCGACCCTCACTTATGCAAATTACAAATGCAAATTTAAATGCGTACAAAATTAATTAAACATAAACATAAAAAACAAAAAAAAATAATGAAAAACAACGAACCAGCCTGGTGAACTACAGCTTAATCGTTCGGCATTTCCGCTCGTCCAATTCCACTCAAAATAGCCAGCTTCCACTTCCCAAAACAAAAAAAAAAAAAAAAACATATAAATAAACTAAGAGAACCAGAAGAGAGAGGGCCCGAACGCAATGTGCAGGTGGTTATGGCCATGAGGGAGCGTGGGCCGGGCCAAGTCGAGTGTATTTCCGCTTGAAAGCGGCAATAACGATATTTGTAATAATAAATTTACGTGAAATATAAAATAAAATCAACGTTGACTCAAGTCTCCACTGGCCGCCCACTCGGCGACACCAACGCATTGTTTGAGACTGCAGACTGAGTTAACAACCGGCAACAGGCAGAGCAACAACAACAACAAGCCACTAAGAAACACGGCCCAGAAGCTCAGCTTGGCCCGAAGCCCCGACGATGCTCACAATTAGCCAGCTGAGAGAGTCTTTTTTTCGCTTTCTCACCGCTTTCCCAAGCGGGGGCCATAAATGGTCACAGACACGTCTCAGAGACTTCCTAAGCGGGCTCACCAGCAATCGGGCAATCCGAAACCAGCCGCCAGGAGGGGAACCGGAGACGGAGAAGCCAATGGTCTAGTCCCCCGGATCGAACTTGGCGGGCATCGCGCTTTGTGACCATATAGAGGCAAATGCGATTTCCGAAGCTGGCAATTAAAAGCCAAAGCCAAAGTGGAAGCTTAGAACATTTGCATAAGCAATGGTACGACATGGCAGGTGGCACACGGGGGTTTTACTCTCTAAAATAAATGTAATAAATGTTAATAAGTAAATGCAATATGAATAGGTATTAAATAATAAAGAAAGATTGTAAATAATATATATACCTGGGGTTATAACAATTTTTAAGCATTTTTAGATATTTTACTTCACAAAAGTTCACCTTATTTATATTTTTTAAATTTTATACAATTATAACTAAGCATAATTTTTACAAATATTAAAATTAATGTAGGTTTTCTAAAGAGAAAGACTTTCATAAACATGAGCCTCATAAATTTTATGTTAATTTTGAATTTAATTTAAATTTTTAAAATTATATCTTTAAATTTAAACACTATTTAGAAGCTTATAAAATTTCTTATACAGTTTAAATTTAAAGAAAAAAAAACATCCACTTTGTAAGATCCTCTTTTCCCTGCTATGCCTTAAAAGTATGCTGTTTTTATTGCTGTGTATTTTCGGACACAACCATAACTTGATCATAAAACAAACATTCAAATGTGACGTTTGTTTTTTTAATTATGGCTCGCCTATTCATGTTCTTGTCTTTGGGAGTCGACATCGTCGACCGACAGATTAAGCTGTCAGCCGAAAACACAACACCATTGGCCAATTTGTATATATTTAAAACTATATATAGTATATTCAGTTAATCAAAATTGCGCTCGTACATATATAATTTTCAGCTCATTTTGGAACTGCCACGGCATTCGCACGCAAATCAAATTAATGTTGCATGCGTTACTATTTCACTCTCTTCATTCGTGCGACGGCGGCGGCGGCGACCTTGTGCCATGAAAAATGTTTGCTCTTTTGAGGAAAAATTATAATCAAATTTAACTGTTGTCATCATGATTTATTTACCCAAAGAACAAAACACGACAAACGATGACGGAGTCGCCGGAGTCGGACACAGAAGCACAAAGATAAATTAATCGTCAGTCAGTCACTCACTCACAGAGTCGATCGGTCTGGTCTATTGCCCAAAGCAAATTACTTACAAGTGCTCATATTCATGTATGTGGTCATATAGCTATATGGGAGCGATATATCGGAGCTCAAGAGTTTAAGCTGAACTGATTGGAAGCAGAGGTGGTATGTCGTCATGGCAAAAACAATAAGAACACAACGGCAGCTTGTTTCGCCTGCAGGAGCAAATCCATTTTGCAATTATTTGCCTGTTGTCAGTTAATTATAATTATTTGTGAAGCAACAAAATGCACAGAACAAAAACCTATAAAAAAAACAACAACTATAAACACAATGATTTGCTAAACAAAAAGAAACTGAACAACAACAATATCGAGTTTCGCAGCAAAATGAAATGTGACTTTGAAATCGGCTTAACAATTTGTAATTAGAAGCGAAGCGAAAACAACTTGAGAAGTATACACACCCCATTCATACATCAACTCGGAGATTGATTGTAGCGAATTGGAATAAATCATAAAATCGAAATAATATTAATCAAATTTATATAACTTTATAGGAGCTATAGCTTTGAGAGGTTTTTTAAGAAGCGTTGCACTTTTCTTTATATATCCTAACCCTTTTTTTTGTTAGAAAATTCAAAAGGACTCTATGAATATATATAAATATATATATGTAAATGAATATATATTTTCAAAGTAAATCTGACTAAATCTTAGTTTTAAAACTTCTCGTAACCCCTTTAAAATATAATTTTCCTTGAACTTTACTTGGCCATGCATTATAATTTCAACTCCAAATCAAAGATAATCCAAATAAATATCCAAAAGTGAGTATCATTTATGGTTGGGCAACAAAAGTTCACCGCTGAAATGGAGCTAGGTAGCTGATACCATCTCAATCAAAGATGAATAAACATTTTTAACTATTTTCAAGTGAGCTCCATCCCTCCCGCTCCCAACACAATGTTTGACTTGTACAAATGAATGTCAAATGCTGCTGCAGCACAGTTGTCTGAGTCTGAGTAGCAAATAAAATTAGCAATAAATTTAAATAAATAACTGACTGGCGATATTAGATCATACCAAATCTCAGGGGGCCCCTAGAGCATGGAGCTCAAGCAAAACTCACTCAAAACACTCGAAACGAAACCGAAAATTTGAATTGAAAAAGACTCAAGAGAGCGGAAAGACCCACTGGGACCCGATACTACACGATACCCAAACGATCCATGCCGATCTCCGATCCATTCCGATCCGATGCGATGCGATGCGGCCAACGCAAAAGGCACCCACACATTGGGTAGATTCGGGGAAAGAGAGAACTGGTTTCTCTTCAATGACGTTGTGTTGGCGTTGGCGAGCGCCAGTGGGTTTCTCGGTTTATTGGTCGCCGCGGAGACTTCGTATCTGTAAGTGCGAGTATCTGCGAGATACCGCTGCCTTTTAATGCGGCATTTCATTCATTGATCGTTCCAATAGCACACCGCACGCTCAGCGCACCAGACAAGTGAACCGATCGGATCTGAGCCCGACTTCCACTTCCACTTCCAGCCTCTATGTGTGGGCGATCCCGATTCCGATCCCGATTCCGATCCCTCTCAGAATAGGCCACGACAAGCTCACTGGCCTGGCTAACGGAGTCAAAGCCAAGTGGCTCAGCTGATGCTAGCTGGCAGGCTGGCTGGCTGGCTGGCACTCATCTCGGGCGACATTGACGATCGAGATATATCTTTTTAGTGCACAGCGGACAAGCGCAGCAAGCAGACGCAGCGCGCGCAGCATTTTCTCCGTGTCTTCCGTCGGGTTATTGGATACAACAGATACAGATACAGATATAGCCGCCGCTAAAGATACACAGCCGCTCGGCGCGTACTCATAGATATTTTTAGCAGCCGGCCTCACGCATATAGTCCCCGTCGCACTGACACACGCGGCTTGCACGTTTTGGAAAATACACTCGTTCGTTCCTCAAGGCTTTTCCTGCTCCTCGGAAAATCCAACAAAAACTCTGTGAAAAAAGCCAAGTTCTTATCAATAATTAAATCGCCGAAAAAACCGAAAAGGAACCAACTCAATTCAACCAAAACAAAAACACGCACAAAACGTCTCACAAACAAGTTTCAAATCGCTTCGAGGAAATAAAACTGAAAACAATAATTTTTGTTGTGTTAATATGCCAAATTTATGCATGAGCTAAACAACTTTAATTCAAAAAAAAAAAACAGCAAAACTAAAAAAAGAAGCAACGCAAAGATTGAATATCAAAATTCGTTGGGTGACTAATTAGTTGATACGTCGTCGGAATTTCAATTTGCATACTTTAATGAGCCCGAAATTAAAATAAAATCATCGACAAATCTTAATCAGAGTGCACAGTCCAAAATTAAAAAAGATTTAAAAACCTACAAAAGCCACAAACATCAGCCATACACATTGTTGGATTTATAAAATCAAAAAGGTAAATATACCTCTGCCATTTATCAGACATACATAGGGAGAAAGATATGGAAACAACAAAAAATTCTTCAATAAAAATAGACAAAAAGCATTCCTTGGCCAATCGCAAGAGTGGGTGGGTGGGCGCTGGCGGGGGGAAGGCTTTTCGAGCAACTTCTGAAACATTTATTTGTCCAAGGTGTTGAAAAGCCCGACATTTGGGCTGGGGAGAGCATTCTAAGGAGAGAAAACTGCGACGACAGCAGCTTGTCAACTGATTTTGAAAGGTTACCAAAAGGAAAGCCAACAACTTGGAACCATTTTGTTTGTGGTTACAAGGGAGGAGAAACATTTTAATTAATGTGTAAGCAGAAGCTGTGAATTTGTTATCAATGAAAACAGGATTTCTGTCACTGATATTTGAACTTAAAGCTTAGTTTAACAAAGCAATATTTGTTAGTTACTTTATCTGTATTAAGACTGTATAAATGAAGATAAATAACCATTCAGTGAATAATTATGAAATTATATTACAGAGAACAAGAAAGGAAGCTAACTTCGGCACGCCGAAGTTTCTATACCCTTGCAGATATTATTTCATTACATTTTACCTACGTATACTTATTATGTTTACAGTTTGACAGTTACAGTTTTGCATTCCCAGCTTTATATTTTATCTACATCTACCGATCGTTTATATGGCAGCTATATGATATAGTTGTCCGATTTTTATGAAATTCATACCAAAATTCTGAAATAATAAAATAAGACTATATCTCAGAGTAGATGAAAATACGTTGAAAAACAACGAAGTTATAATTTTTTTCTATTAATTTCCTGATCGTTCCTATGGCAGCTATATGATATAGTCGTCTGATTTTCATAAAATTTTTACCAAAATTCAGAAATAATATAAAATGGTCATATGTAAAAAATAGTGCACATATGTTGAAAAACAGCTAAGTTATAATTTTTTTTCTAAAAATTTATTGAACATTTGTATGGCAGCTATATGATATAGTCGTCCGATCCGGCTCGTTCCGACATATATAGCAGTGAGAGCATATAGAAGACTATATGCAAAGTTTCATTCAGATAGCTTTAAAACTGAGGGACTAGTTTGCGTAGAAACAGACAGACGGACAGACAGACAGACAGACAGACAGACGGACAGACGGACAGACGGACAGACGGACATGGCTAGATCGACTCGGCTGTTGATGCTGATCAAGAATATATATACTTTATAGGGTCGGAAACGTCTCCTTCACTGCGTTGCAAACTTCTGACTGAAATTATAATACCCTGCAAGGGTATAAAAAGGAATTAAGCTACAAATTTACGTTACATTAATTGAATTCTGATGCATTTTAGACTGAATTTTATCAAGTGGGAAAATATTTTCGATTTTTTTAAAATCAAATCACCATTCAATGAATATTTTTCTTAACCATAAATTTGAAATTAAAATTAGATTATAAACGCATAGGTTTTCCGCATTTCTATATATACATAAATATATATTTTTGCCCACCAGATTGTTTGTTGTGCCCCCCTGACCCAAATTACAGTCCAATATGCGGGACAGACTACGTAGTATCTCTCCCACTCCTGCCTCGATGAAAAGGCGAACAACAACAACAGCAACAACAACGATAATAATAATAGAAGAAAAAATAAGAAAAATAAAAATTAGCCAAAAGGCGAATGCCAGAAACCTGTCAAAAACTCAAGCAAATCAAACGCCGATGGGTAATACAAAACCACACAAAAGCTATCAAAATATAACTCAAACACAACCACACGTAGACATTTACATACACTAAGAGAAAATCTAGGGAAATAATTATGCAGAAAATTGGGATTTTACAAAGTAAAACTAACTAACTATCAGTTAAAGGTAGTAAATTCAAATTAATAATTTCCAAACAATTTGTCAAAGATCCCAACTTTATAAGATCCACAATATATTCTACATTTTGTTTCATTAATTATTTTTCTCTGTGTACATGTACACACATATTCACACCGTGACAAAAGGAGCTCCGAGTGTAAACACGGGCACATCACACATACGCCCTGTGTGCCAATTTTAATAAACAAACTCAACGTAAATGGAAAATCAAACAAAATCATTTGGCCAAAGCAGCAAAGCAATGGCAACAAATCAACATCATACAAAAAAAAAGAAAAAAATACGAAAATGAAACGAAACCAAACTCAAAGAAAAACAGCAAATAAAAAAAAATTAAAAGATGCAAAAAGAAAAGAGAGAAAAAAAATAACAAATAAGAACTTGCCGCAGGCTGGCTAAAAATAATAGCTGCCAACGGTAGCACACACGAGACAAAAGCCAAAGGGGGCGGGGCAGAGGGGGCCAGAAGGCGGCAACTGCACGAGACAACAACAATAACAAAGACAATCGACAGCAAGAACAACAACTGCAGGCGTAAAAGCAACAAATGAAAGATTTTTTTGACGCTTTCCACAAAAAAGAAAAACATATCTAGAATCACAAATCGAAAGAGATAAAAAATTGAGAAATGGGGAGAGGGAAAAAAATAAGAAACAAAAATAGTGAAAGAAAATTCAAGTTGCATACAATAAAAACTAATTTTAGAGCGGTGGCAAAAACAACAGCAACAACCATAAGCGAATCAAACTCATGCCAGGCACAGGCACAGGCACCGGCATAGAGAAACAATCTGAATCACTCGAAGATTCTACAGTAGAGATCTATCACGAGAGGGGATATCGAAAAATTAGCAGTACTACAAGATTAATTATCTTTTAAGATTTAGGGAATATTTATTATAATATACATTTTAAAATTAAGAAACTACAGCGAGACTTTATTATAATAACTTTTGTTAAAAATGGGACAGAGTTTCCTTAATTAAAATTTTGATTAAGTTCGTATTTAGGTTTGTCTAGGCTTTGATCATTTGCAAAATTTCAGGCCAGCCTCAAAAACCTCATGTAACAAATATTGCTAAAAAATATACTTATACGTTATACACATCTAAAAAATAATGTAGATTTTTTGATATTTTAGGCAATGTCTACATTAATTTATACTTTATCTATAGATCACCTTTCACTATCCCAACTATCTCATCGACTCTCGTGGCTCGTGCGGTTCTCTTTTTTAATTTTTTTAATTTGTTCTTTTTTTTTTTGCCCAAGCAGCAGACGCTTCATTTTCCATTTAACCGCACCCGACTGCCCGAATCCTTGAATTCAGCTCTCTTCCCCCTCCAAAAAAAACCCGGTCCCCATTGCGCGCAGACAACCGTGCAGAAAAAGTTCTAAATTTAATGGCTACACCTAAAAATGCAGCGACTGCAACCGAAACCGAAAAGTGAAGGGCAGGCAGGCAGGAGGAGGCGGAGGAGGAAGTTTCAAGTGCACTCTCCAGCCTAGGCCGGGCTACACCTCCGTCCCAGCGATTTGCCCAAAAAAAAGTACAGAAAAAGAGCTGTACCCCTGGTTCACTCCCTCGACCCCTTCACGCCTCGTCGCACGCATGGCTCGCCTTTTGTCTAGCTCGTCGTTGGGAAATGAAAAGGGGAAAGGGGAGATGGAAGGGGAGATGGAAGGGGAACCCACAGAAAAAAATATATACAAAATTAAATTAAAAATTAATTTAAAACAAAAAGAACAAGACAAGGTAAAAATAAAGTGGAGATCCTGAAATCAGGAATTCTTCAAGCGATTTAAAAGTGTTTATCACTTTTCAAAGCTTCAATAATTTATTTGAATACTTTTCCATATCTATTTTCAAATATTTCTCACTGTGTACCCATGCCATGGTAAAAAGGGATGTACCGGGGGAAAGAGGAACTACCGTTCCATGTTTGTTGTCTGCGCATTTCAATTGGGCTCTCTTTCTGCATTGTGCCGGCGTGTAATTGAAAACTTAAGCAGAAGCTCCCAACAATCTCTCTTCCCCCTTACTTTATCCACTCACTATAAACGCGCAACAAATTTTCCAATCATCAGAGAACGAAAATCGGAGCCTACACCCACGCTTTCAGCTACCCCGCTCTCCGCTCTCCGCTCATTTCCTGCCCTGCTTCCTTCCTGCGTATCCTGTGTGTGTATCCTGCCTGAAAATCAGAAGGCGCGCGCTTGTTGCTGTTTGTTCAACAAACGTTTATTAGCCGCGAATACTTTTAATCGCATGCAATTTGTTGATTGCGGCCAGTCGCTGCACTTTCCACGCTTTTCCACCCATCATGAACCCCACTTTTGAGTACACGGAACTAGGTAATTTTCACATCGTTTCCAGAACGGGGGTGCCAGCTTGGGCAGCACCAGCAGCAGCAGGTGAGCAACGGTTGCCGCCCGCTTTGAAGACTGCGCACAAATTTTTCTGTGTTGTAAACTTAATTGCAGCTTGTTTGTTGCATGTCGCAAACTTTAACGATGCCCTTGCCACTGATAGGTCGATCGGTTTGGGGGAAAATTCTGTGGTATATTTAATAAATTCTCTTTTGAAAATGAGGAAATGGGTTAGACGTTTTTAGAGAGAGCTACACTTTCTTTTGTAAAATAAAGATTACTTAATTTATGAAAAATGGTTTATACCCCAAACAAAAGATGTAGAAAAGAACTGCAATTAATAACCCCATGAGGAAATCCTTAAATTTATTTCACATATTTTTCTAGACAAGTGAAAATTCAGCAACACTTTCTTAATTCAGTTGAAAGTTTTTGAAAAGAGCATGCAATCAGTTGGCACATTTCCAAACTATACAAGTTCTGTCTGCAGGGTCTTTAAACATTTCTTAGGGTTGCGTGGTGGAAATTAATTACACCTTGAGTCGGAGGCGAAACGCCAAAGAAAATCACGGCAAGAGCTGGCCACGTGTTGAAAGTTGCATGCAAAGGTAATTTGAATTGAAGAAGGTGGAAATTTTAAGGAGAAATTTTGTTTGAAATTTCTGGAAGCTGAAATCTCCCATTCTCTCTCTCTGCAATACCAAAGATTAACGGCACAGCGGCAAAAAAGACCTCATAACTCGTTTAGGCCAAGCCAAGAGCGAGCTCTTGGAATGGTCAAAGCTATGCAACAAGTGTCAAACAGGCCAACACGCCAACAATCCAAGCCAAGCCAAGCCAAAGCCAAGCCAAGCCGGATCGGGGCAAGGCAACAAGAATTGTCTACCGCCAATTTCGGACAATCTGCACTAAATTGTCCATTTAAGTGAGCCCGACTAAGGCTAAGACTAACTGGCTAACCGACCGACTGACTGACAAACTGACGCTACGACAACATCAACGTGAGCTGCTGCTGCTCCCCTTAGATCAACTGACTGCAATCAATCCGCTCGCATTTACACCTCTGCATTCAGACAGCATTTTCACATTTTCAGTTGCAACTTGCAACTTGCGATTTATGAGGCCAAGGCACCATAATAATGCAAGGGCGTTAGCATCGATGCAGAAACAATTCAATCTCTGCACTGGGAAATAATGATATAAGGATAAAGAGAATGGAAAATTAGTCGTGTAACATAATAAGTCATTCCTTAATTTTGGAATATAAGCTTTAAGGGTTTATAGGGTCTATAAATAAAGGATTTCATTTATTTATTATACTCTCCCAAGAATGCTAAGGAAAGTACAAGTTCAAGTTCATTTAACGCTTTTCTAAATGATTTTTAAAAGATCCTCCTTTTTATTTTTTTAATAATACAACTAGAACCTTTTTCTCTCTCTGGATGGATTTCTGTGTTTGGGTGGTAGAAATGACGTTGCTTGCGTTGGCTTCGTGCTACATTTTCATGTAACTTAATTCTTGCATTAAAATGCATTCATTAACTGTTTCTGTCTTGCTTTTGTCTGGTTGCATTTTCCAACCGCCAACAGCCAACCGCAAAAGCATTTTCCATGCATTCACCTATTTTCGTGGAAGGGGAAATGTGAGTGAAAAGCGTTGGAAAATATTTGGTATAGCTGACCTACCGCAAACAAAAGAAAACAATAAACCTTTAATTTACCACAGCAGACACAAAACTTTCTCGAATTGTTCGAATCTACATTGAAATTGAGTATAGTGCGCCCTTGGCAATGATAATGGAATCAGAAACTTGTTAAGAGTACAGCGAAAAGCATTTTCCCAAAATAAAAGCGATATAAAGCGATATTAGAAACTCGCTTTACAAATATACATAGTACTGCGAAAATAAACATTATACCATCTTTTTATACAATAGTATTTAGAATTCTACAAGGATTAAACAAACAAAATTATTAAATTTAAAAGATCATTAACACCTTGAATAACCCATTTGAGGATCTGCCAAGACAGCTCATAGAGAATGTCAGAGACGACTCATCTGGATCTGACTCCGAACCAATAGTGACTCAGATACAGAAAAGATACGAAAAGATACTTACTCAGAATTTCGAGGATTGCGCAATGCAATGTGCAATGGGAAAATGTGTTGCGCGGCAGATCAATTTGTTCTTGGCCCCACTCCTAAATTGTATTTATGAGTTTTTGGCCTGATGCGTTTCGTTTCATTTCGTTTCGTTTCGGTTTTTCGGCTTCAGTGGGTTTTATGACGGAAGCACTGCTCAAGAGTCGACTTCAGTTCATTGAAGCCAATTCAAGAGCCGTTTACGGAAGTTTTCGGCCCGGGGTGGGTCCGAAAAAGAACCGTTTCGCTCCATTGCCCAGGCCCCCCATATGTATGTATGTAGGCTCCCCGATGTCTTTTGAGGAAAACAAAATTGTTAATTGCCAGGGGATGGTATTGGTTGGGTTCCAAATAAGCCATTGAGACCCACGACTAACGTCTGCCTCTCTGCACTCCACTTTCAGATGAAGTCCAACACGTACGAGCTGCACAACTACGCCGCCGATCTGAACGATATGGATATGCCGGAGGCCAAGGATTCGCGGAAAAGGAAGACGGCCAGCGCCCGAAGTGGCGAAAAGTATTCCCTGAGACAAAAGCGTCAGAAGAGAAATGCCATCGAGGAGGTGGACTCTGGCCACTTGCCTGACTTTCAACTGGAATTGGATCCCATTGTGGAGCCGGCCAGTAAATCACGGAAAAATACACCCACAAAGGCCAAGACGAAAGCACCGCCGTTGAGCAAATACCGCCGGAAGACAGCCAATGCCAGGGAGCGCACCAGGATGCGAGAGATCAACACGGCCTTCGAGACCCTCAGACACTGCGTACCCCAGGCGATAACCGGCGAGGATGCGGCCAATGCTAGTGAAAAGTTGACCAAGATCACCACCCTGCGGCTGGCCATGAAGTACATCACCATGCTGAGCGATTCCATCCAGGATCCGAGCTATGAGAGCGAGTTTATTGGGGAGTGCCTGGAGGAGAGTGCCAATCGCGAGGCGAGGGTGGACTCCGATCTGGCCGAGGAAGCTGAAGTGGAAGTGGAGGCACCATTAATAGCGCCTGCAGCGGTGAAGAAACCAGCCAAGACTAAAGGCAAGAAGAGCTCAGCGGCCAGCAAGCGGCAGACCCAAAAGCTGGCCAAGTCAGTGCCTCAAATCACACCGATTAGTTCCGGGGAATCCTGCTACGCCACCTCATCGATTGGGTCGCCCGCCTCCTCCGCCTACGCCTCGTTATCCTCGTCGTCCAACAGCCACAGCAGCAGCAGCAGCCCCGGACTGGAGGTAGATAGTTTGGTGGGATTACACGGAATCAGCGATCTGGACACTCTGCTGCTGGAAGCCTCCGACGGAGACTCTCTTACCTGCTTGAGTCCGGGATACGAGAGCCTGCTAACCGGAAGCGGGGAATCCCTGTTACCCGGATGTCGCGGCGATATTCCCATGTCGGCCCTGGAAAAATCGGATGTTGAGCTCAGCCTGCGATTGTTGGATCAGAGATCGGCGGACTCCTTTGACTTTGGCAGCGATCAGCAGCCCTCGGCCTGCATTAGCTCCCTGGCCAGCTTGGAGGGTTATCCCTTCAGCGACCTGCTTCAAAGCGATTTCCCCGACATGTTTCTCACGTGACGCGTATTCATTAGTGTCCTTCGAAGCTCCTGTTAAGCCTAACCCTCGATTTAAGTTAGCGTGCGAGTTGTAGTCCAACTTTCACATTTAGCAAGCGCCCTTGCGGCGGAATTCATTGTGTCATAGCCAGCAGTTATTGGGATTTATCCAGAGAATCCGCAGAATAGAAAGGAGAAGAGGAGCTGCTAACACCGCCACATCCACATGATAACTCAACTAGTGATCTAAGCATTTCTTTGTGAAGCATTTCTCGTTATCGTGTAAATAAAGAGCACCAAGTGTTGTTTCATTACTTTAAGTTAAAGATTGTTTACTTTCTTTATTCGTAATCCAAGCAGGCCTGGGAAACGCTTTTAATATACTAGGGTTACCCCAAGCCATAGCAATCAGAGAGACAAGACAGACGTTAGCCCAATTCGCATTGCCATGGCCAAATTCAATCCCGAGGTGGACTTTCCAGAGGTCTACAAGGTCTGCCAGTTGTTCACGCCAAGCGATGAAGAACTGGAGAAGGTCAGGGACATCATGGACCGCGAAATAAAACTGGGACTGAGCCGCGAACACCACGAACGCTCGACGGTTCCGTGTCACCTGAGCTATGTCAAGGAATTGCCGACGGGACGGGAACGCGGCCGATTCTTGGCCATCGAAATGATGCCGACCAACTGCCGGATAATGCTGGTCAAGTTCAGCAGCGAGAGGGATATATACACCAGTGCCAGGTGCGTGATCCTGCCGCACACAATAGTGGCGGCCAAGGGAACGGAGCTATTCACCTTTTTGGCCACCACCATTGCCCAGTTTGTGAAGGAAAAGAAGGTGGAAAAGGACAATCTGCCGCTGGGAATCTCCTTTGCCTTTACCCTCAACAAGGTAGCCCTGGACATAGGTTATCTTGTTGCCTGGACCAAAGAGTTTGGTGCTCATGGTGTCATTGGCAAGGATGTGGTTAAACTTTTACGCGATGCTCTGGCCCAATTCCCCGAAATATCCGTCGATGTGATGGGCATCATCAATGTGGCAGCCGGTACCCTACTGGCCCTATGCTGGGCCCAGCCGGACACCAGGATTGGGCTGGTAATGGGAGCCATTGCCAACTCGTGCTACGTGGAGCGGATCGATAGGTGCGAAACGTACGAGGGGGAGGTGGACTCCAAGGGGGAGATGATAATCAACTCGGATTGGGCACACTTTGGCGACGGCGGGCAGCTGGACTTTATCCGCAACGAATTCGATAAGCAGTTGGACACCGAGTCCATTAATCCCGGCATTCGGCTGTACGAGAAGTTCAGCGGAGCCCTCTTCGTGGGCGAATTGGTTCGCATTGTGGTTTACTATCTCATGCAAAAGGGTGCCATCTTCCAGGGAGAACGGCGCGACTACGTGGGGATCCAGTGGAAGCTGGACATGGTCTCGGTGATCGATATATCAAACGATCCGCCGGGGACTTACACAAAGGCCCAGGAGGTGATGGACAAGTTCCGCATACGTCACTGCAAGGACCGGGATCTGGCCGCTCTGCGTTATATCTGCACTAAGATCTCAGAACGGGCCGCCATGCTGGTATCCAGCGGAGTGGCCGCCATCATTAATCGCATGGAGAAGCCGAAAATCTCGATTGCCGTAGACGGCGGCATTTATCGCCTCTTTCCATCCTACTCCGCGGCCCTCAACAAGTTCACCACAAAGCTGACAAATCCGAAATATAAATTCGACTTTGTCGTCACTCAGGACAGCAGCGGGGTGGGGGCGGCCATGATGGCAGGAATGGCCCATGCCAGCAAATACAAGACCGATGACAAGTTATTCGTTATGGAGTACTAGGACAGAAGGGTTAAATAAATCGGACATGTAATTAAATAAAAAATATATCAGAATAAATTATTATTGAAATCAAGAAAAGAAAGAATCGAGTAAAGCTTTCAAGTCTAGTAAAGTGAAAATAAAAATGTAGAAAGCATGCTTTGACCATTCGCTCACTTTGGCTTTCCAGTCCTTTCACACTTTTTGATTCTTTCGGTAGCCCAGTCAAAATTTCTGTTAAGTATCTTTCCCCAGAAGAGGTGGGCCAGTTGTTACGGCTTTGAAGCAACAATGGGGACCATCAATCACCCGGATTTACAGTTGGCGCTCAAGGACTTTCTGATCGAGGAAGAGAAATTGACCCAGGTGGTGTACCGCATGACCAAGGAGATGAAGATGGGCCTGTCCAAGGAGACTCATGCGCGGGCGGCGGTCAAGTGCTTTGTGACCTACGTGCAGGATTTACCCACAGGAAAGGAGCGCGGAAAATTTTTGGCCCTCGATTTAGGTGGTTCCAATTTCCGGGTTCTGCTGGTGATAATACGTGGCGATTCGGACTTGCAAACCGAGTCGAGGACCTATGTGTTTCCCGAGACCCTGATGACTGGAACGGCCAAAGAGCTTTTCGATTTTATAACCGAGTGCCTCGTACAGTTTTGCCGGCAGTTTGGCCTGGAGAACGAGGGACTGCCACTGGGCTTCACTTTCTCGTTCCCCTGCCATCAGCAGGGTCTCTCCAAGGGCACCCTGGTCGCCTGGACCAAGGGCTTTCGCGTCGAGGGCGTGGTGGGCCGCAACGTGGTGGAACTGCTGCAAGAAGCCATCACACGACGCGGCGAAATCTCGGTCACTGTAGTTGCCCTGATAAACGACACGGTGGGCACCCTCTTATCCACCGCGTACTTTAACAATAACTGCCGCATCGGCCTGATCGTGGGCACCGGCACCAACGCCTGCTACGTGGAGAAGACGGTGAATGCCGAGTGCTTCGAGGGATACCAGACCAGTCCCAAGCCCTACATGGTCATCAACACCGAGTGGGGCGCCTTCGGGGACAACGGTGTGCTGGAATTCGTGCGAACCCCCTACGACAAGGTGATCGACAAGGAGACAGTCAATCCCGGCAGGCAGACATTCGAGAAGTGCATCTCCGGGATGTACATGGGCGAGATGGTGCGCCTGATCCTCATAGATATGATGGCCAAGGGTGTGATGTTCCGGAACGAGTCTTCGGAAAAGCTCCTGCAGCGCGGGTCCTTTTCTACTTCGTACATTTCGGATATCGAGAGCGACGCCCCCGGGGAGTACCGCATGTGCAACAAGGTACTCCACAACCTCGGCTTGAGGGGCAACCAGGAGTCGGACCGCCTGAATCTGCGCTACATCTGCGAGGCGGTGTCCTCGCGTTCCGCCAAGCTCTGCGCCTGCGGCCTGGTCACGCTCATCAACAAGATGAACATCAACGAAGTGGCCATTGCCGTCGACGGCAGTGTGTACCGCTACCATCCCACATACCCCTCAATGCTGGAGCACCACATGAAAAAGCTCCTCAAGCCGGGCGTTAAGTTCGAGCTGGTCTGCTCGGAGGACGGCTCCGGACGCGGTGCGGCCTTGGCAGCGGCCACGACCGTTAAAAATAAATAAATTCGAAATTTGAATTAACTTAAACCAGATGTGGTTCGAGTATCAGATGAGGGTCAAATATCGGGTGTGGTTTGAATATCAGGTGTGGATTTTATAGGGGAAATTTCATTTTAGGAAATTTTTAAGGGGAGGGTCAAATTTTCATCTGGCCACACTGCAACAGCTGATCAGCTGTTCGGGAAATTTGGAAATTGGAAAATTGGCACGATTTTTGGAGCACAAAATGCAGGATTTGAGGAAATCGGACGCTCTGCGTCTGCCCAATGGTGACGGCTGCCCCAACGACGAGGTGAAATCCCCGTTTCTCATTGGTGTGGCCGGCGGCACGGCCAGTGGCAAGTCGACGGTGTGCAAGAAAATAATGGAGCAGCTGGGCCAGGCGGAGATGGATCACACGCAGCGCCAGGTGGTATCCATCAGCCAGGACAGTTTCTACCGGGAACTGACCGCCGCCGAGAAGGCCAAGGCCCAGAAGGGACTGTTCAACTTTGACCACCCGGACGCCTTCAACGAGGAGCTGATGTACAGCACGCTGCAAAACATACTCCAGGGGCACAAGGTGGAGATTCCCAGCTACGATTACCGCACCAATTCGCTGTGAGTATCGCTATGATATCGGATATCTGCCTTCGTAAACGTTTTTCTCAGCTTATCGACTAATTTTTATTGGATCTTTTATTCCAGGGACTTTGAAAACATGCTGATTATCTACCCAGCGGATGTGGTCCTGTTCGAGGGCATCCTGGTCTTTTACTTTCCCAAAATCCGTGACCTGTTCCACATGAAACTGTTCGTGGACACAGACTCTGACACGAGACTGGCCCGAAGAGGTGAGTCTTCGAGTTAAAAATACATTTTAAATTATTATAATAAACCCTTATTATACCCTTTTAGTGCCACGTGACATCAACGAGCGTGGTCGGGATCTGGACGCCGTGCTTACCCAGTACATGACCTTCGTGAAGCCCGCCTTCGAGGAGTTCTGCTCACCCGTAAGCTGTGGCTACGCCCCATTTTAAACCAATAAAATCTGTAAGGTGTAACTCTCTTTTCAGACGAAAAAGTTTGCTGACGTTATCATACCGCGAGGCGCCGACAACACAGGTGAGGCAGCAGCTGCACTTCTGTACACTCTCTATGCCACACCAAACACACAGTCTTACACACCTTGAGCGTTTGTAGTGTTTCGTTGAGTTGGTTGCCTAATAACCATAGTTATAGCAATGGTTCTTTCGTTTCTGGTTCGATTAACCCCGTCTGTGAGGACACCAAACTCTTATCACATAGACTGCTTGACTATATACGAGTATTATATTCTTCCTATCAACATTTCTTCCCCCCTTTGTTTTACGTCCATCTCTGTTGAATGTAACTCTGGCGTTATGATTTCCCTTTTGTTCTTGTTTTCGTTTTGTTCCTGTTGTTTTATTGTATTTCTTGCAGTTGCCATTGATCTTATTGTACACCATATCGGGGAGATTCTCGCCACCACCAACAGCGCACAGCACAGCAACACAGTCAGGGTGGCGTCGTCCAGCATGAAGCGAGATCACTAAACGCAAAAGCTTGCTTCTGGACCGGCCACAGCCTGAGCCCGAGCCACGTCCTCAGCTTGTACTAATTGCCAAAAACAAAAAATGAGAAAAGAAAACGGGGGCAGCAGCACACTAAGAAAAAAATATCCTAATACCGAGCGCCGGCGTCGCTTCTCATTCGGTAGTCTCATCGTAACCGATTAACGTAGCCCTAAGATTGAAAAGTATCTTTATACCTAGTTGTATCTACTCTTGCATATGTTCCACAATACATGGTAGTGTGTATGTACGTAAGCTCGTTTCTGTTCACCAAGATAACCCAATCTGCGATTGCGCTCTCAGTCTAACTCTGGCCCTAACTTGTAGCGAATTATCAAAGTTAAATTATTCTAACCCCGAAGAAGGCTTCTACACAGGTTCTAAGCACTCTTAATCACAATCACAACCATTTTACACACATAAATATTGTATATCTATGTTCGGATAGTCGTTAGTTAATCCCAAATTCTGACTTTAATCGACTTTGTCTGTTTATCTGAATGCCCAGAAATTTGTAAATGTAAACACAAATTTTATATTTTTAGATTTTCTTTTGTATTTAGATTATTTCAAGAGAGCTTACCCATGGTAAGCCATTATAATATCTAAAATAACTGTTTACTTCTTAGTTAATTTTAAATATTATTGACTTTTAACTATCTTTAAAATATATGAATATCTCTTAATAATTTAAAAACATACCTAAAATTCATTAAAAGCCAATTGAGACTTTGGTAAACTAAATATTTTGCATACAAAGACAACCAAAAATAGTTAGAACTTAACAAATATAAAGTAAACTATTGAAAAATTATATAATTTGGGTGTCATAATGTAATAGTTTTTTTCTTAAAAGAAATAAGTAGTTATTCCCCAAGTTAATGGTTGAAAATTATCATATTCTTATGGTTCAAAGTCAAGGCCTTTATGACACTCAACCTTAGAATGGACCTTAAATTTTATAGAATTTACAAAGAGGCCACATCCTTCAAGTTTTTTAAACATTCCCAAAGTACCGGGCATCTTCAAAGTCGGCATAGGCGACTTTTCACTTATATAAATATTCCGAAAGCCGTCTCAAATATACAAAATAGACTAGATTTTACCAGCGTGACGATAAATCAGTGTTTCATTTTGTAAGTACACCAACTGCTGATTGTAAAGCACACTCACTCAAGCCACAAGACACAATAGGGTAACACACCTAACAACAAATTGCCGCCCAGCTTAGATGCGACTAGGTAATAGACCCTACTAACTAGAGCTAGATTAAGTCCTTGGACCGGTGGAGCTCTTGAAACAGCAGCCAGGTAAGTGGTTGTTCCAGTGGTTGAGTTGCAATGCCAGCAATCGGTGCAGCATTACGATTTGATAGCCCAGAATGCGAATTTACCCCTAGACCGTCTAATGATCGTTTCTCTTCCTCTTTCAGTGGCCATCGATCTGATCGTTCAGCACATCCGGGACTTTTTAAACAATCGCTCCCGCCACGGATCCACCGGCAACATGGCGCTCTACATGAACCTGGATCTAAATGCCACGGGTGCCGGAGTTGCGGGCCCAGGTAAGGCCAGACGCCTCCACAACCTGCAGCACAAGGCGCGTCCCCACTAACCATACCCTAACTGGAGCGGATCACCCGGATTACTAATTAACCAATGCATGCGATCAGGCCGTTTGCTCCGTTGTGTATATAAACATATATAGTATCTTCTGTTATGCTTTGTGTTTCCCTGTCGAAGATGGAACCGAGAACCAGCACGGCACCTACAATGCCATCCGGAGATTCTCAACGCTCTGCAAGGAGCTCAACATGCAGGGCAACTTCTTCTTCGAGACAAACAAGAACCTGCCGCACCACTAGGATGGTCTTTCTGTGGAGTCCCTGGAGAAGTACAAGCCAGGCGGGGCACATCTAGGCGAATGTTAAATATATTATTATTGTACCCATAGACATATTTTTTCAGTAAAATCGATTTGACAGAAAAATGGGATCGTGGAGGGTTAACTTGTCTATTATCCTTGGTGTTCAGGTGAGCTTTTTACTCACCAATTTGGTTAGTTGTTAACGTGATTCAACGGTTTACGGTTTGAAATAAAATATTTTATTTGTTGTAAAGCTTTTAAGTTCAAATTAAACTTCCCATCGAACTTTTTGTGGCCAGGTGTTGCTTGAAAAGCCCCTGAAACAAATACTGATAATAATTTCGAAAAGCTAAAGGTTTATTTCACAAAAAGCTACAATATAAAATGTTTAAATAAAACAAACTCTCCCATATCGAAGTTAGTTTACTTCCAAAAGCAGTTGTGACACTATGGCCGAGGAAAGCTTCAACGTCGACGAATTGAATCCGCCAGAATGGTTAAATCTTCAGTTTATTACCGAGGTACTGAGGGGCCATGAAAAGGCGCCCGAACTCAAAGTGATCGACCTGGCCTTCATGCCAGCCAGTCCCAAGGGTGATCACTATGCCAGCATTATGTTGCGGGCCAAGGTGAAGTACTCCACCCAGAAGGGTGAGTTCGCCAAGTCGCTGATCATCAAAACAATGCCTGAGGCGGAGGGTCCCAAGAAGGACTTATTTGGCGAGTCTCCTATATTCAAAACTGAGATTGGAATGTACACCAGGGTCCTGCCGGAGTGCGAACGGATCCTTCGCGAGGTGAATGACAATGCCAGGCTCTATGTGGACTGCCTCTACCACAGTCTGAGCCCGAAGCAGGTGATCATCTTCGATGATCTTGTGGAAATGGGCTACACCGTGGTGCGGGGACGTTGGCTCACGCAGGAGGAGATTTGCAGTGCCTACGGCAAGTTGGCCAAAATCCATGCAGTTAGCATGAAAATGATCAATGAGGTGAGAGATGATAAATTGTATCTTATTTAGTTTAGAATATAATACTTTAAACTCATTACCATTATTTAACATATTTTTTAATCATATTATTCCAACCTTTTGTAGCGACCCGAATACCTAAAGGACTTTCTGCATGGAATGTATGATATGCCCGGCGTGATGGACAGTCCCATTGTTAGCGGCGGCATGGCTCTGTTTGTTGAATTTTTGGGCAGCCATCCGGAACTTAACAAATACCAGCCCTACTTCGAGAAGATAAGGCTCCATTACAAGGACAGACTGCAGGAGACCATGCTGGAGTATCGTAATAATCCCCAGCAGGATGGTTACTACGTGCTCTGCCATGGAGACTACCACGTCCGGAATATGATGTTCAGGCACAACAAGGAAACCGGAAGCTTCGAGGACTGCATGTTACTGGACTACCAGGCCTGCAATATCACTCCCATAGTCGTGGATCTTATATACTCCATCTACATGCTGATGGGGCCAGAGCAGAGAGCTGGGGAAGTGGAACACCTGCTCAAGTACTACTTCGCGGTATTGGTGGAGACTCTGAAAAAGATCGGTTACCAAGGAAAAATGCCCACTGCCAGTGGGTTCTGGGCGGAATTCAAGCGGCACAGATATTACGGTTCGTAAGACTTAGGAAGTCTTTTGGTAAATAATATGGTTGAATAATCTGGAATACTTTTTTTTTAGAGTTCTTTATGGTCAGCACAGTCCTGCCCGTGTCTATTGCCTTAAGAACTTTCAACTTTGACCTAGAGGAAATGCTTTACAACGAAGAAACCAGGCGGAAATGCTATCAGCTCAAAGTTTTGGTCGAAGATGTCAAAAAGGTGCTGGAAAGATTCGAACGATCGGGTTACTTTGAGGATCTGTGAGAAATATATTAACATACCATTAAGATACATTGATTCAAGAAATGTAATCATTTTTAAGAGATAAATGCACACAGTGTTTATAAACAAAATAATATCTCCTCCCTTCCTATAAGTAAATACCATATTTGTGTGGAAGAAACTCAAACAAATCCCCAAGATTGTTGCTATACCTACCCTAGAATTCCACGGAGACTCTCTTCTCCCGATTTAAGAGAATAACAACTAAAGCTCATTTGTATCTCAACGCTCAAAGCTCGTTCTATCTTTTGCATTTTGAATTTAAATTCTCTTTTTGAAAACCACTTAAAGTTATTGCAATTGAGTGAGCTTTGGCCAGTTGACTCTTTTCCGGTGAACAAATCACAACAAGCTATCTATTAAAATGTCTGAAAGTACAGATAACATCGCGTACAACGATGATGAGTTGGCTCCACCGGAATGGTTAGACTCAAACTTCATCACAGGTGTCCTGAGCAATTATGAAAAGGCACCTGAACTCCAGGTAACCGATCTTAGCTTCTCACCGGCATGCCTCAAGGGAGAGCACTATGCCAGCATCATGTTCCGGGCCAAAGTCAAGTATTCCACAGAGAATGGTGACTTCGAAAAGTCGCTGATTATCAAAACAATGCCCGAAGAGGAGGGTCACAAGAAGGATTTAATCGGAAGTTCCCCATTATTCGAAACCGAGGTAGGAATGTACTCAAAGGTACTGCCCGAGTTCGAGAGGATCCTCCGCCAGGCGGGAGATCATACGAAACTCTGTGCGGATTGCATATATCACAGTCTGGAACCGCGGAAGATACTGATTTTTGAGGATCTCAAAGAGTCGGGTTATTTTGTGGTGAGGAATCGGGAGGTCAGCCAAGAAGAAGTGGATCGCGCCTTCTTCAAACTGGCCAAGTGGCATGCAGCCAGCCTGAAAGTGCAGGAAGAGGTAAGTTACTCTTTATTACATTATTATTTTATACCATTAGTATCTCATTAGCAACCACACTTCCTCGAGGAATATACCAACGGACTGTTTGAGATGCCACAAATCATGCAGGAGCCCTTCATGAAAACCGGAATGCCTTTCTTCGTGGATCTCCTGACCCAAGAGCCGGAGCTCAACAAGTACAAATCGTATTTTGAGAGCATAAAGCCTGACTTCCTGGAACGACTCACGGCAGAGTGGAAGGACCTGAGAGATAACCCCAAAGTTGACCAATACAGGGTACTTTGCCATGGAGATCTTCATCTACGCAACATAATGTTCCAGTACGAGGAGGGAACCTTTAAGGACTGCATGCTACTGGACTTTCAGATCAGCCACCTCTTCCCGCTGACCACAGACCTTATATACTCGATTTATATGCTCATGGAGCCCGAGCAACGTGGGAGGTTCTATGAAGATTTCATTTATTATTACATCTTTGTTTTGACGAATACTCTTGAGGAAATTGGTTACAAGGGTGAAATGCCAACCGTAGAGGGACTTTACCTGAATAAGCACAAATACTACGGTTAGTTCGCTGTTTACATATGTCTCTTTATAAGCATTTAATAATGTTTATTTTTTAATTATCACAGAATTCTTCTTCCTTACAACATTCCTACCTTTGATGTGGGCTCTTAGGGAGACTTCTGTTGACTTTGGTGAACTTTTGCAGGACGACGAAAGACGTCGGCAGTGCTATTTCTCTAAGGGTTACATCAAGGATGTACAAAGAAAACTGCTTACATTGGATATATGTGGATACTTTAAAGACGTCTGAACTTGATGCATTCTTTAAAACAATATTATACATTTCTGCAATCTCGATGCGGATATAAACGGATATATGACGATGCTTATTTCGATCTACAAGTTATTAGTTACTTATGAAAACAATATATACATGTGATTGAGTATGAATATAAAATAACCATAAAATATAGAACATTTCAACAATTTAACATGATTAAATCTATATAGAATAATTGGGCTTTCTGATGCCAAAACTTAGCAAAAGCGTTGGCACTTATAATTTCACCAACAGACTTAAGCTCTTTTATATATCTGATAAGTCAAAGCTTTTTCAAAGCTCAAACATTTACGTTTCAAGCTGAAATACTCTCTCTGTAGTCCATTTAAGTGAATGCAGCAAGTGAGATTGGTTCAGTTTACTCTCTAGTCAAAGAAAACAAAAGTTGGTCAACAAAATGCCAGATAACACAGATAACAGCCAATTCAACCCCGATGAATTGGTGCCACCTAAATGGTTAGACACCAACTTTGTCGCAGAGGTTCTCCGAGCCCATGAAAAGTCACCTCAACTCAAGGTAACCGATCTTAACCTTTCACCGGCTTGCCTCAATGGAGATCATTATGCCAGCATTATGTTCCGGGCCAAAGCAAAGTATTCCACCGAGAAAGGAGACTTCGAAAAGTCGCTGGTTATCAAAACGATGCCTGAGGAAGAGGGACAGAAAAAGGAATTGATCGGGAGTTCCCCGATTTTCAAGACGGAGGTGCGAATGTACTCCGAGGTGCTGCCCGAATTCGAGAGGATCCTCCGCCAGGCGGGGGATAATACAAAGCTCTTTGCGGATTGCTTGTACTACAGCCTGGAGCCACACCAGGTCCTGATTTTTGAGGATCTCATGGAAAGGGATTACTTTGTAGTGCGAGATCGCGAATCAACCCTGGATGAGGTGCAACGAGCCTACTTTAAGCTGGCCAAATGGCATGCAGCCAGCCTAAGAGTGCAACAAGAGGTGAGCCACTGCTCGGCAATACCATTTTCTTTCACTAATAACATTAAGCTGTTTTAATTTCCAGCAACCGGACTTACTTAAGGGCTTAAATCACGGACTGTTTGAGATACCTAACATCATGCAGGAACCTTTTTTGGAGAACGGAATATCTTACTTTGTGGAACTCCTGAACGAGGAGCCAGAGCTGAGAGAGTACAAACCCTTCTTCGAAAGCATCAGGGGAGATTTTATACAAAGACTAAGCGCTGAGTGGAAGGACCTGCGGAATAATCCCAGAAATGACCCATACTGGGTGCTCTGCCATGGAGATTTCCATCTGCGAAACATGATGTTTCAGTACCAGAAGGGATCTTTTGCAGATTGCATGTTGCTGGACTTTCAGCTCAGCAGCCTTTTCCCACTGACTATGGACCTGGTCTACTCCATATATCAGCTCCTGGAGCCCGAGTATCGCTGGAAGCATTGGGAAGATATGATGAACTATTACTACTTTGTGTTCGAGGATGTTTTGAAGAGAATTGGTTACAAGGGGGAAATGCCCACCCAATCCGGTTTCTGGCAACGCCTGCATCAGCACAAGTATTATGGTTAGTTCTCTCATTATTTCTCTATTTAGCTATTTTAATATATTTATTCTTATTCCTGCAGAGTTCTTCCTGGTGAGCACCTTTCTGCCCATGCAGTGGGCCCTAAGAGATAAATCTGTAGTCTTCATCGATATTTTGGAGAATGAGCAAAAGCGAAAGAATTTATACTTTTCTCAAGGTTACATTAAGGATGTAAAAATATTGTTGGCTCGATTTGAAAAGTTGGGCTACTTCAAAGATATCAAATAGATATCAGATAAGGTAATATAGTTTTTGTATACGAGCTAGTATAACCCAATTCCAATTGTAAATAAATTGTAATCTTGCATTTAAAAATCAAATTAATCTGTATTTCAATATTAATATTTAAATGCTTACCCGAAAGAGAGTACCAAAAATAAAGCCTGAATTGGTAAACAATACCCCCTAGCTTGGCATTAATATTTGTGTGGTCAACCCATGTCAACGAATGTTTTGAAAAAACAAACAATCCAAGTTTTTAGCTCATTTGAATCGCTAATTTCCATCTGCCTTTGGTCACTGAGCTGGAGCTCTGATGAATGAGAATTATTTGCGTGTTCGTAATTATAAAACGACTGTTGCGGGCAATTAAAGCCCCATTTATGACGCAGACTTAGTTTCGTTCAATGCCAAATGAGTTTGGGGTGCAATTATTATTTCCAGTATTTCCAACTGATTAAATATAAACAAATAATAGGTGAAGATTAACCGTGATGGAAAGAATTCGCGGTCACATATCTTTCTACAAATTGGTAATATGCAATATTGGAACCTTATTTCGAAATAATATACTGCCTTACTCACGCATGGTTAGCACTTTATCAATGCTTTCTTTATTGGATAATTGATTAATAATTAAGTGATAGCTGCTATAAAAAATACGCAATACGGTTGACACCTACGTCACTAGTTTCTGATTTAACGCCCACAAAAATCTATCAGAGTGTATAGTATAGTTCGCACCTTTATAAAACTGTTCCGGCATACAAAGTTTTCTCTTTCTGAACGTAAAAAACCCCCAAACTTCAACGCACGTGTATTTCAGCAAGTCATCATGATTGTTTACTACGATGATGGCAGGCCCAAGTGGTCTCTGTCCAAAGCTCGAATCAACTATTGATACTATAGACATTTGCAGACTTGTATTTAAATTAAATAAAAACTTGTATTTTTTGCTCTTATGATATATGATATCACACAAAAATTGGCTAAAATCTAGGAAGGCTCTGGTAACGAACCTACACGGACTTTAGAAGTCCTTTGTTATCGAAAAACGGCAAAAGCAACTTCATGGCATTGGCATAATACGGATTGATGAAGGTCCTGTAACGCAGAGCATCGGCCTCGGGTCCTGGGGCCATCATCATTTTCATATTGGCGTCCTTGTCGGTGGGCATCAGGGTGGCCACCATCACACCCATGGCGGTGAGGGGTCCTAAAGGAAAATAATTGAAAGTCCGACTTAGAAAGGGTTACGATAACATATAAAGCACTCTTGATCAATGAAATAGATTTTTTTCCTATTTTTTTACATATCAATAATTGCCATTAAACTCACCCCAGAATCCATACTTTAGCATCATGATATGAATATCCCTCAGGGATGGAATGGGCTTCGAGTACTTCAGAAGCTTGAGGCACTCGGCCAAGCGTTCGTGATAGATCTGAATAAAGTGATCAAACTCTTTGACCTTAATGTCCAGCGCGGCGGAGGTGGTGATCAGGTACCAAAGGTCCTGGGCCGGGGTGCCCCACTTGCCAATCTGCAAATCCACAAAGATGGTTCTGTCGATTTCTCCGTTGTCCTTGTAGTTAAACATGATGTTGTTGGACCAGCAGTCGCCGTGGTTCAGCACATTGAACTCGCTCTCATCCACCTGGTTGATTTGCAGGGCTTCCTCGAACACCTCCAGTGGCTTCCACATCTTGGCTATGTACTTGTCGGCATTCTCCATTCCCCACTCACCCATCGCCTTGAGGAACTGCACCTGGCGCATCTCGCCCAGCTTCTCGAAGAGATCGCGGCTCTGCTCATTGTACATGGACATGGAGTACATCTGGTCAAAGGGTCCGTTGATCTCTCTGACCAGAGCGGAGGCGGCATGGAACTCGGCCAGTTTCTGGAGCACTCGTCGCATGTGCGCCATATCGAAGCCTTTGAGACGATCGGCGTTCTTAAAGTGCTGACGGCTTAAATCCTCGAAGACCAGTGTAATAAGCTCAGCGGTGGACTCTACATGGAGACACCTGGGTGCCAGCTCAACGTCCAGGCCCGCCTCCTTGTAGAGCTTCACGAACTGCGGTATATGCACCTCGTACATCTTCTTTTCTTTGGGAAACAGTCCCATGCCAGCCACCACATCCGCTCCACTATCGGCCTCCAGCATGGTCTTTAGGATGTACGAGACTTTCTTTTCGCTGCCATCTAATTATAATATTTACATAATAATATATAAATAATATTAGAATATTATTAGTTAAATAGTTTAAATATTAAGGCACCTTTTAGCAATACATCCACTACAACCCTGATCATAATGGAGGTGTAGTTCTCTCCGGGCGCTGTGGCCGCAATTGGGAAGAAGTTGACGATTTTGTCGAAATTCGTAACATCCTTTTCGATAATCGGCAAAAAGTAGTCCTCGTTGACCCACTTGGGGATGTGCAGATACTCGTTCGGATTGACTGGCTTTTCCGAGCTGCTGTTCGGCGACATTCTGAGGCTGCTGCAATCAGAAAAATCTATTAATTGACAGACAGCGGAAACGATCAACAGTCCAAGATCAAAGCAATTAAACAATTTACAAAAAAAAGAGAAAGCCCGATGTTATGTGAACACGAACACGTGGGAACAAAGTCTAAAATTGGCAACGGTTTCCACTTTCTTTTTTTTATTTTATCAAAAAAGACAAAATTAATCATCTGTTTACACTATAATAATTTAAAACTTGACTTTGTATAAATTAAAAACTGGTTGGGCTTCTACTGAAGGATTTTTTATCTCATATAAGGTTTAAATATATTATATATTTATCAATATTTTACATTAAAAATATATATATATTATTTATGTTTTACTTATTAAATTAAAATCCCTTAGATCAAATTTCTGCAACTATTTTTTGCTAAGTCATCTTGACAAAGCACACTTGAACTTGAACCCATGGGTGAACTTGTTTCCACAATTTGTATGAGCTCGTCTTTTTACGCTTATAAAGCTCTCATTCATATCACTTGATTGCACAGCAATTTCATTTAAATAAGATTTGAGCCCTAGGTAAATTGCACTTAAAATATTGCGAAATTTAGATAGATTTTAAGCGAATTTCCGCGTGCAATTTAAGCTGAAATTCTCCCACAACTCGGGGTTTCCTTCAATTGTTATTTATTACTGACCGACTTTTGGAAGATAACTCAATGAAGATTCTCTCGGGTAGCGGACACTGCTGCGGCGTGTCCGGCGATTTCTAACGACAAACAAATACTGAGCATTCCGCTGGAATCTCATACATTTTTATACCCAAAGCCCGAGCGTGCGGCAAGTGGAACGATTTTTGTGCGGTTCTCTGATAAACGGGTTTAAGTCTAGGCGGTATAAAAATCGGTTGTGCAGGGTTGGGGGGAGGGGGTGAGGAACGGAAATAAATACTCGTAGAACAAAGTTTAACAATGAAAACGCATAATCGTTTCCTTTATCTCTGGAGTCACCAAATAACCCTAAAAGACCTCACCTCGGTGACCCGTTCGAAGGTATACTCAATAATTGAAAATATTGGGAAATGTTTATTGTTTGCAGAGAAGGCAGCCAATCATCATTAGTGGGTGTAGGTAAGAGTCTTTATTTTTAAAATAATTGATAAAGAACGCTAGATAAACAACAGAATGACTACCAGGAGCTCTTGTTATATTTTTTAACATTTTAGATAGAGATTTGCCAAAGATCTTGAGTTTATTATAATTAATCTTTTATTTTTTCCAAAAATGATTACAAACTAATACTCAAAAAGACCTTTTCTATCGAAAAAGGGCAGCAATTGCCGCATGGCCTTGACGTAGTAGGAATTGGTAAAGGTTTTGTAGCGGAAGGCCTCAGCTTCGGGGCCAGCAGCCAGCATCTTTTCCATATTGGACTCCTTGTCCGAGGGCATAAGAGTGGCCACCATCACTCCAGTAGCTGTGAAGGGGCCTGTAAATTGAGTTAGTAAGCTAAGCCAACAAAAATCCACTAATTATTCACCCCAAGATCCGTATTTGATCATCATCGCGTGCAAGTCCCTCAGGGTGGGAATCCTTTTCGAATAGTTTAGGAGTTGCAGGCACTCGGTCAAGCGCTCGTGATAGATCTGTATAAAAAGGTCAAACTCCGTGACCTTAATTTCTAGCGAGGCGGATGTGAGAATCATGTACCAGAGATCCTGAGCCGGAGTGCCCCACTTGGCCATTTGTAGGTCCACAAAGATGGTCCTGTCTATCTCCCCGTTATCCTTGTAGTTGAACATGATGTTATTCGACCAGGAGTCCCCATGGTTCAGCACATTGAAGTCGCTCTCGTCCACCTTATTCAAGCGAAGGCCTTCCTCGAAGCCTTCGGTGGGTGAGGGAAACTTCTTGATGTATCTCTCCACATCCGGAATGCCCCATTCCTTCATTGCCTTGAAGTAGGAGGCATCCCTCATCTCCCTAAGGGGAATAAAGAAACTCCTGTTTGCCTCCACAAACATGGAGTTGTAGTATCGCTCCGCATAGGGTCCATTCACTGTTCGATAGACAGCCGAGGCAGCATGGAGTTCCGCCAATTTCCGGAGAACACAACGGATGTGTGGCAGGTCAAATCCCTTGAGACGATCAAAGTTACGGAAGTTTTGACGACTCAGGTCCTCGAAGATCAAGGTAATCCTTTCCGGCGTCTCCTCGATGTGAACACACCTGGGGGCCAGTTCGATGTCCAAACCAGCCTTCTTATAGAGCTTCACAAAATGGGGAATGTGATTTTGGTACATCTCCTTCTCCTTGGGAAATAGTCCCATCTGATGGACCATGGCGCCGCCTTTGTTAATGTCCAGTCCGGTTTTCAATATATAGGAGATCCTTTGCTCACTGCCATCTGAATTGGAATGAGATTAGAAACTTCTAAGGACTTATGGCTTAACTCTCCTCACCTTTTACTAAAATATCCACCACAACCCTAACCATAATCGAGGTGTAGTTCTCCCCCGGAGCCGTGGCTGCAATCGCGGTGAAGTTCACAATTTTATCGAAGCCTGTGACATCTTTCTCCAGAATGGGTCGGATGTACTCCTCATTTATCCACTCAGGTATGGCCAGATGTTCATTGGGATTGATTGGTTTCGGCGGCATGACTTCACTGTAATTAACAAATTTATTAAGCAAACAATTCTGGAGATTTGTGTCATTCACAGACCGATAAGAGGTAAATTCAACGGGCAGAGAGGGAAAATCGAATGCAGTTTGCTTACTCCAAAGGACAAACCTCAACTGAAGTAGCCTCTGACTGCGTTCCGGGTTAAATAGTGGCCATTAAAAGCGTAATGATTACAGGCAAGTTTGTAGAGACTTCAAATCGCTATGCAAAAGAAATCAAGCAAAGCGAGAAATTCGAATGGTATATTTTAGCAAAAAATATTACTCATGGCCACTAAGGAACTAAGTTTAATAGGTCTGTGAACTATAATTGCCATGATCAAATGATAAGAAACATAAGACTAATCGATTGCTGCAGTTATCTAACAACAGTCTACCATAATATTCCTTTTATTACCCGCCTGTAATTTCATACACAACGCGTCAATTGTTGTCCAACAAATTAATTAAAATTCCACACAGACCCGGCCTTCAATTGTTAGTTCTAAAGAATAGATATGTGTATGTATATATTTATATATTTTTAAACTGTCAGATGTTAATTAAAGCCGCCCAGTCATCCCACATCGGAGCAATTGAGGCTAGTCCCATTTCTGGGAGCGTGCCGAACTTGTTGCTGTTGCTCCAAGGGGTTCCTGATAATAAACATAATCAATTTAGATTGCGCTTCAATTTGAGTTAGTTTGTCGTCAGCGATTAGGTTCCATATCAATGGCAAAAGTAAACCGAGCCGAAACATTTGAAATTGCCAAAAAAGAACGTAGCGCCATGACTTTTCAATAGGAAATCAGTTTAATCAGTTTTGATAAGAGTAAGGTAGTAGAGTTGATTAGGCCTTTGGTCCCTAAAGAGACGATGCCCCCAAAAAAGCTGGGAGTTCATGAATAGTTCTGCCATTATTATCGATATAGATTGCTCTATAGAATATTTATTCGAATACAAAAATCATTTCCAATTGAGCAGAGATCGCTCCTCCATCCAAGGAAGAATCTCGTTCATAGCCAGGATGTACTTGCGATTGGTAAACATGGAGCACTTCATTTTCGAGGCGTATAGTTCGTTTACCTCATCCTCGAACTGGTTCATTAATGTGATGGGCAAGACCCGGGTCACTACCACATAGGCTGGGAGTAAACTCAGTTAAAGAAAACTCTTTACTACCAAGAAAGAGCTCACCTGCCAGGCCATGCTTGCTGAGACTCTCACGAATATCCTCAAGCTGTGGCAGAGCTTTGCCATATGCCAGGATCTTGAGACTATCCATCAAGTGGTAGAAATAATACTGCACCATATTGTCAAACTCGGCCAACTTAATTTTCTTCTCAGCTGACGACAAAATGGTATAGTAAAGATCGTTGGCCTGAGTATAGAAAATGATTAATCTATATAAAGAAAATAATATATATATATATAGACCTTACCGGAGACCCGTACTTGACCACCTGGAAGTCGAGCAGGGCCGTGTCCACAACATTTCCCTGATTGTTGAGCTTAAACATGACATTGTTTGCCCAACAGTCGCAGTGATTCAGGACATTGAACTGCTTGGGGTCGGAGGCATGCAGCTTGAGTAGCTTTTCCACCAGAACCTCCTCCTTGTCCGCAAACTGTTTGTGGAAGTGGGTGCCAATGCGCCAACGTCGAAGCTGCGAAAGAAAGGCTTCCGGATTGTTTAGCTCCTGGAGGATTTCTTGATTGGCCTTTCTGTATATCCCGCTGGACAGAAGCTGGTTAAATTTGCCCCTCTTCTCCACATACACGGCGGAGGCGGCATGGAACTGGGCCAGCTTCCGGAGCACCTGCTTCAAATACTCCAAATCGAAGCCCTTGCCCCGCTCCACATTGCGGTAGCCCTTGGCCTTTAGGTTCTCCATCAGGATGTAGCGGACCCCGATGCTACGGTCCAGCTTGAAGGCACGCGGACCGAAGGACACCTTCTGGCCTACCGCCTCGAATAGCTGCTCAAATCTGGGCAGGACCTTGTGGTAGACGTAATGTTCACGCACAAACATTTTCAAATGGTCCATGATCTTGGCCTGGAAATCGTTGCCATGCTGGGCCTTTAGAAGGAAGGACAGCCTCCTCACCGTACTGTCGCGCTGTTGAACCTTGACCTGAATGGGCAGGAGAACGGTGCAGTTGCGGAACTGGATGAGATGGACGCTGGGCAAGACCGCCACAATGCGATCGCCGTTGTCCACATAAGACTGGACCGCCTGTTCCAGTGACAGGGCAGAAACCCATTCGGGAGCTTTTGGTACTTTCATTGTCAATTTATTGCAGTCAATTTTGACAAATTTACAAAGAATTCAGATTATTTATTGAATTATATTTCAAAAGGGAAGCGATTAAATTTGTACGTTTAAAATATTGTTTCTAAATTTATTCATTTTATTACTCGTTAAAAGACTTATGTTGAGGGTAAGTAGTGTTTTATGTCTTTAAAATACATTATGTAAATTATTTATTATTCAAAAAACTCTACAACCTCCAAAAAAGGTATCATTCTATTAAAAATTTGTACAATTTAAGAACAGAAAACAAAACGAACAGTTTTTTAATTCTATAATTGCTCAGTGATACACACAAAATAAATATTTAATCGCTGGTCAAAGGTTATTTTGAATATAATTAGATATTTATTTGGCTACCAAAACAAATTTGTAGGTGGTGCAATTAAATAAGCATTATTATAGCCGGTAATTGGGGGGAGATAATCACTTCCAGTCGAGCAGGCCGCGGTTGTCCAACCATGGCAGCACCTCCGTCATCACCTGGACGTACTTGGGGTTGGTGAACATGGCGTTCTTCATCTTGGACTCGTCGCTAATGTAGCTCTCCAGATTGGCATTGTCGGTCTTGTCCAGCATCACAACGGGCAGCACCTTGGACACCACCATGTAGGCTATGGAAATGGAGTTGTAAATGGATGTTCCTCTATATGTAAATAGGAGGTGAACTCACCAGCCAAGCCATTGCGGAAAAGGGAAGCATGCAGGTTCTTTAACTTGGGCAGGGGTCGGTGATACTGGAGCAGCTTCAAGTTCTCCACCAGATTATCGAAATAGTATCGCACCAGGTAATCGAACTTGGCAGTCTTCAATTCTGGCGCAGCCGAAGACAAAATCAGGTAGTACAGATCATTGGCCTGCAAGAGGATTTAAATATAAAAATATATGAAGTTTTAAGTTTATGGTTTATCTAGTTATATCTGCCTTACCGGACTGCCGTACTTTCCCACTTGAAAGTCCACGAACAAGGTCTCCCTAATGTTTCCGAAGGCATCGTGCTGGAACATAATGTTGTTGGCCCAGCAGTCGCCATGGTTTAGCACGTTGAACTCCCTGGGATTGTACTGCTGATCCTGGAGAAGACGATCCACCAGATAGTCATCGCTATCAGCCTGGAAAACAAGTAGAAAAAATTTGTATAAGAGCATTTCTGTATAAATATTCTAAAGAATATAAATAATTTCTCACCAACTTCTCGTACAACTTCTGAGCATTCTTCCACTTCTTAAGCTGGGCCAGGAAAGCTCCTGAGGCATTGAACTCCTGCAGCAGCTTGCGATTGGCCTCGCTGAACACACCCACGGTGAACTCCTCCCCGAATAGGCCATTGTGCTCCACATAACAGGCAGAGGCGGCATGGAAGGCGGCCAGCTTCTCCAGCACCTTCTGCATGTGCACCAGGTCCAGGCCGGCCAGACGATTCTCGTTTTTAAATTGCTTGAGGTGCAGATCTTCCAACAAAATATAATCCACGCCCGGATCGCGGTCCACCTTAAAGGCACGAGGAGCAAACTGAATGCGTTTGCCAGCATTCTTATAGAGCTTCTCGAACTTGGGCAGAATGTTGTGGTACATCTGCTCCTCCTTCTGGAAGAGCTTCAGCTTGTCCAGAATGGCGGCCATCACTTCGTTGTTGTGCTGAGCCTTCAGGACAAAGGAAAGGGTCCTGATGCTGTGATCTGAAAAGATGGATAAATTATTTAAATAAATATGTGGGTGGAGTTCTAGAGATTAAGACTCACCGATCAGCTCCACTTCCACCAGCAATCGCAGAAACTGGGAGGAGTAGTTCTCGCCCTCGCTGCTGCCCTTCACTGGAGTAAACGAGACTATATTCTCAAAGATACCGGTTTGTTCCACGATCGCCTTTTTGAGTGTAATATTGGACAGCCACTTGGGCAGGTCCTCGGCAGGTATCGCCTTATGTCCATTTGTGGCCTCAGACATGATGAATCTGTCAAAGGAGTGTACAGAAATAATATTTATTTAGTCTAATTTTAACCGCCGAGCTGATAACAGCAGCTGAAGTACGAGCACTCTAATGTTAACAGCGCCAACGGGTCGTATACACAACGTTTATTAGACCATAATCAAACATAGGTGGAGCCAGGGTGCTTGCCATTAAGGGTGCCTTATATTTGAATATTTTATTGATGGTTCTCCGCCCAACCCAACTCATAAAATGCTCAACAAAAATTTTTATATTTTTAGGAATTGCATCAATTTTTTATCTTAAGCCATCTTGAGGGGTATAAGGGGGTTATGGTAAGGTGAAAATTACCAGAAAGAGTATATGTACACTTAATGGCAGCAGTAAAATGCTAAAATAACAATAAAGCCTAACTTTCTAGATAAAATTATAATTTATGTATTTTAAATTATAAACTCCTTAATAATTTTATTTTAACTGTACAAGACAATCAAATTTCTGCTTAAAGTTATGACTCATCCTAGAACACAAACCCTCTATTTATATGTACTCTCGAGTGTTTTCAATCTAATTGTTGCAATGCCTGATAAAGTTAGAAACACTTTTGATCTATTGGTTGCCTTTATCAATACACCATATACGGAAAAACTATACATATTCACCATGCAAATCATCATCAATATAAAAAAACGAGTACGTGATTTAATAAACTCCGCTACCTTCCAATACAGGTAATTACCAAACTTTTGTGGGGTTTTCATTGATTAGGCAATTATCAGGGCAATCGCCATTTAATGAAGCAAATCGTAAATCAGGTCACATGTCAGTTAATGGAACACACACACCTGCTATGACATTACGACATAGCGACTGTCCTAATCCGAGATAATACCTGTGGGCTATAGGATGGAATTAAGCTTTCGGGATACAAGAACTTCACACTAATAATTTTGATAATTTAATTCACAGCTCCTTCACCGCCACAATTATTTAATTACTAAAAGTTCCGATGATGGAAAATGGGTTTTTATATCAGTTCCGAACTTGGTTGGTCAAAACGAAGAGATTGGTTCCCCGAAATGGTGACAAACCTTTCTCCTTAATTGGTAAGCTAGTGGAGCGCTCCGTGGGTGACTGCAGTTCGCGGCAACTGACGAGTGGGAAATACGGGCTGCGATACTCGGGACCAGAGCCGTTGCCCCGATTTGGCTATGGGCCAAAGAAATTCCTTATCGCCTGCATTCGATTCAAGTTTATTTTGTAATTCAGCTCGCCAAAACCGGCAAAAAAAGTGAATATAATAGAGGGTGGCAGTGGCAGGGTGGCAATTGCCATTGGCGAGAGCGGGCGGGCGATAGTGAGCCGATGATATGGCATTGTTTGATTGATAACAGGCCCACCGAAAACAGTTTCTTGTTTCTTGTTTCCACCTCTGATTCCGATCCCGCCTCTTTATCGGCCTTCCGTGTTCCTCTTTGCTCTCGCCATTCGCTCTAATTAATTCGTGATTCCTTATTAATTGCTGTTTGCGGGCATGACATGTGACGGGTAGGAAGATAGACCTATCTACATGCTATATAGACATAGACCCCTTTCCGATGTCGGCCAGGGAATCCGGCACACTCAATATATATTATTATTAGACCATTTGGCAAAGCCTACTAAATATGGACATAAATACTCCTGCTATTATCATCACTGTCATTATCAGTATAGAAGTGGTGTTTTTATAAGTTAAATCAATAGGTAATCGTAAAGAATTATATAGATGTTCTACAATCCCTTAAGGAAAATATAAATTTAAGAAATATTTATCTTATTTCTTATTTTTAAAGTGGTTCTTATGAAATCTCTACTCTTCTGTATACATTTAGCTTGTAGGTATTCAAATTGAAAAGATAAGTCTGTACTTCAGAAAGACCCGAATCAGTAGTGTCAATTATAATTATTTCATTTGAGATATTGTCATTTTACTTACAAAGCAAAGATGCACACTGGGGCAATGTTTATTGTAAATGAACATTTCTATATTTTTAAGCCCAAGACCAATATTTCATTGAAATAATGATACTAATATTTCTAAAGATAGCTTTCTAACTCGTTTTTTTTATTTTAAAAAGTAAAAAGATATTACCTGTTCATACTGCAAATTTTATTTATTATTTACATAAGTAAAAAATGGTATATTTTCACTGTCTGTCATGAGAAACTTTATTAAATAAATACTGTTCAGTTGAACTATTAAAACAGCGATTAAGATCAATTTTTAAGTATTCATACTCAATACTTCCTATTTTTCTCCAACTTTGAAGTGATTTTAGCATACAAATTAAAACTGGAATGCTCCGCGATTATTCAGCCAAGTGAGGATGGCGCTAACGTGCTTCTTGTAACGAGCATTCGAGTACATCGCCATCTTCAGACCGTCGCCATTATCCGATTCGGTTACAAAGTCGGTCAGATTGGCCTCATCGGTGCGATCGAGTAAAACCGGTGGGCAGAGCATCAGAACAGTGTGGTAGCCTAAAACCGAAAAAATATGTGAAATATTATTACTATCTATAGCTTTTGAGATAGAGAGAGCTTTTTCCCCTACCAACTCGTCCGTATTTCAACAGCTGAGTGTGCAGGAACCGCAGCGAGGGGGTCTTCGCCTGTGGATACTTGAGCAGCGCCAAGTGCTCTATCAGCTGATCGTGATAGTACTTGATGAGGTAATCGAACTTGCACAACTTTATGTCAAATTGCGTGGATCCCAGTAGGAAGTAAATTAGATCATGGGCCACACTGGTGACCTTGGGCAGCTGCAGATCCACGAAGAAGGTCTCGGCTGGCTCAGGGTTCTCGCCCTCATACCGGAACATGATGTTGTTCGTCCAGCAATCTCCGTGATTTAAGGCATTAAAGTCCTCCGGATCTGGTGTGTTCATTGCATACATCAGATCCACTATCTTGGGTTGGATCTTGTGCTGTAAAATTAGATAATTAACCAAATCTTCTAGTGGAACTAAATGTCTGGAAAAGCTACTCACCACCGCCTCGCTATACTCCTCGTAGCCCTCGTAGAGAGGCAGGCATTTCAGGAAGTACTTTCCAAGAGTCTCGGCCACCTGTTCGATATTCACTTTCATGGAGTCGGCGTAGGTTGGCTGCAGATAGTTCTGTGTATATGGACCCTTCAGATGGAGCCTATTGGCAGAGGCCGCGTGCCATTGGGCCAACTTTTTAAGCACGCTTTTGGTATGGACCATGTTAAGGCCCTCCAGACGATCCACATTCTTAAAGCCAAAAGGCTTGAGATCCTGCAGCAGCACGTACTCGTCGGGAGCCTGAATTTCGTAGGCCTTGGCTCCGAACTGAACCTTCAGACCCGCGTCCTCGTACATCTTCTCCAGCTCGGGAATCACCTGCAGGAACACATCCCGCTCCACTACGAACATGTTGTTCTTCTTCAGGATCTCGCGGTACATCTCGAAGTCGTGTGGCGTCTTCAGCATGTAGCTAACCTTTTCGATGAGGTGATCTAATGGCGAAGCTCTAATGAGACTTTACTTTTCTTTGTTTGCCACAATTATGACTCACCCTTGAGTTCGACTTCGAAGTGTAGGCGCAGCATAATGGAGGAGTAATTTTCCCCCGGCTTGAGACCGGCCACCGGCTCGAAACTCTTGATTCCCACATACTTGTCCCCGAATCGCTCTGCCAGCAATTTCTCGAAGAGATCTGCCTTTAGCCAAGCGGGCACTGGAACAGTTGTGTTCTCGTCCGTCATCGTATATAAACTGAAGGCCGATTTGCCGGCTGTTTGTGTTTAATATTGAGATAGAGTGAGCTTTTAGCCCTCTATCTTTGTTTTCCGGAATTATATACATTATATATATAAACAAACGCCGATCCGAAAGCTCTCAAAGAGAGCACTCTCCACAGAACTTGTTTTCAGAATTAAAGAGAGTGGCACATAAAACCAAACATACAGACCAAAACAAACCATGTGTAGGGGGTAATATATGAAATTCATATTATGAATGTGGCCATAAAACCATGTATGGAGTGTCTGTTTAACGAATAGAAACATTGGTTGAGGCGACAATGAAGCACTAATGGCAAAAACAGAAATTATTTTACAATTTAATTTTTAAGAGTAATCAACTTTCATCAGCCAGGGACTTGACTGTGGTATACTTGTACCTTGGCTCGTTCCTGAATGATGACATGCGACTAGCGACCTTTAGCAATTATTACGATTTTCAAATTTTTAGTTAACCAATAAGCTTTTGCAATAACATATTGTCTTATCGCCGCAATTGTTTTATTCTGGCTTCTCAAGTGCTGACCATAAAAATTCAGTTTCAATAATATTTGCATTGCATTTATCTTATCCATAAAAGCGTCAATTGCTTTCTTTAAAGTGACTTTAATTTATATAACGTAAAAGAAAACAAAATTTGATTAATTGTATTCTTATGAAATCTATTCCAGTGCTCCTCGATGCTGCAGCCATGGCAAAAGGGCTTCTATATGCCTGAGGAATCTGGGATTGGAGTACAGCGAATTCTTAAAACTAGGATCATCAGCCAAGACCTTTTCAAAATCAGCGCCGTCCTTGGGATCCAGCAGGACAAATGGCATGATGGTAGAGGCGCAGACAAAGGCTGAAAAAGCAAGTTAATTAAAAAGTTAAAACATGCAAATAAAAGCCAAACACCTACCCCATGCATTGTACTTGGAAAGAGTGTCTCGAATACTCCTCAAGGTGGGCAGGGTCTTGGAGTACTTGAGCAGCTTCAGGTGCTTGACTAGCTCGGCGTGATAGAACCAAATAAAGTAGTCGAATTTCGCTATCTTCACGTCCAAACTTGTGGAGGAAAGCAGGAAGTAGTATAGATCCTGTGCAACTGTTCCCCACTTGGGCAATTGTAGGTCGACGAAGTACGTGTCTAATATCTCGTTCTTCTCGTTGTACTGGAACATGATATTATTTGACCAACCATCGCCATGGTTAAGGGCATTGAACTCGTCAGGTTTCGGGTTGTTCAGCTCTTCTACAATATCCAATAACTTGTCGGCTGCGAAATGCTGCCACATAAAAAAAGATAATAATATGATGAAGTACCAATATAATAGGTGTACCCACCAAATCCTTCAGGTAAGCCTCATAACCCTGCACCAAATGGACGTTATTAAGGAAAACCGCAATGTTACGATTACAGAATGCATCCACAATTTCTTCGTTCTTTAGAAAACCCTTGGTAAACTTCTCCTGGTAGGGTCCTTTGGTATCCACGCGCACTGCAGATGCCGCATGCCATTGTGCCATTTTCTTCAGGACACTCTCAGTGTGAGCCTGATCCATGCCTTCGAGTCGGTTGACATTCCTGAAGCCACGTGGCCTGAGATCCTCCAAAAGGACGTGGTAATCGCTGACAGGGATCTCGTAGGCCTCGGCACCAAACTTCACTTCGAGACCCGCATCCCGGTAGAGTTGCTCCAGTTCAGGAACCACTTCCAGATACATTCCGAGCTCCACATCGAAGATGTTCGACTTTTCAATTACCTTTCTATAGGCCTCAGATTGGTGAGGAGTTTTCAACATGAAGGCCTTGGTGAGTTGGGATTTATCTGGATACAAATATGAATATAGAGATTATCTGGACAGGTAATAAAATTAGAGACCCACCTTTGGTTTCCACATCCAGCTCCACTCTAAGCATTATGGTGGCATAGTTCTCCCCAGCAGGAACACCAGCTTTGGCCCTCATCGACTTCGTAGCCTTGTAATCCTTGACATCCTTTCTTAGGAGATCTTCAAAGACCTCCGCCTTCAACCAGTCTGGAATTAAAACTTTCCTCTGGTCCAGTTCATCTTCTTTTGTCTGTGGCGGCATCTTCGATATGTCACGTTGAGTTCCAAACACTTAATGGGAGCTTCTCCCAGGGGAAATCTATTTTATACACCTTACAGAAATTAATGGCGATGAGACTGATAAATCTTATCTCGTTCCATGCAAACAGCAGATTGTCTCAAGTTCATTTGTGCAAATGTGACACAGCAAATTATTACACCTTGGCTCAAAGGGAGGGTCTGTGATTCGTTTGAAGAAACAATCCTCTGACATATTAGCATCTCAGCATTACGCGACAGTTTCCCAGGTTTGAAGATACGAGCGGAATAATAATAAGATTATCAGTAAATTGGTTTTATTTATTTACTCAGAGATCTAAAGTCTCGCGTGCGCAATTCTCGAACTTCACAATATTTATTTAAACAACTTTTAATGATAAGCAAAAAAATAATAAAAGGAATTAGAGAGGTTATAAAAGAATGGGATGTTCCACAATTTATATAAACCTGGACTAGATTTTAGAATTTATTCACAGTTTCTAATGGAAAGAGACTGAAGAAAAGCTACAGACCTCACTAAGTGATGATAATATAAGTAATAATGTAATATTCATATCAATATATACTAAACAAACCAAGAAGACCTTGTAAATTCTATAGTAAAGTATAGAGATGGGTTTATATTCCTGTTTTATTTATTACAAATCTTCTCCTTTTTTTTAAACTATAGTGTGTAACATATACAATTTATGTTAAGAGTCTTATTATCTAATAAGAGACTTATTCCAGGGCACCTCTTTGCTGAAACCATGGCAACAGGACCTCCATATGCCGGCGATATCTGGGATTGGTGAATATGGAGTTCTTAAAACTGGAGTCCTCGGCTGACATGATCTGGTCGAAGTTAGCATCATCCCTGGGATCCAGTAAAACGAATCCCATTATGCAGGCAGCACAAATGAAGCCTGAAACATAATTTATTAATTGAATTATTAGGCTCAAATGTAAAAAATCGACAACTCACCCCATCCACTGTACTTGTTCAGGGCGTCACGAATACTCCTAAGAGTGGGCAGAGGCTTCGAGTACTTGAGAAGTTTCAGGTGCTTGACTAGCTCGGCGTGATAGAACCAAATTAAGTAATCAAACTTGGAGGTTTTAATGTCCAGGCTAGTTGAAGAAATCAGGAAGTAGTACAAGTCCTGGGCCACCGTTCCGTATTTAGGAATTTGCAGGTCCACGAAATAGGTATTCAATATCTCATTCTTTTCGTTGTACTGGAACATGATATTGTTGGACCAACCATCGCCGTGGTTCAGGGCATTGAACTCGTCGGCTTTCGGCACGTTCAGATCGTTGACCACATCCAACAACTTCTCGGAGACACTGCGCTATAGCGGGAGATACATAAGATAAGATACAAACATCCAGAGATAGTCGGTAGATTTACCCACCAAATCTTTGAGATAGGCCTCGTGACCCTCGTACAGATCGATGTGTTTTAGCAGATTCTTGACGCTGCGATTGCAGAATGCATCCACGATTTCTTCGGACTTGAAGAAGCCGGTAGTGAACTTCTCCTCGTAGGGTCCCTTGAGCTCCACGCGAACAGCAGACGCCGCATGCCATTGGGCCAGCTTTCGTAGGACACTTTCGCTGTGAGCCTGGTCCAAGCCCTCGAGGCGATTGGCATTCTTGAAGCCACGTGGCCTGAGATCCTCCAATAGGACATAGTAATCGCTGGCCGTGATCTCATAGGCCTCTGCACCGAACTTCACCTCCAAGCCCACGTCCCGATACAGCTGCTCCATTTCGGGAACCACTTCCAGATACATTCCGCGCTCCACATCGAAGATGTCCGTCTCCTCGATAATTTTGCGATATACCTCCGATTGGTGTGGGGTCTTTAGCATGAAAGCCTTGGTCACCAGGGAATTGTCTAGAGCATAAATCGAACTTTAAATTTATTTAAATTTAACCCTTAAAAATAATCAAACCTTTGGTTTCTACATCCAGCTCTACTCTTAGCATTATGGTGGCATAATTCTCCCCAGGAGCAACCCCAGCCTTGGCTCTCAGAGATTTCGTCTCCTTGTAGTCCTTGACCTTCCGCCTGAGCAGATCTTCAAAGGCTTCCGGCTTCACCCAGTCCGGGATCTTGACTTCTCTCTGACAAACCTCTTCGTCCTTTGTTTGTGGCGGCATTGCGGAAATATTTCGTTGGCTTCTGAGTAGTGACTGAGAGATCTGCCTCCTAGCCGCATCTTTTAAATAATTTCAGGAAGAAAGATAAGCACTATCTCATCCACACAGACTTTTATGGGTTGATTGCAAAGATGATGAAGCGCTTTGTTGCTTTTTTTGAAGAGGTGTTATGTGATCTAGATTGCATTTCTTGTTGAGTATGTTAGTCTTTTTATTTAGTATTAAGAATCAGTTGGGTAATACTACAGAAACCTAGACAACTAAAAAAAGTTTACGTCTGTTTCCCAAGTGTAGATAGTTTTCGCCTAACTTTTTTACGCATAACTCACAGTGGTCTATCGTTTTTTATGACTGTCTATGCCACCTGGAGACTGAATTTGATTGTGATCTTTATTTATGAAAATATACACAAAATGTAGATATATTTTATTACATATCCTAAACTCTTGTCTTTTTATATCAAAAATAAAGATAGGCTTCTTATTTTGTTTTGCTTCACTATTCGCATATGCTTTACATTTGCATTTGCGTTTTTCTTTCTTTTTTTATTAGGATTCCCCTTATGACATATTTTATTTAGAATCCCTCTAAATATTTGAGTTTTAATTTCTGTTCTGTTTGGTGTTAACCATGAATTAGTTCCCAGTAAACATTTAATAGCAAATATGTGACACTCCCTTGATATGTGTTGACTTGGCTTTAAAAAGTAAGATCCAGGAACAGTACACCACAAAAGAGCTTACAGTCATATATACATCTCAATATCTGTAACTATGTAGTATACTATACTAGCTTTATATAAATATATGTGTTAATGGTTAGGCATCTAACAAAGCTTTTCCATTTCGATAAGCATTAGTTTCCCTCTGAAAAGGAGCTTTCTATTCTATTATTTTGAAACTGTTTTGTTTTGATCCGCTGATTTGGCCCGAAGGGGAAATTTTGTTTACGGTTGCCTAGCAGCGCTATCAATTCGCCCAAACCCCGTGAATCACTATCATTTACTATATTGTCAAAAATACATTCTCAGAATGATTCTTGCAAATTGATTGAACCCCCATTTATCGTTCGAGTTTCTACGTTTATTTATACTCGTGGACATTATCGCACGAAGGTTTAGATAACACTATCATAAGGTTGCTCTAAATTCTGACATAATTCAGAGGTTTGTTGTGAAAATCCTAAAAATGTTTGTTTCTAATTCACATCCAAGGCGCCGCGATCCAGCAGCCAGGGCATAACCATCTGAATGTGTTTCCTGTACCGGGAACTGTTATAGAGCTGCATCTGGAAGTCCACTCCAGCGTCAGTTTCGCCAAATATATTATCAAAACTGGTGACTTCCGTGGGATCCAAAAGAACGATGCCCATCACACTAGTCACCACGCTATAGGCTGGATAAAGACATGGAAATACATAATTAGACTTTACAAATAACAACAAATTCCTACCATACAATCCGTTTTTCAAGAGCGACAAGTGAATATCACGAAGGCTGGGAAGAGGCTTTGAGTACTTCAGAATTTTCAGGTGCTCCACAAGATTATCGTGGTACACCTTAATGTAATAATCGAACTTGGTCAGCTTATCCTCCAGCTTGGTGGATGAGAGCAGAAAGTAGTATAAGTCCTGGGCAACGGTTCCGTACTTTGGGATTTGGTAGTCGACCAAGTAGACCTCCTTGATCTTGCCAAAGGCATCGTACTGGAACATGATGTTATTCGACCAGGAATCGCCGTGGTTCAGCACATTGAACTCGTTGGGATCGACCTTGGCGAACTCGTAACATTTTTCGATAAAAAGGGGCTGGAGGGCTTTCTAGTTAATGAGAAGAGGTGATGTATACATATAGACGATCTTTTTAATTTATTAAATATTAATTACTTACCACTTTGTCAATGTAATCCTCGTTTCCTTCGTATGTGGTGCAGACTTTGCTGAATCGAGAAAGCATTCCGCTCATCATCTCAGCCATCATTGGACGGCTTTCTTCTTTGAAAAAGCCATGAACCAGAATTTCCGGATACGGACCCTTGGTGGCCACCCGTACGGCGGAGGCAGCATGCCACTGAGCCAGCTTACGGAGAACCCTCTCCGTGTGAGTTTGGTCAAATCCCTCGAGGCGATTGGCATTCTTGAATCCCTTGATGCCCAGATCCTCCAAGGCTACATACTCCGTTTTGGCATTCTTGAGATCGTAGCTTTTGGCTCCAAATGTGATTTCAATTCCGGCTTCCTTGTAGAGTGCCTCCATCTCGGGCACAACCTCATTGTACATGGTCCGCTCAGTGTCGAAGATGTTGCTTCGCTTCATCATCTCCCTAAACATTTCTTCCTGATGGGGCAACTTGACCATGTAGGAAACCTTTTTGGTTTTGCCATCTAAGAAGGGGAGATTAGGAATCGAGTATGTTTATCGATTCAAAATTATGGACTCACCCTTGAGCTCTACCTCGATCTGTACCCGCAGCATGACTGTGGCGTAGTTCTCTCCTGCCGCAGATCCGAGTTCCGCCTTGAATGTACTGACTTTGGAGTATCCCTCCACACTTGACTTGAGAACATCCTCGAATAGTTCCGCATTAACCCACTCGGGTATTTTGCTGTCCGCCATTGCCGATAATTGTAGTAAGTTTTTAACGAGCGATAGAACAAGTATACGCCCGGTTGCACTCGGCTATGCTGACTGAGAGTCGACAGGGAGGATCAATAGTTTTATACCAGCTGGAAGGAGCTTTTATAATAATTGTGGTTCGAAATTACTTTTTATAGAACCAGCGGGCACTCTTTGGATTTTTGCACTTTGTGTTTATCTCCAAAAAAAGCTGTTTGCTTATCTGTGGACATTTTTATGAATTTATGAACTGTCAAGTCTGTAACCCTTGTAATTGTTTTTATCCAAATAAAACAATGTAACGCTGATCGAAGACTAAAAATCAATCAATTAACCTGACAAAATATAAATCAATTTAAAAACTTAGCTGTAAAAATTGTTTAAGTATCTTTCGGGAACGAATTTCTTTTCTCTTCCATAAATAAACTCTTTAAAGTGCAAAAAACACTGATTGAACACCTCTATCAATCGGCGCTTACCATTTTATTAATACTTTCGGACTGATACAGATAACCTTATCGCCTCCTTATGTTATGACTCAAATTATTAGTTTTTGTTGGTCAAACTAGCAAATTGTTTGTTAGGGGTAATAATTCTAATTAATATCCATGGCGCCGCGATTCATCAGCCAGGGCAGGACCGCCTGGATGTGTTTGCGGAACCGGGGACTGTTGTAGAGCTGCATCTGGAAGTCCACTCCGGCCTCAGTGTCGCCAATGAAGTTCTCAAAACTGGCGACATCCGTAGGGTCCAGGAGAACGATGGCCATCACGCCAGTGGCCACAGTGTAGCCTAAATATAGAAAATGGAAATGTCTAAATCCACCTTACAAATAACAACAAATACCTACCGAAAAATCCGTGTTTTAAGAGCGACAAGTGAATGTCACGAAGGCTGGGAATGGGCTTTGAGTACTTCAGGATCTTCAGATGCTCCGCCAGACTGTCGTGGTACACCTTAATGTAATAGTCGAATTTGGACAGCTTATCCTCCAGCTTGGTAGAGGAGAGCAGGAAGTAGAGCAAGTCCTGGGCCACGGTTCCGTACCTGGGGATCTGGTAGTCGACCAAGAACACCTCCTTGATCTTGCCAAAGGCGTCGTACTGGAACATTATGTTATTCGACCAGGAATCGCCGTGGTTCAGCACATTAAACTCGTTCGGGTCGACCTTGGCGAACTCGAAACATTTGTCGACAAACAGGGGCTTGAGAGCTTTCTAGTGAGCGTAGAACAGAGCGATGATTACATGGTTAATTGCATACATTAAATAGTAATTACTTACTACTCTGTCAATGTAAAGCTCGTTGTTTTCGTAGGTGGCGCAGCTTTTGACGAATCGTGAGCCCATTCCGTCCATCATCTCAGCCATCATCGGCTTATTTTCCTCCTTAAAGAAGCCCCTGAGCAGGATCTCCGGATACTGGCCTCTGGTTGTTATACGCACGGCGGAGGCAGCATGCCACTGAGCCAACTTGCGGAGCACTCCCTCCGTGTGAGCTTGGTCGAGTCCCTCGAGGCGATTAGCGTTCTTGAACCCCTTGATGCCCAGATCCTCCAGGGCCACATAATCGGTCTCGGCGTTTTTAAGATCATAGCTCTTGGCTCCAAATGTGATCTCAATTCCGACTTCCTTATAAAGAGCCTCCATCTCGGGCACAACCTCATTGTACATAGTTCGCTCGATATCGAAAATGTTAGTCCGCTTCATCATCTCCTTGAACATTTCATTTTGATGCGGCAACTTGACCATGTAGGACACCTTTTTGGTTTTGCCATCTAAGGGGAGGCAAATCTGATTCGTATTTGATCATGAATTCAAAATAATGAACTTACCCTTCAGCTCCACCTCGATGTGTACCCGCAGCATGACGGTGGCGTAGTTATCTCCTGCCGCAGATCCAAGCTCCGCCTTGAAAGTGCTGACTTTGGAGTATCCCTCCACACTTGACTTGAGCACATCCTCAAATAGTTCCGCCTTAATCCACTCTGGTATTTTGCTATCCGCCATTGCAAATAGTTGTAATTAGTTTTTATATTGCGTGTAGAACAAGTATACGCCCGGTTGCACTCGGCTGTGCTGACTGGGGGTCGACAGAGAGGATCAATAGTTTTATACCAGCTGGGGGAAGCTTTTATAATATTTGTGGGTTTTCGAAATAAAGTTTCATAGAACCTGAGGGCTTTCTCTCGATCGTAGTTAGCTTTTTTTCTCTAAAAAAGCTGTTCGCTTATCTAATGGCATTTTCATAAATTTGTGTAGTATAGTGAAGCTTCCAGTGATGTGAAACTTGTAATTGTCTGTATCCACAGGCAAGCCATTTATTGACAACTAAGATTAGAAATCAAGGCTTGTCATAAAAGTGTGCTGACCTTTAGGGACTTATTTAATTAATATAATTAATACCTTATACTGTACTTATTTATTTCGTTTATACATGAAACGAATATTACGATAAATGAGTAAAAAATAAATTAGTCTGTTCATAGTTAATTATTAAACACATACATATATGTTCATAGATAAAAAGCACTCAATACGGCCCTTGTTTTTTAGTTTTGTTTTACTAAAGCTATTCACTTGTGATATATGGCACTTGTTTTATGATATTCTCTCCAGTAATAGCCCGTTTTTGGTTTGCTTCTGAATTCTTTATTATTTTTTGCTAGTATTTATTTTATTTATTTATAATTTTTGTATGATTATAAATTAAAGAATCCCAAAACCAAATTTTCGATCGTTTTGTTTTGGGTCTCTTCTTTGCTTATGCCCTTATATGGATTATGTTTCTCACTTCCCACTCGTTACCTGAGTTATTCAGGTTTGTGTTTCAAATAAAATATTAACGCTAAAACACAGAAATCACTTTTATAGCAAAGAAATAGTTTATATTTATTTAAGTATCCCTTAAGTAGCGAAAAACAAACAAAACCAATTTCTCAATAAATAACCTTTTGAGTGCTTTGCAAACATTAAATGAACTCCTCTATCGATCGGCGTTGCGCCGTTTTATTAATACTTTTGAACAGATATAGATAGCCTTATCGCCACCTTATGTCATGACTCAGCTGAAGAGCTCTAGCTTGGCAAACTAGGAAATGGTTTGTTGGGGGTAACAATACTAATTGGACTCTAGGGCGCCGCGATTGAGCAACCATGGCATGACCCCCTCGATGTGTCTGCGGTACCGAGGACCGCTGTACAGCTGCATCTGGAAGTCTACTCCTGCCTCGGTGTCGCCCACAAAGTTCTCGAAACTGGCCTTTTCCGTGGGATCCAGTAGAACGCCGGCCATGACACCTGTGGCTACTGAAAACCCTGTTAAACGAAACAAAAAAACCCTACTTAATATTTGTTTAAATTTGAAAGAACTCTGATCCTGACTTACCAAAAGATCCGTGCTTGAAGAGTGACAGGTGAATATCTCGCAGGCTGGGAATGGGCTTTGAGTACTTTAGAATTTTTAGGTGCTCCACTAAGTAGCTATGGTACCTTTTAATGTAATAGTCAAACTTGGACAGCTTATCCTCGAATTTGGTGGATGAGAGCAGGAAGTATTGAAGGTCCTGGGCAACGGTGCCATACTTGGGCAGCTGGTAGTCGACCATGTAGACCTCCTTGATCTTGCCAAAGGCATCGTACTGGAACATAATGTTGTTCGACCAGGAATCGCCATGGTTTAGCACATTAAACTCGGTGGGATCGACCTTGGCCATCTCAAACATTTTGTCCATAATCACAGGCTGAAGTTCTTTCTACAGGTGAAAGACAACGAAGTTAGGGTCACATATTTACACACATAATTAGCATTTTTTCCTTCTTACAACTTTCTCGATATACGCCTCGTTGCCCTCGTAAGTGGCACAACATTTGAGGAACTTCTCACCCAGGGACCTTGTCATCTCGGTCATCATTGGGCGATTGTCGTCCTTGAAGAACCCTATGATAAGGTCTTCCGGGTAAGGACCCTTGGTGGCCACTCTCACAGCGCTGGCTGCATGCCACTGGGCCAACTTGAGCAGCACTCTCTCGGTGTGAGTTTGATCCAGCCCTTCGAGTCGATTAGCATTCTTGAATCCCCTCATGCCCAGATCCTCCAACGCCACATAGTCACTCTTGGCATTCTTGAGATCGTAGCTCTTGGCGCCGAAAGTGATCTCCAGGCCTGCGGCCTTGTAAAGAGCCTCCATCTCGGGCACATATTGAAGGTACATGCTGCGCTCCATGTCGAACATGTTGTTCTTCTTTGTCATCTCCTGCAAGATTTCCAGTTGGTGGGGCAGCTTCATCATAAAAGAGACCTTCTTGAATTTGCCATCTGGAAAGAGAAAGGCACACCAAAGTCAGAAGATTGGACCTGGACTAGACTCTATACGAACTTACCCTTCAGCTCCACTTCCACGTGAATCCGTAGCATGATGGTGGCGTAGTTCTCTCCCGCCGCGGATCCGATTTCCGCCTTAAAGTTCTTCACTTTTGAATAGCCTTCTATATCCGTCTTCAGCACATCTTCGAATAGCTCGGCAGTGACCCAATCGGGAATCTTATTATTCGCCATTATGTATACATATATATCACTATTTGGTATTCCAGTAGATGAGAAACGAGGTGTCCGTTTGGACTGCTGGGCACTAACTGAGGCTAGAAGGAGAGGATCATGGGGTTTATATACATTGAAGAGCTAGGTAATTTCCCTCTATCGGCTCTCGCAAGCTCTTCCAATGTGGTGCGATTATTATTTCTCTCTTTTGCAGCTTTCGTTGACGTTTTGTGTTCATATATGGTGTTGTATGGCCTTCCAACTACTTTTCGAAGTGGTGACCCTTGCAGAGAGGTGCTTATCAATGAACCCTTCTTTCTGGCTGTGACTATGGCCAAATATGGAATGATACTAGAGGAGCATATTAAATCCAAGCCTAATCGTACAATACTTTCTGCTAACTAACCCGCCATTGCAGATAATGGAGATTGGTTTTTCTATGAAATATAAAAGGTATACGTCCTTTTGCACTGGGATGGGATGGGAGGATCACTAGATTTATACCAGCTAAAGACAGCTTTCTTTTGTTATAAAGGGTTTTTTTCTCGCTTTCTCACGTTCTATCATTTATAAGCTCATTCTTTCAGTTTTGTTTTGCTAAGCTGTTCGGTTTTGACCTTATAAGGCACTTGTTGCTCGTTCTTCTCTCCACTAATCACCGGCTTTTTGTTTGTTTATTTTGATTTTTATGAAAACGAGAGAAGAAATAAGAATAAGAGAGAGGAAATTAAAGCTTTGGATTGTTATTTCTCATTTTGTTTTGCTCTTCCTTTTTTTTATGCCCTTATATGGTACACAGGTCTCCCACATTACCTGAAGTCCGTGTTTGACATTAAATATTAACACCAATTCCCTGAAAAACTTAACACTGAAAAATTAATGAAAAATGTCACTTAATTTAACTCCATGGTATTCTTCTTATTATTAAATATATATTTTTGAATCTATCTTCTTAAATTCTGATTCAGTTTCTTGGTGTGCTTATATTGAAAATTGTTTGGCCTCCAGGAAGAATCTTTAATACATTTGATCAAATCTACCAAACTGTCTTATACTGATAAGACCTATTTCGACTGATTTTTCTAAAGTCAACGATAATGAGCACAATACCAATATATTTGCCTCTAACTACAAAAGGTTACTGTCTCCTAAAACGATTTCCCCCTTACATTGTTTATTATTGTTATTACTAATTCGTGCGGCAGAGAAACAAAAGTGTTCGTCTTCAATTGCCTCTCCGTAAGCTTTTCTAATGACACCTCAAGTATTTGTCTCTAAAAAGCTTTCATGAACATTTGTTTATTTGTTCATATAGAAAGAAACTTGGCCTTCAACTACTTTTTGGAGTAATGACCTTTACAGAACGGCGTTGTCCATAAACCATTATCTGGTTCTGACTATGATCAAATATGGAATGATACTAGAAATTGTTTATGATACACCCCCTAAATGACTGATAACTCCATATTTATATATTAAAATATTGCAATTGTAATCTTTATTTTGTGTAGTTTAATACATTTTAAAAAGGTTTTATATATCTATTAGGAATGCAGTGAATAGATCTCCCAATTCAACACTAAATTGGTTTAATTTAAATCTAATCTTGACTGATATCCAGAGCTCCTCTATTAAGCAGCCACGGCAGAATCAATTGGATGTGCTTCCTATAGCGGGCATTGTTGTACATTTGCATCTGGAAATCCGCTCCCTCTGCGGAATCGCTGAGGAAGTTCTCAAAACTGGCGCTGTCTGTGGGATCCACCAGAACGGCTGCCATAACTCCAGTGGCTGTAGAATAAGCTGGAAAGAAAAACAGAGTCAATCTTATTCGAGACTCAATTGTTAAATATACCCACCGAATAGTCCGTATTTATACAGTGCCATATGAATATCCTTCAGACTTGGCAGAGGCTTGGAGTATTTCAGGATCTTGAGGTGCTCTACCAGATTATCGTGGTAAATCTTTACGTAATAGTCGAACTTGCTCAGCTTGTCCTCCAGTTTTGTGGATGATATTAGGAAATACAGAAGATCCTGGGCAACAGATCCGTACTTGGGTACCTGATAATCAACCATGTAGACCTCCTTGATCTTGCCAATTTCGTCATACTGGAACATGATGTTGTTCGACCAACAATCGCCGTGGTTTAGCACATTGAACTCCGTAGGATCCACGACACCCAGCTTGAACATTTCATCTATTACCACTGGCTTTAGGGCTTTCTATAGTGAAAGTATGGACTCTATAGTAAAAACCTATTATAGGATACAGCTCATCTTACGATCTTTTCTATGTAAGCTTCGTTTCCCTCGTAGGTGGTGCAGCACTGGAAGAATCTCTGCCCCATTCCTTTCATCATCTCGTTCATCATCGGCTTATTTTCCACCTTAAAGAAGCCCGGGAGCAAGACCTCCGGATACTGGCCTTTGGTGGCTATCCGCACAGCTGTGGCCGCATGCCACTGGGCCAACTTGCAGAGCACTCTCTCGGTGTGCGCTTGGTCGAGTCCCTCGAGGCGATTAGTGTTCTTGAACCCCTTGATGCTCAGATCCTCCAGAGCTACATAGTCGGTCTGGGCATTCCTGAGATCATAGCTGTTGGCGCCAAACCTGACTTCTAATCCTGCCTCCTTGTAGAGTGCCTCCATTTCGGGCACCACCTGGGTGTACATTATGCGTTCGATTTCGAAGACATTCGTGTGCTTCATCACTTCTTGGTACAACTCCAATTGATGTGGCAACTTGACCATGAAAGAGACCCGCTTGGTCTTACCATCTGCGGGCGAGAGTTTCTAAATTTAATAAGCTCTCAAAGTGTTCCCCAAAGTGTCTCACCCTGCAGCTCTACTTCGATGTGAATACGCAGCATAACGGTGGCGTAATTCTCGCCCGCCGCGGATCCCATTTCCGCCTTGAAGCTCCTAACCTTGGAGTATCCCTCCACACTAGACTTGAGGGCATCTTCGAATAGTTCCGCAGTGATCCACTCGGGTATTTTGCTAGCCGCCATGGCAGATAATAGATTTGTTTTCGCTTGTTATAAAAGCGAGAAAATAAAACACGTATACGCCCGGTTGAACGGTGTTCCATTGACTGACAAAAATTTGAGAATTAGATAGTTTTATATCAGGCGATGGAGGAGCTTTAAACATATTGTAGAATTCTGAAGCTTCGTCTAATTCTTCTCTCGCAAGCTTTGCTGATGGAATCTGTGTATAATTCGCTCTCTGAAAGCTTGCTTTGTTTTTAATTTCATAGCATGTTTGTTTACATTCTCTGAATTCACATTCTTCATGGTGATGACCCTAATAATTGAGCTTCCATTAAAATCACCTAATATTAAATATATTCTTAAAAAAACCAACTAATGGTAATTACACTAATTTCGTTGTTAATATAAAAACCATTTGCAATTTGAGTATATATTGATTCTGCTTTCGTTCTTTTTTATATATCTTATGCATATTACGCTGTAATATTTGTCAACAACAAAAATAGATTAATGTACATAATACATTCCTTTATCTTCCAAATATTCTACAGATTTTTCCCTCGTTAGAGTAATTATTCAGATAATTATATAGCAATGTTTGCATGGTATAACTTTATATTATTTAATACTTTTTACAATAAGTTGAGCCCGGTTGAACCTGTTTGGCTCACTGCAACCTCCAGTCACCTTATGTAACCCCGCTCAATCAGCCAGGGCAGTATGACTTTGATCTGTTCCACGTAAGCCGGGAGCAGAAACATCTTCCGCTTGAACGCCGTAGCTTCCTCCGAATTGCCCATCACATTCGCTATATTCGAGTCCAGATCCGGTGGGAGCAGCACTATGGGCAGCATTCGCTGTGCGCATATAAATGCTGAAATTACGAGAGAGATTTGGGATTCAGTAACCATTCCTAAATGAGTTTCGCATCAAGGCCGGCCTTACCCCAGAGACTGTATCGGTGCAGATGGGCTTGGAGCTGAGCCAGTGTGGGTGCGTTCTGGTTGTATCTGAGCAGGCCGAGGTGTTCGACCAGCTGCCGGTGATAATACTCTATGAAATGGTCGAATTTCCCCAGTTTGATTGAGAACTTGGGGGATGTCATCAGCAGGCACATAAGGTCCTGGGCAGGTGTGCCTAAATATAATAGTGTTAATATACCTCTCTTATATTTTTTTACTTTTTGTTACCATATTTGGGCAGCTGAAAATCTACAAAGCAAACATCTTCCACCTCCGACAATGAATCCTTGTACTTGAACATGAAGTTGTTGCACCAGAAATCGCCATGGTTTAGCACACTCAACTCCAGGGGATCGTTTTTGCCAAATTCTATATTCAAATCAGTGAGACGTGATGTGTAGTCGCTCTTTAAAATGCAAATAAAATTATAAACAAATATAAAATATATAAATGTAACCTACTATTAGAACCATTTGTCCCGGATCCAGATTATATGTCTGCATGCACTCCAAGAAAGGCACACAGAAGTTAATATTGAATTCGTCCAGCAATTTCTGGTGCTCGGCTGTGAAGTAGCTTTCTCTGAGTCCCTTTTCGTACTCTCCCAGGTCAACGACCCTTTTTGCTGAGGCTGCATGCCACTGAGCCAGCTTCCTGAGCACAGCCTCCACTTCGAATTGTTCCAGTCCCTGGGTTCTATCCACATTGCTGTAACCCCTCATCCGCAGATCTTCCAATAGGATGTAGTCACATTTGACCGCATTTTCGGGAAACTTCAAATGCAGCGGCTTGAATTTCGGTGATATTGCAGTATTCCTGGCATACATAGCCTCCAGTTCAGGTATCAGGCGATCGTACATATCCAGTTCCGTAGTAAACATATCATGGAAGTCGTGATCCTGGCCATTTGGCACCAAAGGTATCTTTAGTATGTAGCTGACATCTTTGGTGCTATCATCTGTATCTAATCGTTGGTTACTTGATAAGAGCAGAGTAAAACTGACTCACCTTTCAGCTGCATCTCAATATGTATACGCAGCACGATTGTCAGATAGTTCTCGCCTTTGCTGATCGCAGCTCCAGGGACAAACTTAACGATGGCCTTGAAGTTTTTGATGTTCTGTTCTAATAAGCCATGGAAAAGCTGTTGGTTAACCCATTCTGGGATCCCTATTTCTGTCATTATTAGTATTTTGCTTAGATGATGCACTGGCGTCTGATGCGAATGCCTTTCTGTGAGATACTGTCTCCAAAACATGATGTTTTATGGCACTAAAAGCTTTTGGTTGACTCTCTTAAAAGCTATGAGGGAATCAAACAGCTTTTAAGAGAAATCGTTTAATCGGTGTCTTCCAATAGCTAATCTGTGTTTTGCAGATTGGTAAATAAAAGTAGCCTTCTTAATCACAATTATCTCATAACTAAAACCCATTTATTAAATCTTCATATTTAATTTTTATTCCTTTTTTAGTCTCAATAGCAGTACTCTATGACTTGGCATTGTGCATGAAGACGTGACGCCTCAGCTTGTCCGGCCGCGCAAATTCCTTGGCACAGAAGGTGCACTGATAGGGTCGCTCGCCCGTATGCTTCCGGCGGTGAACCTTCAGCTCGTAGTAGACCGTAAAGCGCATCTCACAGAGATCACACTTGAACGGCTTCTCCCCCATGTGGCGCCGCATGTGGATGTTCAGCTTGTTGGGCGTCAGGGCTTCCAGGCCGCAGAGCGAGCACAGATACTTCTTGCCCGGGTTCTTTTTGGCCACGTGCATGTCCCGAATATGCTTCTCCAAGCTGGGCTGAACGACAAAGGAACGCCAGCAGTGGGGGCACTGGTAGCGGAATCTTCGTTTTCTTCGCGACGGCGGCTGATTTTCCGGCATGGCGGGTTGCTTGGGATGCTGGGTGGCCAGGTGTAAAGCAAGATTCTCCTCCCACATGAATTTGTAGCCACACCGCTGGCAGGCGAACTTCTTTTCGTTGTTTCTGCACTGTCTGCTCAAGTGCTGTTCCAGCATAAACTGAAAAATAAGGAGTATATATAAAAGATAAAAGTAAATATAATTCTATAGGTACTCCCACCTTATCCACACTCTTGAAGATGCAATGCTCGCAGGAATGCGGCAGCTTGTCGAAGCTATGCAGGGAGTACTGGTGCTCGCTCATCTCGCGGCGGCGTCGGAAGCTTAGCTCGCAGAGGTCGCAACTGTAGGTTCTACTGGCCTGGAAACCCTCCTCATCACTGTCGTCCGTATCCTCCAACAGCAGCTCAAAGCCAGTTTCAGTGCTTATCATGTACGCCGATGGCAGGTCGCTGTGCCCGCCCTGCATGGCGATGTGGCGCCGCAGATCCGCCACGCTGATGAACTGAATGTCGCACACTTTACACTGGATACTCTTCTGGCCCGCATGCTTGGAGGCATCCGCCAGCAGAGTCTCGGCCAGTGGCAGATCCTGCCCTGTGAAGCCGTGCCGCTGCACGTGCTTGTAGAGCAGACCTGGGCGGTAGAAGGTGCGCGTGCACCAGCGGCATGGAATTAGCTGTGCGTTGCCGTCCCGGTGCACCATCAGCTTGTGCTTGGTCACGGCGCTCTTGTCCTGGAAGCTGCGGGAGCACTGATCGCAGGAGTAGTACTCTTGCTAAGACATTGATGCCGAAAAATACAAGAAATAAAAAGAGATTTATTAACGACTTAATATTGATTTAAGCAAATAATTCAAGGCATTTACAAAACGTAATAATTAAATTAAAATTTAAATTAAAAATTAAAATTAGGGTTCGTTTTTGAAAGCCTTTGAATGGTTTCTCGTAAAGGTTCCCTTCATTTCACAGTCGAGGCTCACCTTGCTCTTGTGCTCGACGAGATGGGCGCGCAGGTTTCGCCGCCAGAAGAAGCGCTGCGGACACTTTTCGCACTGGAAACGCTTCAGCGTGTTCTGGCACAGCTGGCTGGTGTGGTGCTCCAACAGCTGGGCACTGAGAAAGCGGGAATCGCAACGCTGGCAGACATACGGCGCATCCAGCCAGGTGTGCTCCTGTCGGTGGTGCTGATGCAGCAGGTACTTCCTTGGCCACCTGGCCTCGGGGGAGTCACACAGCTCGCAGGCGTAGCTGCGTCGCAGCACCACATCCGCCTCGCCTTCACCATCGCTGTCTGTGTCCGAGCTGTCCATATTCATCTCATAGCGCGCCTGGTTGGTAATGGAATAGTAGCGGCCATACACCCCCAGCCTGAGATCCCGGAATATCCGACGCTTTAGGCCCTCCGTCGTGGACTCGACGGCAGTCTTGAAGAAGCCCTCGGCTATGCGCTCGATGGGCTCTCCATGGGCCTCGAAATCAAAGTCTGTGGGATGGGCGTGCAGGTGATCCCTCAGCTCGCGCAGCTTGGTAAACCGGCGAAGGCAGATCATGCACTTGATTTCCTTGGCCCCATTCGGCTCGCAGCTGTGCGGATCAAAGTCCTCGACGCGTCGATTGATCCTCGAGGTTTTGGCTGAGGATGACGTGGCCAAGGCTGCAGATGTGGAGGCTAGCGGGAGATCGTCCTCCGAGTCCGATTGCTTCTTGTCCCGATCCGTGTGCTCCCGGTGCTTGTGCTTGATCAGGCTGACAATGTACTTGTAGGATTTGCTGCACTGATCGCACTTGTAGTAGTTGTCCACGCTGCAGTTACCTTCGTCTTCGTCCGAGAGTCTGCGGGAGAATTATCAAATCAGATGAAAAGATCTAGCTCGATGGGTATACAAAGGTGCCAGCAGAATCGAGATTTCTATGGAGCCCCTATAATGCCTTAATTTAGTTAATAGATCTCGCTACTCACTCGACTGCCTTTATGATGCTGTGCACCAGGGCATCAGTATTGCCGCGACTGCGCTGCGTGGAGGTTCCCGAGGTGGAAGCTGGACTAGAGGGACTCGCATCGCCAGGCATCACCGAGGGCCTGCCGGGCATCTTCCGCCTGGACGTCTTTGAGGGCAAAAGACTCGCTCCGTGCTCTGCGTGCTTGTGTTTCACCAGCGCCATAACATACTTGTAGGCCTTGTCGCACTGATCGCACTTGTAGTAGTTGTCATCGTCGTCTATCCTGGTGAGTCAAGAGCAAACCATTAGAGACTAGACTAAATATTAAGGGAAATCACTCACTCCTCGCCTGGCTTTGGGGGCAGGCCATGATCCCGCTGCTTGTGGCGATACAGATTGGTGACGTAGCGAAACGCCTTGTTGCACACCTCGCAGATGTTGTGCTTCTCCTCGGCGTTGACGGGCTGTGGGGCTGGGGAGACCTTTCGCTGGCGCAATGGGACATCTTCTTGGTCGCCTCCATCCGAGTCACTAAAGTGCACAATGGTGCGCTTGACGAGCCGCGAGCGTACCAGAGGATCGGCGGTAACCCCGCCTCTTCCCATCTTCATTGGCGGCTCCAGCACCTCGGACTTGATGGTCACGCCCTCGATTTCGAACAAATGAATGGGTGTCTCCCTGAGAGCCTCCAGGGCCTCGGAGCCCAGCATTTCGTCCCCAGAGTCGTCGCCCAGCTTGCGCAGCCACAGCTCGTGCGTTTGCCGTGCCTGCAGCACAAAGTCGTAGGTAGTCTCCAGCTTCTGGGCGCAGGCGGAGCACAGCCACTGGGGGAACTTCTCCGCCCGGGCCATAGCCACCTATTAAAGCAATAATTCGCATTAATGCGGGCGGAAATTGGCTGACAATAGCTAGCCCACCTCGATCCTCGTTAGCTCGACCAGCAGCTGTCCGAAGGTCTTCTCCGCGTATTTTTCCACCGGCGTCTCAATCCAGTAGCGTCCGTCATCTCCGCCGCAGATTCTGCACGTCCGCGTCATCCTTCTAGCACATTTAATGCGTTTAATTCGTAATTCCCAGCACGAAAAGGCAAAAAGCGTCTGATAAAAATTGTCAAGTAAACAGCTGAGCGGCGGGTGCAGTGTTGGGTAGCGGTGCATCGGTTGAGCATGATGGAAGTATGTAAGGTGGTCATACCAGCATGAACCGTTAGCATTTATTTTCCGCTTTCTCTGCTCTTGGCTTATTTAAGAGTTCATTTAGCTAAATTTTGCTCAGAATATTGCTTATGTGGGTGGTCATAGCCTGGCAACACTGTAGCAATATCATACTGTAAAAATGGACCACCTTATATAATTGTACCATGAAAGAGAGCAGCTCTCGCGACCACCTTATGGTTATGGGTTATGAATTGCCAAATCTGGTCACACTGCCAATATCTCTTGTTGCATTTTCTCAAAACTCAAAGATTTACATTGTTTTTCCTAGTTTCTTATTGTTTTTCGAGCATAAAAATATACCTGATGTAACTACGGCGCCGGCACAATGCTTCCCCCAAATATTTGCCGCACTTGTGCGGTCCAGAACACGGACTTACGGCCACTGTCCACCTGTCTGGCCAAAGACGCCTCAAAAAGTTTCTATGATGTGCTCCAGGAGCTAACGCAAATCGATGTAAGTAGACATTGAGATCCAGAAATAACCCTCTAATACTCTTTATCCGATTATATAGCCCCTGGTTGAGAGCTCGGGTGACAGTCTGCCGCAACATCTCTGCACCGAGTGCCTGGCGAGATTGGAAAGTGCCTATGCTTTTGTGGAACAGGCCAGAAAAGTCAATGGCGAGCTCTTGGTTCGTTTGCGGGAATGCCTCGAAGAAATGCCCATTGACATTCCGCAGGAGGAGCAGCATATCAAAACCGAAGTAGATATCGATGAGGCGACTCCCAAGTTTGTTGTGGATTCCCCAGGAATATCACCTGTGGAGTTCAAATGGCAGCCGGAAAGTGACAGCGATGAGGAACCTGCTGAAGCAGCAGTCAGTGATGAGTGAGTTTTATAAACTTGTATTAAAGCTTGTATTAATTCCATTTCTCCTTAGGAATCAGGCCGAGAAGAAGCCCTATTCCCTGCGACGTAGTTCACGGAAACTCAAGCAGCCTGTGGAGAGCGATACTGAGGAATTGGAGTTACCATTAGAACCATCGCCCATCAAACGCCGTCGTGGCCGTCCGCCCGGCCCGGCCAAGCGCCAGTCTATGACCTCCGATGGCCGCCATGCCTGCAAGGTGTGCGGCAAGACCTTCTCCTGGTTCCGCGATATGCAGCGCCATGCCCGCATCCATTTCGAGAAATCCAACGCTTACGTATGCGACACCTGCGGCAAGGGATTCTTGCGCAAGGACAAGTACACATTCCACCTGCGCTGTCACGAAAAGCGCGATGCCAAAAGCAAGGCTCTGGAGCTGGGTAACGAATGGCGCTTCGCCGAACGGCTTTACAGTTCCGGCAGGCTAAAGAGAATTGAGTGCAAGCTGTGTGGCTTGAAGTGCCCGCGAATTCAAGAGCTCAGAACTCACTTGGTCAGCCATCAGAATGTGGAGAGCCTGTCCCAGTTGAGGGAGAATAGCGATGTAATCAAGGAGCACTATGCCGAGCTTCTAAACAACTTGGAAGGCGCCAAGCAGCACATTATCAAGGACATAGAGGCAGGGCACTTGGACAAGTTTGCTTCCGTGGTGAATATTCATGGCTACGAGTTGGGATTATGTGACTCGGACGAGGAATCACCCGGCGGAGAGTCCAAATATGAATGCACAATGTGCAATCTCTCCTTTTCCAGGAAACATCAAATGGTGAGGCACACACTGGAGGAGCACGCCCAATCCTCTACTTCAGAGCTTCCCTGGCAACGCTGCAGCTTTTGTAAAGTCGGATTCCTGTGCTCCAGACTGTACGAGTGCCATGTAAACACCCAGTGTCAAAGCAAACTAAAGCGATATCGCTGCCCCAAGTGTCCGGGGAAGTTTATGTGGCCGGAGAATCAGCACAGGCACGCTTGCTCACATAGTCACGAGGAAACCACGTCTGCCCGCCACATCTCCTGCTCCTTGTGCGATGAAACGCTGCCCAGTTTGGCCCAATTGCGCATACACCTGGTTACCCACCAGAATAATATCAATCCGGAGCAAAATTCCACCTTCTTTCGTTCGTTCTATCCCAACGGATTGGACTGCACTCCGGAGGAGCTGGGTGTTCGCGTAGCCGAGGACTTTGAGGTGCAGGACTTTGATCGCTACTACAATGCGTGCACGGGCAGTGGCCAAGAGCTGGATCTCTTTGATTCCGAGACGGAGCAGAGCGGCAACGACCGGGAGGAGGACGAGAAGCCCACCTCCCACACCTGTTTGCTGTGTGGAAAGGTCACAAACAGACTAACGACCCTGCTGCAGCACCAGAACAACGCCCATTCAAGGGCCACGACGACTGAGTTGCCTTGTTCCTGCCAGGATTGTGGCGCTAGCTTTATAAGTGATGCCCTGCTGCTGCAGCACCGCCGCCGGATCTGTGGCAAGAAACATTTCCGCCATCACTGCCAGAGTTGCAATTTGCGGTTCATCTGGCCAAGCAACTACGAACTGCATCTGAAGACCCACCATTGCCAAGGGGAGGAGGAGCAACTCCTGGAGGGTGAGCATCGGGACGCCAAGTTGCAGTGCGATGAGTGCGAAAAGGTCTTTGTCTGGCACAAGGATCTCACGCGTCACAAGCGGCTGCACCTGCCTCAGTCGGCGCAGTTCGAGTGTCCGCACTGCGATCGAAAGTTCCACCGCAAGGATGGCCTAAAGTCTCACCTGCGTGTGCACTCCGAAGAGCAGCCTCTTATAACCGAGAGTAGTCAGGTTCTTGCCCTGCTCTCCCGTCCTCATGGCTCCAAGCAGATCCAGTGCATGATATGTCTCTCCCGCCACTCCAAGATCTCTGATTTGCGAGCACACCTGGCCGCCCATCAGTACGGATTGAACTTCTCCGAGGAGACCGATATCTCCCATATCTCAAAGGCGCTGCATCCGGAAGTGGGTACAATCTTGGACAGAGATGAACTGGCGGATAGAATTATGGCTGATGTGGAAAACGGATTCGAGTTGGAACGATTTATTTCCATTACCAATGAGGCTGGCTTGGAGCTCAACTTGGACAGCAGCGAGACGGACACGGGATCCGAGCAAGAGGAGGAACAGCTTTCCAGCGTGAAATATGCCTGCCAGCTATGTCCCACGGTGGTGAACAGAAAGCATAAGCTTTATGCCCACCAAGGGGAGACTCATCAGTGGGAGGAGGCACCGTTTATTTGCTCCCACTGTCAGGCTAGGTTTGTCAGCGAATCCCTGCTAGAACATCACTCCAGGACCTTTTGCGGTAACGCCCAGAAGCGCTTTCAGTGCCGCAAATGCCCGCTCCGCTTCCGCTGGCAAGAGAACCTGAAGCAACACCTACATCTGTCCCATCAGCAGGCTGAGATGCCACCGGCAGAGGACTCTACGCAATCGGAAACCGAATTTCAATGCGGCGAATGCCAGCGAACGTTCAAGATGCAGAAGGATCTCACGCGGCACACCATGATGCATGCCCGGGAGGCCACGGTCTACCGTTGCCGTTGGTGTGCTCGTCGTTTCTACCGCTGGGCCAATCTCCTGCAGCACATCGCGCGCCATGGCATCCGAGCTAGTGAGTTGCACTATGCCGAGGCTCTGCTGGACTCCTACGGACATCCAGGCGGGCAGAAAACTGTGGAGTGCCGGGTGTGCAATGTCAGTTTCGCTAGTATAGCCGCCCTGCGTCTGCATCTGGAAACCATGCCGGCGGGGAGCCATCACGAGCTCTCCTCGTTGAAGAACTACTCGATCACCAACCAAATGGGCTTTGAACTGGAGCTCCAGGATTCGGAAACTGATGAGGAGCAGTCGAAGCCGCCCGGAGTACCTGCCTACTATACGTGCGGCATGTGCCAGCTGAGGTGCGTGCGAAAGTTCGAGCTGCAACAGCACCAGCAGGCCATGCACCGCCTGGAGAAGATTCCCGATGGCTGCGACCAGTGCATCTTCAAAAGCGTCTGCCCCGATCTCATTGCCCATCACAAGAGGACGCAGTGCGGCAACCGGGAGAAGCAGTTCACGTGCTCTCGCTGCGGCTACAAGTTCATGTGGGAGTCGAACCTGCTGACGCACATGCAGCTGCAGCACGGCAAGACGGACAATCCGGAGCAGGAGGAAGGCAAAGAGCCTTCGCCGGAAGAGCCAAAGGCCGGGAGCCCGGTTTTCCAGTGTGCCCTCTGCCCGAGGAAGTACAACCGAAAGGACCGTCTCTCAGCGCACGTTAAAAAGTTCCATGGGCCCGATGGCCGGGGCCCCGATGTGGTCAAGGTTCGTCCTGCCAGAGCCGCCTCCCCCAAGGAACCGAAGCGCTTCCTGTGCGCTTTCTGCGGCAAGGCGGTCAGTTCCTCCTCCAACCTGATCATCCATATGCGTCGCCATACCGGCGAGAAGCCTTTCAAGTGCGAGTTCTGCTCCATGGCCTTCCCACGATCCTCGGACCTTATGTGCCACCGACGAACGCATACCGGAGAGCGGCCGCACGTGTGTACCGTCTGCCAGAAGGGATTCGCCCGCTCCTACAAGCTGCAGCAGCACATGCGCATCCACAGCGGCGAGCGGCCGTACAAGTGCACCTATTGCGAGAAGAGCTTCACCCAGTCCAACGACCTGACACTCCACATCCGTCGGCACACAGGCGAGCGGCCATATCAGTGCGGCATCTGCGGGGAGCGTTTCATCCAGGGAACAGCGCTGAAGAATCATCGCCTGCAGCAGGGCCACTACGAGGAGGGTCAGACTTCTGGGGAGCCTGCAAGGCGCACGGTTTTGGAACAGTTTACTGTATGAGATTGGGGAATAAAAATTCGGTTCATAAAAATATCAAGGAAGGTTTTTTTCTTTTCCTGGGGAGTTTACACAGAAATTTTGGATTAACTTTTACAAGAACTAAAATCACTTAAACCGATTGTAAGCCTTTGGCTTCCTGAAAAAGCTTTCTTTTTTTGTTTTAATTCAAATTAAAGATAAACTAGGAAGAAGAAAATATATGATTGGAAATTACTAAAATCATAATACCCTTCAAGACCTGAAATAAATGATTTCTTTAAATGGATATTTAACCATATTTGTATGATTATACATATATATTTTTATACCCTTGCAGGGTATTATAATTTCAGTCAGAAGTTTGCAACGCAGTGATGGAGACCTTTCCCACCCTATAAAGTAATTTTATATAATTTTAGGATTGCCAGAGATGAAGCTAAAGGAGCGAGCAGCTGGCTGGACAGACCTCAACCGGATGGCAGTAGAGGACGGTGATCGAATCTTGGCTCCGGGCTATATGAAAGCCTGCAGCAGGAGTAGATAATTAAAATATTTATAAATGCAATTTAAATATGTAAATGTAATTGATGGAACACACAAATATGAATCAATAAAAGATGGTGAAATCAATGCGCAATTTTTTTGTGAAGGCGGCATTTATTTGGGATCGTTTGGGGAAAAATCTGATTATTTTGAAAGCAAAACCTAAATTTTAAAATTTTTTTCTGCATTTTAAAATTTTTTAAATTTTTGTCTTAATTTTTAAAATTTTTCTGAATTTTTTAATTTTTTTCTGAATTTTTAACATTTTTTTTCAGATTTTTTTATTTTTATTTAAGAATTTTTTGTTGAATTCTTTAATATTTTTAAATTTTTTAACTGCCAAATTTGAATTTGAATTTAACTGCCAAATTTGAATTTAACGACGATCAGTTTTAGTGTGCCCAGGTGCAGTTGTAAAATAAAACCTAAATTTGGATTCAAAAGTCTCCGCTTACTTGCTCAGAATCCTAAATGGTTTGAAACTTGGACTTTTTATAACAGTTTATACCAGTTTTCAGTTGCTTGCTGCTGATTTCTGTTCGCCTGTTACCCCAATTTGGGAAACGGGCAATTTGCATGGAAATGTTCGGAAATTTGTATGGGCTGCTGTAGGGATGTTGTTGTAAAAAGGTTGTTGTTGCCATAAGCTGTTGTTGTCGGCAACAAATAGGTATAAATGCATAAAATGAAATATAAAAGTTTATACCAATTATTATTTTTGGACAAAAGTTTTTATAACAGTTTATACCAGTTTTCAGTTGCTTGCTGCTGGTTTCTATTCGCCTGTTACCCCAGTTTGGAAAGCGGCCAAATCGAATGAAAAAATTTGCTCACTTGCATCAGTGATGCTCATCTCCATCAGTGATGCTCATCTAGCTATATTGCAATATTGGGAGGCTATAAAATCGGGCTTAATGACAGTGATGCTCATCTGGCTATATTGCAATATTGGAAGGCTATAAAATCAGACTTTGCATCAGTGATGCTCATGTAGCTATTTTGCAATATTGGAAGGCAATATATTAGGCTTAATGGCAGTGATGCTCATCTAGCTATATTTCTTTATTGGGACAAAATAGATAGATGAGCATCACTGATGCAAAGTCAGTTTCAGTGTGCCCAGGTGCATTTAAGCAACATTTTAGCCAAAAAATTTACAATATGGTCACATCTGGTTTGAGTCTTCGCTTACTCCAAGATCAATGGTTCGAAACTTGGACTTTTTATAACAGTTTATACCAGTTTTCAGTTGCTTGCTGCTGGTTTCTGTTCGCCTGTTACCCCAATTTGGGTAACGGGCAATTTGCATGGAAATGTTCAAAAATTTGGATGGGCTGCTGAAGGGATGTTGTTGTAAAAAGGTTGTTGTTGCCATCAAGCTGTTGTTGTCGGCAACAAATAGGTGTAAATGCATAAAATGAAATATAACAGTTTATACCAATTATTACTTTTGCCCAAAAGTTTTTATAACAGTTTATACCAGTTTTCAGTTGCTTGCTGCTGGTTTCTGTTCGCCTGTTACCCCAGTTTGGGAAACGGCCAAATTGAATGAATAATTTTGCTCACTTGCATCAGTGATGCTCTTCTCCATCAGTGATGCTCATCTAGCTATATTGCAATATTGGGAGGCTATAAAATCGGGCTTAATGGCAGTGATGCTCATCTGGCTATATTGCAATATTGGGAGGCTATAAAATCAGACTTTGCATCAGTGATGCTCATGTAGCTATTTTGCAATATTGGGAGGCTATAAAATCAGGCTTAATGGCAGTGATGCTCATCTAGCTATATTTCTTTATTGGGACAAAATAGATAGATGAGCATCACTGATGCGAAGTCAGTTTCAGTGTGCCCAGGTGCATTTTAGCAACATTTTAGCCAAAAAATTTACAATATGGTCACATCTGGTTTGAGTCTTCGCTTACTCCAAGATCAATGGTTCGAAACTTGGACTTTTTATAACAGTTTATACCAGTTTTTAGTTGCTTGCTGCTGGTTTCTGTTCGCCTGTTACCCCAATTTGGGTAACGGGCAATTTGCATGGAAATGTTCAAAAACTTGGATGGGCTGCTGAAGGGATGTTGTTGTAAAAAGGTTGTTGTTGCCATCAAGCTGTTGTTGTCGGCAACAAATAGGTGTAAATGCTAAAATGAAATATAACAGTTTATACCAATTATTATTTTTGCCCAAAAGTTTTTATAAAAGTTTATACCAGTTTTCAGTTGCTTGCTGCTGGTTTCTGTTCGCCTGTTACCCCAGTTTGGAAAGCGGCCAAATCGAATGAAAAAATTTGCTCACTTGCATCACCCAAAAAAAAACCGCATCCTCCTCATAACTCAAAAATAGCACATTTTTTAAGGCTTATTATTTATTTCAGCTTTAAATAAATAAAAGAAGAAAAGAAGAAGAAAGAAGCATGTGGGAATGTCGGAGGTCGTTCCCAGTGGTTTCGACTCGGTCTTCGTGGCACTTGGTCCACTTCTGCTCCTCCTCGTCCTGATCCTCCTTGCCAACGCTCTCTGTCTCGCCTTCGGCACCCGCTTTCAGTTCCTGGCAAATTAAATTTAAAAAAAGGGTGCGATTTATTTTGATAATTTTTCGGAAACAAAACTAATTTCAGGTTCATAACTCAGCCAAAAATGCATGAAATTCAATTCGGCAAGCTGTTGAGAGTTCGTTTTAACAAAGCTGCTTACTCAGTTTTACTAAAATACTTACCTGTAATTTTTAAAGCATTTTTTAAACAAAAATGAGCAAAAAACTAAGTTTCAAATGTTCATAATTTTGGGGGCAAAAAATCTCATTTTCAAATGTTCATAATTCAGCATGAAATTTAATTCTAAAAGCTGTTCTAAGTTCGTTTTTCTAAGCTTAACAAAGCTGCTTACTCAGTTTTGCTTAAATGCAAGAAACTGATTTGTTCATAACTCAGTCATTTTTTATTATTATTTAAATTATTTCAGAATTTTGGTTTTAATTTTATGAAAATCAGGCGACTATATCTTATAGCTGCCATAGGAACGATCGGGAAATTTATAGAAAAAAATTATAACTTCGTTGTTTTTTAACGTATTTTCATTTACTCTGAGATATAAGCTTTTGTTATTAGCTTCCTTTCTTGTTTTTAATTTTTTTTATGATATTTATTGTACAAAGCCAAGCTTAAAAATATCATAACTAAGCCAAAAAAGCCTCAAATTCAATTCGGAAAGCTGTTCTGAGCTAGTTTTTACTAGGTTAACAAATCTGCAAACTAAATTTAAAATTTAAAAAAATCATAATTTTTGAGAATTTTAATGATGTAACCCCTTATCAAATTTTGAAATTTTGAATAAAAATTAAAAATTTTTTTTTCTTCCAGACATGGCTAAATAAACTCGCCTGTTGATGCTGATCAAGAATATATATGATATATGGGGTTAGAAATGACTCCTTCATTACTTTTTAAGCTTCTGACTGGAAAAATAATTATAAAAATAAAAATTAAAAATGCTTTACTGTACCCTAAATATTCCAACCACTACTGGATTGTGGCAGGTTCCACCCTTAGTAGACGAGGGTAGTTTCCCCTATGGTCCGTACCACCTGCTCTTGTCTATATATTATCTGTTTACCGTCCGTCATCGCCTTGACGACCGATCCAAGTAGCTCCGGTGCCATCTGTCAGAACTGCTGCCAAAATAGTGAAGAATACATTGGCCCGATAGAGCGGAAAAAACAAATGCACTTACTCGTAAAAATTAATTTGGAAAGTTTAGCACCCTTCAACTCGAAATTTGTTTAGTTTCGCCTGAACCCAGGTCTGAAGTCCTTCACAACAAGATGGTCCAGCAGCGGAGCAAGACGACTCGCTCGCTGGCGGTCAGCGAAAATGGAAGCGTAGGTGGCAGCAGCAAGGACTCTGATCAGGTCTACTGCGTGGTGCTCCACGTGGCCGAAGGTGGGCACAATATCCTGGTTCAATAAGTCATTACAGCTAATATACTTCTCTTTTGTGCAGCGATTAACTTTATGGGTCGCGAGGCCAGCGAACAGCGGGATCAGATCTTGATGAATGCTGCCCTGAACACCGTGGACTTCGATGTAGAGGGCTGTCACTCGGCGGCCAACGAGGCCGTGGTCTTTAACAGCAACTGCATTTGGGAGTGCGATCTGGCCGGGATCAAGCGCATAAAGACTGATCACCGCCCTGTAAAGCTTACCTTCTCGGCCTGCCGCGGCAGCGGAAAGCTAGAGCGGAAAACCATTGGCAACCTGCTGCTGCCCCTGCGAGGACTTCCGGTACTTGGTACCACTGGCAGCCACAATGGCCCCCATTTGAAGATGATTTGGCACAAGCTTATCTGCATCAGCAGCGAGTTTCGGTCCCAGAAGCCGGAGGTGCTGCTAGTTCTGGCCATCATCAAGAAGTCGATACTGCACACGAAGGACTTTGACCACATCATGCAGTTTTCAGATGTGAGTCCGATTGAGAAAGTTTTTCGAAGGAGAATATATATCAATGTGTTTACCCTCAGCAAAAAGCCCCTCCCACGCCGCCGCTGAAGTCGCCTGGCCACTCGATTACTGCCAGCATGCTCCAGTCGCAGGTCAGTTGCTGGGGTTTCCATACAATATTTCAAAGCTTAATTTCTGGACTTTTTTTAGGCCAACATCTATGTTCAGTCTTTGGTGCAATTGGGCCTCCTGCAGGTGGGCAACGATCCGCTAGTGGACTGCGACATCATCGAGGTGGTGCTGCAACTAAAGCAGCTAAGGAAAGTGAACCGACTGGTCAAGTGGCTCAACCAGGGCAAGGACCCCAGCTCGGTGGTTGTGATGTTCGACTTTGTGGGCAACGTGACCAACATTGAGTTGAAGCTGAATGACTTGGACTCTTACGCTGTCAACGATGTCCTGGGGTTGCGCTTCAAGACCTCCCTGCGCAGCATGCGAATGTACTTCCAACGCATCTTTTACCTGCCCTTTAATATGTACATGAACGGAACGGCTATAGGTAAGTGTTTCTCAAACCTTAATGCCCATATCATTGCATAGTTATCCTTGCTAGCCAATTACCGTATGGACTTCAACAACCTGCTGCCACCGGATAGCCACTTCGCCAATCAACTAGAGTATTCCACCAACGGGTCTTTCTTGTTTAACCGAATCGGACGACAGGACAGCGCAAGAGATCCCAAGCCGCCACTGATGGAGTACACCTTCACTGTGGAAATCAAGAATAAACACTTGCCGCAGGAGCAGGTAGAGCCTGAACCAGCGCCTTCGACATCGAGTGGAGTCATCAGGGAGTTGCCCACGAATCGCCAGGATACGGACGCGATTTCCCTGTCCCATGGCCAACATGATTTCACCTCCGTGGGCAGCCTAAATGTGGGCGCAGAGTTGTCGATCTCTGGGGAATCCCGCGGCTCTATTTCTATTCAGGAGGATGAATTTAATTTTGATACTTCGAAAGATATTTCTAGGATGCAGAACAAGCGCCGAAAGTTCACTCGATTGACAGGCGAAGAGCCCAACCTGGAGAGCGAGGAAGAGTCGTGTATGGACAAGAAGTTTTCCAAGCAGGAGGGTCAAAAGTGTGACCTGAATTCCAGCGAAGATATGCTGGTAGCCAGGGCTTCCAGGAGTTCCAAATTGCAATCTGCCTCCGAGGAACCACTGCTGCCCAAGACACTAAAGGTAAAGGCCAAGGTATCCAAGCTGTCCGTCAAGGAATCATCACAGCCAAGATTAATGGCTTCCAAAAATGTGAAGCCTCCTTTGGAGCAGAACGAATATGACAACCGTAGTGAAGTTACATCCTTGCAACAGTTTGAGCTGGAAGAAAGGATATTAGCTGAAGAAGAAAAACTAGAATCTGCGAACAGAACAAGGATTAAGTCAGGCCAAAGTACCAAATATGCCAAACTCCAAGTGGAGGAAGATGAATTTAGTGAAGCGACATCATTGCAACAGTTTGAGCCGGAAGAAAAGAGACTTGCAGAGGAATCTAATCGAATGCAAAGGACTAAAAAGGTTAGCAAAGGACCAAAGGCAATGGAACTTCATGAATCATCTTCAGGGGAAGGCATTCCTGAGACAAAGGTGCGTAAGAAATATGTGAAGAAGGTCTCACAAACGAAACTCAAGGAGGAGATTGGCTTACCTCAGGCAAGTCCTGTTACCTGTATAAGTCAAGAAACCTTTGACATGCCTGAGGAGAGCATGGATAACGATCACTTCCCTTCTGAGGAGATACCGTCCACGAAAAACAAGTTGTGCAAAAAAGCAAAGACCATAAAGATTGTTAAAAAACAGGCAAACGTTGAATCAGTTGAGTTAGCTGACCACAAAGTTCAATGCAAACGCAAAGTGAAGTCCAAGACAGTGGTGCATGAAGATCTGACAGATATTTCTATGAGTACACAGGATGGTCTTGGGATAGCGAAGCCCGATCTGGCACTGCGAGCCCGCTGGGTTGAAGTGAATAAGGTGCAGTCGGCAGCCTTGGAGGAGACTGAATTGTTTCTGGAGGAGACCTGTCAGAACGAGCTGCACGAAATTCTCTACGAGGATCAGCTTGCTCTCGGCCTGGCAAGGCCTCCAAGCTCCAATAATAAGCTTCGAACTGATGTAGAAACCGAGGTTATGAGTCAGTCCCAAGGAAATCGGTTAAAGAAAAAGAAAAGAATTTTGGCGGCAAGCGAACACTTACTTCATGAAGAATTCAAGAGCTCCGAAGAATGTATCACCCTACCGGAAGCGACTTTACGTTCCGAAGAAGTGAGCATTCCTGAAACTAAGCAGCGGCAGGTGCGTGTCCTGAAAAAGAAGAAACCTAAGCAAACTATTGTCGAAGAAGAGCCATCGGTGGAACTCAACGATAGCCTAGAGGAGCCAGCAGTCAAACCCATCAAAAGAAAAGTTATCAGGAAAAAGTCATCGGTCATTATAAAAAATAATGAGCTACTGGAAAATGTAGAGCCAGAACAAGAAATTGTTACTGTTCAAAAAAAGAAAATAATTAAGAGATCCAAGCCAGTGACAGACATGCCATCGGAGGATGATGTCAAAGTAACCAAGAAGGTGTCCTCCAGGAGTTCCGTGAAATCGATTAATTCACGTAAAACCACAATGGATTTGCCCTCCTTGGATGATTTTGACATGGATCACTCCGCGGACACAGAGACAGTTGGCCAGCGGATCAGGTCCTGGCGGAGACAGCAAATCGAAAGATTTGAAGAGGAGCTAGCTCGCAAGGAGGAACATTACAAGGCCCAGTTGGAGCAGATGGAATACCAAGAACTCAAGATACTTCAGCCAAACCATAAGGATCCCGCCGAGGATGATATTCAAGCTGACAATAGTGTGGATTACCAGGCCAAGTTCAACGAGCTGGAGCAGCACATCTTACAGCTAAAAGCGGAAATGGAACAGCAGGTAATGCTCTTTGAGAGTCGCAGCTGGGAGCTACGGCAGGAAAACCTGCAGCTGGCCAACGAGAAGTTAGAGCTAAAGGCCCGCATTGTGAACATGGAGGAGCAGCTCACTCAACTCCGGACTCAGGGCTCCGAGGAGGCGGATCTCAAGGAGGTCATTGGGGAGCTGCGTTCCCAGAACAACCGGTACTTGAATGTAGCCCGACTGAAGGATCGGTACAAGAAGCAGTGGCGACGCTGTGCCCGGCGGGTGAATGCCCTCAAGCTGGCCATGTACGAAAAGAGCGCTGAGAGCCAAATGGAAGCGAGGTGAGTCCATTTCATATTTCTGTATATTTCATAATGAATTGAGAACGTTGTCTAATCTCCTTGCAGCACCATTAACCTAAGGGAAATCCTAACTAAGGACGCCTTGGCCTTTGAGCAGGAGTACGGAGAATTCCGCTGCGGTGGCACATCTGAAAATGTACCTTTCACTCCGCCAGAAGACGCCCCTGATGTGTCATTTATATCTACCTCCCAGTCCCTTTCCCAGTCCATAGCCGAGACTATCTCTAAGTCTATCTTTCAATCTAGCATTGAGTCTGACTCCCAACTTGGTTCCCAGTTTAGCTCCCAATCTGGCTCCCAATCTAGCTCCCAGTTTGGCTCCCAGACCATTCCCCAGAATGACTAGCTCCTACCTCTTAGATTTTACCAAATTAACTGTGACCATTTTGTACTGTTTATTTGTTTATTTTGTTCGTTTTATGATCTGAAAACTAGAAATGTTAAAAACCTAAGACTATAGTTTGGCTTTAGCTCTATTCCAACTGGAAGCCCACGCGCACAAAGTAGGGCAAAGTGTCCAACGCAGCTGGGTAGTCCATCACCCAGGTGGGTCCACTGTAGACCTGGTCGCTATTGCCGTCCTTCCACTCGCCCTCCGGCAGATAAATGTCACGCTTGGTGGCTCCCTCCACTACAATAGGAGCTGCGATGATATCGTCGCCCAGCAGGAACTCTGTGGATGGAATGGAAGATTGTTTATTATTGTTTTGTGCTGATTACTGACTATAAAATTTATATAATTAAAAAGTTAATTAGAAAACTGACAGGTAATACATTATTTTTTTTTATCAAGAATGTCACGCCATTCCTCATTCCCAAATAACCGATTACTACTCACCATCGTAGATGGACTGCGCCACCTCGTCGGTGGGAGAGATCCACCAGAGTGGAGCATTCACCGGCTCTCCGGAGTCCACAGCTCGCTGGAAGAGCTTCATTATATAAGGAGTGTAGTTGGCATGCAGGTCGGTGAAGTTTTTGCTTATGGTAATGGCCTCAGCATCGAAGTTCCAGGGCACGAAGGAGAACTGAAGGGCGGGCATAAAGACGTTGGCTTGCAGCCAGCGCAGGAAAAGCTCCTTGGTCGGTGGCTTCTCGTAGTAGCCATTGCCTCCAATCATATCTGGCAGGACGAAGGGATATCCGTTGAGGTTCATCTGCAGCATCGACGAGATCAGCGTGAGCAATCCATTGTTCCAGCCCCACTCGGAGTCTTTGTCAACAATGCGCACGAAAATGGGTAGCTCCTGGGTGTTCTGTGCCGATCGCACCTCCACCATGTCACCGAAGGCGGCAACAGTGCGCACATAATCGCCCACAGCCTGTAGGGGAGTCACCATAGAGCTGCTGGCCTGCAGCACGGGATCACTGGGCAACCAACTGGTCTCTCCGGCATCAAACTTGAAGCTATCAATGCCATCCTCATCCTGCAGGCGCTTCAGGCGCTTGGCAAACCATTCCTGTACTTCAGTTTTGGTGAAGTCCAAAATGGCTGCATCCTTGGGCTTGCTGTTCCACCACTGGGTGTCGGAGCTGCCCTCATGATCCAGCACCAGGTAGCCCAGAGACTTGGCCTCGTCGTAAATGGCCGTGCAGTTGTTGTTGATAAATGGATGAATCCACAAGGTCACTCGGAAGCCCAGCGCCTTGAGGTCGTCCGTAAGGGTTTTGCTGTCTGGGAATTTGTTTTTCCTGAAGGTCAGGGCGCCGTAACAGTCCTCCCAATCATCATCGATCTCCAGCTGACTATTATTGAAACCATTGTCTAGGATCTGCTTGGCAAAATCCCTGACCACATCATCGGAGACCTCCGCCTTGTAGAGCGCCCAAGTGGACCACACTGGATGCCTGACCATACGCTCATCCGGGAAGCCCGTGGGTTGTCCCAGGAAGGTTTTCACGGCATACTTGTGCGCCGCCTTCGCGTCCTTGGCCACGGCCACATGGTAGACGAACTTGCCAGCGGTCACTCGGGGATCGTAGGGCAGCTCACTGGTGGCACTCAGGCAGAGCTGGCCCGGATAGGCCGCTGTGTTCTGGTCAAGGAAGAGCGGCGTGTTGCTTTCCACGTACAAGAAGGCACCGGCGCTGTTCAGCCAGTACCGCTCGCCCACTCCAAAGTTGTCCAGCTCTTTAGGCAGGTAGGAGTAGTTGCTGTGCACCTGTCGTTCCACGGGCCAGTAGTGCTGCTTCTGCTCCGGGCCACTGAACCAGTGCGTGGATCCCGTTCCCAGAGGGAAACAATCCCTGGGCTGGGTGCCCTTCAGCACCTGGTCACGGGAAACTTGCACATGGGTGATGTCACTGCCCGTGCCGGAGACCACACCGTTCTTGACCAGCGTAAACTGCACGGTGGTGGTGCCATCGGTGAGGGTGTAACCACCACTGTCCGTCGCCACCAGATTTGCGCTCGTCTCAAAGTTATCGAAGGTGACCGTTTGCAGGGTCTTATCCCCCTTCATCAGCTCGTACTGCAACTTGTCACCGCGGCGCAGTCGCACGTAGATATTGGTATTCGGGAACTTGTAGCGCTGCTCGATGCTGGTGCAGCTGGACACGGCATCCCAGAGGCAGCAGGATGAAGCCACCACCAGGGACAATAAAATAAACCTCATATTCTCGTTGGTCTCGCGAAGAACGACTGCCGGGCAGGTGGCAAGTGATGGTCCTAATATAGCCACGATAAGGAAATCGAGGAAATTCTAAAGAGCTCTCCGGTGCGGTCAGCGGCAAATAAAGCTCTTCAGAATTGTCAACACATTTCTCATCGGGAACACACTGTAGTGCCGTGATAACCCCCCCAAAGCTGATAAGGAAAGTCCAACCTGGGTTTTGTATAATTCCCATTAGCTAATTGTTGGCTGTTAGTGCCGAGATTGCGGTTCACCTACTTTGATAGTTTTGTAATCAATAAAACACAAATAATATACTATAAGAGAGTTTTTTGAAAGTCAAGGACCTTTTTAGAGGAAGAATGTTTCCCTATCTTTACAAAACATTTTGAGGACTACCTCAAGTGTGTTTACAATGTTTAACAACTTAACAACTTATCGTTAGGTTGATAAGTTGTTGAAATTTATTTGATGACTAACTAAAGCTTAAGTATTTCAAGAGTAAGTAGTAGCAATAGTTCAAGGCTTTTTATATATAATAATAATTTTATTCAGGCATAAATATACATATTTATTTTTTGATTTTTCTCTCATTTTTGATTTTTTTTTAATACTTTAATCTAGTTTGGCTTGTAATAAGGGAGCAATTTTTGCGTCGAATGTAATAAAATGTTAAACAAAAATGTATGATCTTCAGGGACTGAGGATTTATTTTATCTTTCAGGTTCTGGATGGTGGCTAAATGCAAGTCATTAATCAATATTTTAATATGGTTATCTAGGTTATCTAGGGGACCAATTGGCTGGCCTCTGCATTCGTGGAGATCTCTTCGCTAGGTGCCTCGTCCCGATACTCCATTGCCTTCTTTTTGCTGCTCGGAAAATGGGCTCGGAACAGTTCGTCATCATTGTCCGAGTCGCTGTCTTCGCCGGCTATCAGAGACACTCGGGAATAGAGTTCGTTGTTGCGCGCCGCTGTCCTTCGTTGATAGATGACAATGCCTCCGGCCACGGTCAAGCCAACCACGGAGAATACCACAGCCAGCAAGAGCAGCACAGTGGTGCCCTTCATGTACTTGAGGGTACTTGGATTGCCCTCTTCGGATATATCCACCACAGTGGCCATGCCTGTGCTGCGGACCACATATGCATAGCAAAAGGTTTCATTGAGGATCTTTCGGAGTTGGCTGCCCGGCGAACAGGTGCTGCATTGCGATGCCAAGGGACCGTAACAGGCCAGGCAGCTTCTGTCGCACGTGGCACAAATTTTGGACGCTGTTTCCGCCAGCTGAATGAGCGGAGAGTCGGTGGAGCCACTGTTTCGACGCCGTCGATCCTCCGCCTGCAGAGGATCCTGCTTATCGTCTATGGAATTGGACAGCTCTGAAGGATGTTCGGTGGTGGGAGTGTAGGGATTCACAGGACCAGGTCCCGAGCTCGTATCGCTGTTTACTTCCTCCTCATCTGCAGCCAGTTTATCCAAGGGATACGTGTGCAGGGGACAGACATCGTAGCAGAGATCCTCGTACATATAGGCTGAATCGTTGCATTCTGTGGAAGGGTTAGAAAAAGGATATTATTGTATTTATTTGTAATCAATTTGGGCTAAGAAAGTGATTTACCTCAGCGACAGTTTTAATTGGAAGAAGAAAGTTTTAAGGGGGGGGTAAGGTATTTAATTTTTTTTTTCGTAAATTTTTTTTTATTTTTTATTTTTAAAGATCAACATCTTAAGAATATTGTGTCCAAGTTTTATATCGATCAGAGTAAAATTGACGAAGTTATGGGTAGTTGAATGGAAGTCGTTTGGTGTTCAATGCATGAGAATCGCAAAGTTTAAAGCGCTCTCCTGAAAAATGCCATTTTGAAAATCGGTGTACACGATAACTCAAAATCTACTGAACCAATCGGTTTGAAATTTGGAACATAACTTCTTTGGATAATTCTACAGGTATTCACGTCGAGCTTTTTTTAATTTTTAATTTTCTTATATTTTTTATTTAACAAATTAACTTAATTTTTTTGTCAAAAATCTGGGTTTTGACTTCAAATTTTGATAAAAAATAGGGACAACATTTTAAAAACAAAAACTCTTCGTGAATACCTCGGGACACTTATCCTTTAACGAATGAGGTATAATTTTTTTAGATCGGATGATCCTGTTGACTGTTAGGATGTACACCGCAAAACAACTTTTTTTGGAGGCGACTCGGGAGATTCCCTATAACTTCTCTACCTCTAAATATTTTTCAATACAAAATTTATTAAAAATTATTCAAATGTTTTGTTATTATATGGTATTTAATTCATTAAGCTAACTTTAGCCATTCCGCCACAATAATTTTTTGAAAAGTGGCCTTTTTTGCACCGAATTAACCTTACCCCCCCCTTAAGAATTAGTAGATTAGTAAAGAATTAAACAAGAATAAAGGTATAGAGCATAAAAAGCTATGTTTTGAGCATGAAAAAGCTTTGTTTATTTGATTTATAGCGAGGAGTATTATGCTTATAACGAAAATAAATTAAAACAAGACAGGAAAGCCGAAGTTTGTATACCCTTGCAGCTTGCCTTAGGATCAGGGCATCGAATCAAAAATCTATCATAACTAAGCCAAAAAAGCCTCAAATTAAATTCGGAAAGCTGTTTTGAGCTAGTTTTTACTAGGCTAACAAATCTGCAAACTAAATTAAAAATCAAAATTTTGGCCAATTTTTGAGAATTTTAATGATGTAACCCCTTATAAAATTTTGAAATTTTCAATAAAAATTTTGAAATTTTTTTTCTTTCCGGACATGGCTAGATAGATTCGGCCATTGATGCTGATCAAGAATATATATGCTTTATGGGGTCGGAAATGACTTCTTCATTACTTTTTAAGCTTCTGACTGAAATTATAATACACTGCAAGGGTATAAAAAGCATAATTATATATTTAAAATGTGTAAGAAACAAAGGCAACAAATAGAACTGTGTTACGAGTCGTCATTACCAACTTTATATTCCACGCTTGCTGATTTAGCAAATATATCGTATGTTTTATTGCAAAATCTCGTAGGTTTACCTCCACACATACCACCAAGCAAGCGTAAAAGTTTGGCATTTTTAAAAGACATCTATTAGCAACGAAAAAAATTCAAAGCTCAGCGAAGAAAACATGCTCAAAAAATAGCAGAAAGAATACAAAATAAGAATAAATCATAAAGCCAGTGTGCAATTTGTGGGTAGCAGCGTATGAGTGTTCACTGTGCCAATCACCAAAGGACATGAGAATGAGCGATTTGAATAGTTGTGTTAAGAAAAAAGGAGTTAACATAACGAAAGAAACAAATTAGAAAATGGTTAAAGGGAAAGTTTCAATTTCCGTTTAAATCGAAAAAAAGGAGAACAAAACAAAATACTTAGGATGGAACATTTTTCTGGACCAAAAAAACTCACCTTGTCTGCAATCTCGAAATTTCAATTTGGGAAATTTTTGTGAACTCTGGACGGGAGTCGGAGAAAATTTGGAGTACTGACTGGGATGGCAGCCTCCATTCCTATAGATTTTTATTTCAATATATTGGTTTTTTGAGCATGTTTCTTGCTTGCTGCTTTGAATTTTGTTGTTGAGAATAAATGGCTGCGACACGAGTTTGGTTTTTACGGTTTCAATGCATTTATTTATTACTCATATAGATATTATATATAGATAGATATATACACAAACATACATAAAAAATTGTATTGAGTTTTGAATTGCGGCTTTCTCAATTTTCATCATACCTAAAAGGTTTATTATTTTTTTTTAGTTTTTTTTCTGTTTTTTGTTTAGTCACTAATTTAAGAGTTCTCATTTTACATTTAAAAAAGTTTAATTTCATTTCGTTTCAAGCATTAATTTAGGGATTTTGTTCCGATGTTATTTTACAATTTCGTTTTAAAGTTAATATATTTAGTTGCTAATTTCTACCCCAGGCCCTAGTACCAGTTTTTAATTGTATTTTTTATGTTCGAATCTTGCTCTTGCTTTAGTATAGGCTTAAATATTAATTTGGCTTTTTTTCTCTAATTACTTGACTGAGTAATTAGGCTTCCGAGTTAATCCTTTCGTCGATTCTCTACGAGTCTGTGTGTGTGTTGGTTTTGTTCTTCAAGATAAATAAGTACCAAAGGAATGGGAACAGAGTCCTGCTGTCTGTGTGGGGTTCTTAACGCAACTTACTTGGGAATTTGCTCAACATAATTTATCTTGGTATTTCGTTGAAGTTTTGGTAAATACTTGTGCGTTTTGGTTAATATTTCTGCGTGTGTGTGTGAGTATAGTATATAATATATGCTGGGCAATTAAGGGTTAATTCAACTATTGTTTCGCAGATAGAGAGAAATGCTAGGCTTTAGTTTTAGATTTATATATATTATATATATTTATGCGCTGGCTAATATGTGTGTGTCTGTGTGTGCGTCTTTGCTAATTACAACAACAACAAAAAAGATACTCCTTCCTTGACACTAACTTGTTTATTTAAATTAACATTCATATTTGTATTGTTTATTGTGCAGTTACGATATGATTATTCATACGAAGAAAATGCATAGATATTTAGGGAACACCACTCTCGTCTCTAAACAGAAAAGCCAATAAAATACAATGTGTAGTTCATCACAAAAGGGGGAATAAGTATGTATGTATAATTTCCTTTAAGTAAACTAATATTTTGTACCAAGTTCCGAAACAAAAACTACTGTCAACTGATATGTTTTTGTTTTAATTGGTTTAATACAAAGACGAAAATAATTAATAACGACAAAAAACTTTGTTAAGTTTTGCTGCTGCCTAAGTGAGAGAATTAATAATAATTATTGCACTCGATTTGCTTTTTGATTTGTGTTTTTTAATATACGATTTAAGTAAGCAACAAATTTATTAACAAAGATATGTTTTTTTTTTTTTGTGTGTGTTTGTTCGGCAATTCAGTTGAAATTGTTAATAATTGTGTGTGCTTTTTATGGTTCTTCAGATTCTGTGTCACGTTGCAACTTTGTTGAAAAACTGCAGGAACTTTTGTATAAATTGTCAAGTATAATTACTTGATTTTAAATTTAATTATTATTGGTTGCTTCTTGTCTACTTTTTGTTTTATTATGCTATGCTTTACCCCTACACCTTAGATTATATGATTTATTTTATTTTATTTCCATGCCATTGCCTTTTCGATTTCTTGTTTTAGATACAAAAATTGTTTGGCGGCTTCTTAACACTAGAAACATTTCCATTAAATACTTAGTTTTGTTTTTGTTTTTTATTACACTGCACTTAAATTTCACGTTGTCCAAGTTTTAGTTTTAATTTTAAGAAACAGTCTTTTACTATGAACTCTAAACTGCAGTTGTTTTACTGTGTCTGTGTGTTTTTGGTTGAACATTTCCATTGTAAAACATTTGTTTCTTGTATACAAAATAAAGCAGAAATCCAACTCAAACAGTGATAAAAAAAATATATAATTAAATATTTAAAAACGAAAGCAAAAGCTGGCGTCTAGGGCTGACTACTTGGCTGGCTTGGCAATATCTGAAATAATGCATTTAGTTTACAGGTCACATATATACACAAAAAACACTATTATGAAGATCAAAGATCAAAAGGAAATTAGTTTAAAAAGTTTTTAAAATGCCATGAATGATCTCCATTTCTCTCTGTGTAGGGGCAAGCAATGGCAATGGGAAAAACATTGCAAAAAAACAAGTCAAACTAAACGGGCTTAAAAACAAACACAAACAATCTAAACGAAAACAATTAAAAACGAATTGTACATAAAATTTCAACTAAAACTTAAACATAATGTATATAATATATATATATTTATAGGATACGTCTGTGTATATGGATGTGTATAATTGCATTTCGACTAAAATAATAAAAAAATTTGCCTTGTGCCTCGACAACAAACAAACAAAAAAATATAAATCGATTTGAAAAAAAAAACAACCTTTTGATTTTTTTTTTTTTTTGTAACCTGCCACGCCCACAAATATATGCATGGGTGTCTGTGTGTGTGTTGTGTGTATAACTAGGCTTATATTTAAATTTAACTACAAAATTTTAGTATGTATATATATTTGGACTTGCAGTGATTCTTCCCTTTTTATCGCCTATTCTAAAATTTACTTAAATCTTTAGCTTTTTTGTTTTGTTTTCTTTTCTGGTTTTTAATTATGCTTCGTCCTGGTGCCATCAAAGAGTTAATTGGAAATTCTTTGTTCGCTTTTCATCTCTGTCTCTCTCTCTTTTCTTGCCATTTCCCGATTCTTTTACACATTTTTCTTATACAGTTCAATTTTGTTTCTTTGCTGTTGCCAATTTTCCTTCGACTCTCGTTTGTTGCTAAATTATCTAATGATGTTGTTCTTGTTCTTGTTGTTGTTGTTATCGTTGGCATGTTTAAAGTTTAGAAAGAAGACTTGCATGATCGTAAAAAAGAGTAAGGACAAACCTAAGCACTTGCGATCGCTCCACTTAAGGCACGCAGCGGTATTGCTATGATCCCGGGTCATTCCAACATCGCCGACCTGAAAATAGGAAATAAGAATTATAAATTAGAATTTATATGATTAAAAATATGTTTATTAGGGAAAAATCTGGGTGAAGTCTATATAAATAAATAAAGATTTTCCTTTCACAGGCTGTTTAATTCAAGTTGATTAAAGTAAATATAATATAGATTGTTTTTGTTTTAATATTAAATAAAAAAGAAGAGGAAATATTTCCAAGAATTGTAAATGCTTGGAGCTAGAGTTGAGTTTGATTAACCCCTTATTAGTGACAAGTATTGATAGGAAGAAAATATTAGAAAATTTGTTATCTGGTTTTATAATTTTTTTCAGAAGCTCAAAATGCATAGAAGGAGTCATTTCCGACCCTATAAATCATATATATTCTTGATCAGCATCAACAGCCGAGTCAATCTAGGCATGTCGGGAAGAAAATTTTTTTTTACCAATTTTTTTAAAATTTGATAAGGGGTTACATCATAAAAATTGTCAAAAATTGGCCAAAAATGGAATTTTAAAAAATGTTATATTTAGTATACAGTTTTATTAACCTTTAAAAAACTAGCACAGAAAAGCTTTCCGAATTGAAATTTACACATTTTTGGCTTAGTTATGATAAATTTATCATGTTTAAATTGCCATCTGGAAGTCTTCTAATTATTTACATATTTTTATTCAAAATAAACTCAAATAAACCATACTTAATCCTCTCCCATGTGTTTACATTGCATTCCTTTTTTTGTTTAATATTTAAAATATAAAATATAAACACAACTTCCTAGTTTACACTTAATATTTATTTAATACTTTGTTAAATTTATTTAAAAAATATAATTGTACGATTTAGCTATACTAATGTTGTACTGATTATTTCTCTCCAGAAACTCATGGCTCCATTTGCCCTTGCGACAGCCTCCCTTGCATTTGCAGCCAAGGTCGTCGCATTCTTCCACACCGCAATATAGTCCCCTTGCCAACTGTCCATCGCCACAAATGAAAATGTCGCAGAATTTGGAATTCTCAAAGTACCTTTCGCCACCAACAGCTTTACAGGCTTCGCCTTCGATCGTATAGATCACCTGCTGTTGAATATTGCAGCAATCGGCAGTTGCATCTCCGACGAGGAGCAGGCAAAGAAGACCCAGGATCACAAGAGAACTGATTGGAATGATCTGCATGATCAGAAGTTGTCGAAGTTGCCTTGGAACTGATTGATCTCGGAGGCTAGACCTGAATTTATACCAAGCCAGCGGGGTTAGCGATAAGATTTTATATTCTTCGGAAAACAGATAGCCATTGAATGCAATTCGAAAAGTTCTTTGAATTTTAAAATATATTTTTATAAAGAAAAGGCAAATATTCCGCTCCATAATAAATAAATTATGAGTAATACAATTCATTAAATGAAATAATGTGACGCTAGTTGCTTGTATAAGGTTCTAAGAACTTCTTTAAAAAATATTGTATAACATTTAATTATTATTCTTAAACCTAAAACTATTTTAATTCCATTAAAGCCTTGTTTATGTATTCCTCAGATGTATATTTAGTTTAATGTCTGAACATTAACATATATTTACGATTTCAAGTTCTTTTAAATATATACCAAAGAAAGTACGTCATAAATATATAATCTATTTAAAGAATATTGTTTTATAATTATATATAATTGCTTTAGTATAACTAAATGTATATAGAAGTTCTTATCAATAAGGCCTCAAATGACCAATAAAAAATTAAATCTATGTACTTTTCTCGGTAGAAATAACTGCCTTTAATGCCAGCCTAAAAGTTTAAAGCCATTCATTTTTCTGGATTTTTTGGCCACTCAGGGTTAGGGGGGCTGGAAAAGTTTTCGTCTGATTCCCGTAGTTGTTGCCTAGTTCATTGCATGTTGCCGCTCTGTCTGGCATTTTAAGCACTTATGTATGTGGGTCTGTCTGCCTTTATTTATAGCTGCCCCTTCCCTGAATGTCTGTCCGTCCGTCCGTTCGTCCGTGTCTCCTATCTAAGCTCACATGCAATGACGTCGCGTGTTGGAAAATGGGGGGAAAATCAAGGGGAGGGAGGTAGGTGAGTACAGGATCCTGGAGGAGTGTTTGTTATGCAAAAACTTTTTTTGCTGCCTCCCCGACCGGTGAGACGTAAAAAACTAAGGTCACTGCACTCGCCTTTATTACCGCACAACCCCAACCCTCTGCCTGGCTTGGCAGAAAATGCAGAAAGCGGCAAAAAAGCAGCGCTTTTAAAGCACAATAGGTGCCAAAAGGTTAAAAATAGCTGACTGCCCGGAGCAAAAGTGCACTTGAATAAAGACCCGGCTTCCAGGGACTCTCAAACCGTAGGCAAAAGTTTTAGAAAAATACTGAATTCCAGTGCACAGTGAAAATAGTTTGATAGATATATAAATTAATAGATTTTTAATATTTTAAAATACTTAATGGATGCTACTTGCTGATTAAAAACCGATGAAATTCTGCAAGAAAGTATCCTAATTTTGTTGTATCATTTAGCAATTATAATAAATATTTTACACCTTTCAAAAGTTTTTTAACTCCCCCGAAAACCATTTCATAATTAAAAAAGGAGCTCTTCCTCTCAAGCTTACACTGTAATTGAAATGTTCTGATTTTGTGTGATTTTTTCCCCGTGCACCTGATGTCCTTTGGTGTCCGTACGCCTTGGCCTAGTGCCAAAAATAGGGGGCCGAAAATGGCTGCCAAAAAGCGGAATTAAGATGCTGGCGTGGATGCGGGATTGGAGCAGGGACGGGTACGGAGACCAGAGAGATAGCTGCTGACAGTGTATGCTAAGTATTTGCAAATTTATGAGCGCTATTGGGCGAATGCCTGGCACATTCTGTCGTCGCTTGTGCAGGCGAAATTCGTGCATTGACAACAAAGGATGACGAGGGCATGCTGAACAGAGGGAACTGGAAAACGGAACTGCAAATGCAACTGCAACTCAAATTCAAGTAAACTTGGGGCGTTTAAAAGGAGCTACCTGCCAAGGACCTGCCCGTACAGTATACACACAGCGACAAGGACTGACGGACTGACTGACTGGCGGTTTAATCAAGCTAGCCACATGCAAGCAAGCGGCGTCGAGCCACGATTCGGGTTCTGCGGGTTCGGATTCTGATCGCTACTCAGCTCTTCGTTGCCCGCCAAGCCATCTACGAGGCACTGCAATACCAAGACCATGAAGTAAACACGGAATACAGTGAAGATTTTCAAGAGAAGACACCAAAAGCATAACTAAGTTTAGAGATTTAATTAAGAGATATCAAGCATGAACTTTTCAAAAGAAGCTTTGAATTTATATCAATAAATATTTAGAATTTCTTTTACTTCAAAAATCAAGTATCCTTCTGGCCAGCCTTCACTGTACTCCGCTTCTAGACATGAGTATAAGCTTCCTGGTTGGGTGATTAATGGCTATTCATGCATCTAAGAGGCTTGCTGCACCTTGGATACCTTGGATAAATAGTGGATATTGTGGACTCACCTGCTGCATGTTCCGCCACTGGCCGGTGGAATCGTATTCGATGTCATTGTGGGCCATATCATTGCCATACAGATTGAACTGGTTCGCCTGGCTGGGATTGGCCTGATCCGATGGCTGGGCGGGGGTTTCGGTGCCATAGAATATCATGTCCCATTGTGTGATTTGTGCTGCAAACACAAAAGGAAGAATTCGTATAAAAATGCATTTAGTTATAACCCAGATGAAATATACAAAAAAAAATCCAATAAAAAAGATAGACAGAATCAACAATAGCAAACGCAAAATGTTATAAAATGTATGATATATATTTGGCAGCCTGCTGGACAAGCCAGTCAACTGAAGGGCCAATAAATCTGCCATATGAGCGAGATCAAGTGCCGAAAGCTAATCGCAACTCTCACCAAACATTGGCAAAATGGATAAAAATGAAAAATTGTTGCTGCTGGCAACCCGGGCAGCAGCAGCAATAGCAATCGAGAAAAAAAAATCCGAAAAAAGCATTTTAAAGTTGCACTTTGATTGATGAAAGCAACAAGAAAGTGCCACTCGGCGGCTGTCCAATTTTTATTGACGGCTGCCAGCGAGCGGGTAAAAAATCATAAAACACACCAAGCGGGCAAAAGGGTTTCTGAAATAAAGAGCACTTCACGGGGATTCCATACACAGAAATGACACTTTAATTAAGCATAACTGATATTATGCAGTTTAAATTTTGTTAAATAAACACATTTTGTGGCATTTCCTTTATATAGAAATTATAAAAATACTTTTCTAGTAAAAGGATATAAATTCAAATCAATATCCTCTAATGGAAAACAAAAATTAAGTGTAAAATATATCCAGGATTTTCAAAATTTAGGCTACCGCTTGGTCCATTGCCCTCCTTGCGCTGACCCCTTGGCTGCTCCTCGTAGTCGGGTGTGGCGGGCACTTCCTGCATTTCCAGCTCCACCTGGGCGGGTCCCATCACCCCTGCGGCAGCCATCAGCAGTTGCTGCTTCTTTAATATCTTTTGGTCGGGCAGGAAGCTACTTCCTCCTGCAGGCAGGATGGGTAGAAGGGGGACGGAGGCCATGGTTTGAGAGGGCGGCGGCACTGATGGGGACTTCTTCGTATTCCCCTGACGGGTATTGCCACCGGTGGTGGGTCTAAAGAGCTCCACCTCGAACTGCTTGCCCGGCTTGGCCTGCTTGGTCTTGCCCTTGGGCGAACTGCTCTCGTAGGGCTCCAGTTCCGGAAAGATGGCTTGTATCTTGTCGTAGCGCTCGAAGAGCATGGGTATGCGGGCATCTGACGATGATGACGATGAAGTGGTGCTCTCCTTCACCTGCTTAGCTGCCTTGACTGAGCCATTGGATCCAGAGGACCCAGAGGATCCAGCTATTTCGCCCACCACCTTGCGGCTCTTCTCCTCGTATGACTTCTCCCCGGAATTGGCCTTGGGTCTAGGTGTTTGCACTCCGTTCCTGTCCTGCTTATTGCCCTTGGGCTGCTGCTGCTGCTGAGAGATGCGGTAGTATTTGTTCTTGCTGGTGGTATTCTGTAGGGTGGTGCTCGGCGTGGTCTGCTCCTTGCGATTGCCACCCGATCCTCCGGACTTGCCCTTATTACCATTATTAGCCTTGTTTCCCTTGTTATTGTTCCTCTCCTTATTGTTATTGTTGGCCTTGCCGTTGGCCTTGCCCAGAATGACCCCATAGGTGGCCGATATCTGCTGGTAACCCTGCTTGGGCTGAGCAGGATTCAGCAGGGGATTGTTGGTCACAAAGCTGGACTTGTTTGGAGGTGGGAGCTTGCCCAGCGGCAACTTGGCGCCGCCGGAAGGTGAGTTGCCAAAGTTATTGGGCGGAATGCGGGGATACTGCGGGGAATAGGCCTGATGGAGATTGCTAGTAGTGCTGCTGGTGTTGGCCGTGGTGGCCTCCGAGCCACTTGGCCGCGGCACCGAGATCGGATCATTGGGATCGATGCTCTGAGTGGTGCCGTAGAAGATCAGCGACCATTCCCTGAGAAGAGCATGGCCTGGTGGATTACGATGCATTACAGGTGTTTTTTTTTTCGATGCATGAGATTGGGTGAGATACGTGTTAGGTGAGGATGGATGGATCGATGGTGAGTTCCACAAAAGCGCAGCATGTAAAACAGTACAGGTTTAAAGCATCTCGTTCTGACGGCACTAGTTTGGAGTTGCTATAACTATGATTGGTGGTTTAAGGACTTACCCATATAGCGACCCTCGTTGTGGATCTCCAGTTGCCAGTTGCCGCGCGGGGATTCACCCCAGGTGTGCACCGACATGAAGGGCCACTGGTTGAAGCCGGAACGGGAATTGTCATGGATTCTGTGGTAAGGGAATAGGAGGGAGAATGTTTTAAATTATATTATTTAAGCTGGCTTAAAAACCTGAATATATTCTTAGGTATTAAATATAAGATTTCTTTTACTGGTTTAATAAAATTAAACAAATTAATTTAAAAGATTTTCTCAAATAATACAATCTTACTCCTGGAAAGCTGAGAGCTTAACCTGCAAATATTTATACGAAGAGAGTAAAAAAGGAAGGACCTTTTAATATTTAGCTCTTAAAGTAATAAATCGACTAGTATATATATTAAAAAATTGAATTATGATAGTTAAAATGCGTTACTTTAAGTGAAATAAATTGGAATTTCAATTCGTTATTAATCAAAGTATAATTTACAATACAAAATCCATACAATTGAAGGAATTTTCATTTAAAATTGCTAAATTTTCTAGGGTTTTTCTTTTCCTCAAATTTTTAATATAGTTAACATTCAGTTTCTTACCTGGGCGTGAGCAGCGTGACACTGGTGTTGGCGGGCGACCTCAGGTACAGCTGAATGTCTCCGCGCCTTTGCGAGGTGAGGGTGATCTTGGCCTGGACGTGCTCCAGATAATTGACAGAACGGCAGTGGTTGACCGTCAGCTGTAGCGTAATATGAGTGCGGGGAGGAATGACCCTAGAAATTAATAAAGAAAAAATATTAATAAAATATAAAATATACATTAAGAACCTCCTCCTACTTGTCCACATGCGGTGCATTGATCTCGCAACGCTGCTGCTCCGGCACCGTTTTCCAGTTGCGCGCCACGCGCACCATCTCATATGCATCCATCAGGCCGTAGCCGAAGGAGTGGCTCACCCGCCGGCCCACCCCGTTGCGCGACCAGCTGGGATCCTTGAGGTTCGCCGGCTTGGCGGTACGCACCACAATGTGCTGCAGATCGCGCCAGGTGAGATTCTGGTTAGACTGCAGCACCAAAGCCGCAATGCCAGCGGCGAGCGGGGCCGACGCCGAGGTGCCCGTGTGGGAGACAGTGCACGAGTGATGCAAATCCGTGGTGACCACCTGCTTCTCACCCGGCCCGCCGCTGCTATAGGTGGTGGCCAGCGTGGAGCTGCACTTCTCCGAATACCAGGGCACATGGCCCTCCTCGGTGGCGCTGGAGATGGACAGTGTCCAGATGGAGTTCGTGTAGCCGTCGCAATTGCAGTTGTCCTGCTCCCGTCCCCCGTTGCCCGAAGCCCAGATAAAGATGCTGCCCTTGCCGCCGCGTCCCTTGGTCGTGCCCTCGATGAAGGCCCTCGAGGCCAGTTCCCCAGGTCCGTCCACTGTCTTGCCATCGTCATCGGGTCCCCACGAAGCGCTGTATATATCGATGTGCTGAGGATTTAGGGAGAGGGATCGCGCCTCCACGGCATCTGTGACATCGCCGTCCAGCATTCGCACTCCACCCACACTGGCTCCGTAGGCAATGCCCACCGCGCAGAAGGAGTTGTTGGCAGTGGCAGCCACCTCGCCGGCACAGCGGGTGCCGTGGCGATTCGAGTCCGTCATGTCGTAGTGCGGCATGGGATCGTCATCGTGGCTATTTACATCGTACGAGGCCTTGCGATCCTGTTTTTGGAATGGGTTGTTAGAGGTTTTTCTTCTTATTTACTTTATCTTTCAGGGACTCACATAATTCTGTTCTATATCCGGATGATCAGACTCGAGGCCATCATCTAGAATCGTGACTACCACGCCCTTGCCGGTAATGCCCTGCTTCCAGGCGGGTATCACATTCATGTCCAGGCCACCACCGCGGTTCTGGTGAAAGATTGGATTTTAAATATTTATTAAATAAAAGAAAATAAAGTGGAATCTTGGTAAATAATATATTTACATTCAATTCCTTAATGTTAAGTAGTTTATTTGTATTTTTACACTTACCAAATACCACATCTGCGGCCATTTGGCATCATCAAAGGGCATGGCATCCACCTGCGACATGGCTCGCGATGAAGTCCTCGAGGGTCGCATTCGTATAAAGTCACGCTTGGAGCGCGACTTGGCTCGCTGTTGCTTTGCCCAATGGACGCGATCATCGTCATCGAGTCGCGTCTGGTGATGCGTGGCGGGGGAGAGCGACCGCTTCGAGACCTTGTGATGTGCGAAGTGGTAGTGATCATCGAAGATCTGCAAAAGGGAAAAGAAAAGGAAATGTTATAATAATTGGGAGAGCTATAAAATGACTTAGAAATTCATTAGATAAAGTAGTCTCTGGACTAAACGTCTTTGAAACACTTGGGAATAATACATTCTGAATAAGTTATTGGGAGGATTAGTAATTCTCAACTTAGAACCATGTCTGGCGGTACTGGGGGAATCCGCAAGCTGGCGGACAAGCTCTTCACACCCAATGAAATTCGCCGCTTTCAGGCCTACAAGAGTCGCTTTAGCCAAAAGTATCTAAGTTTGGAGGGCTTAAAGTCAAACTTTAAGAAACCAGATCTGGGAAAACTATTGAATTATCGCGTGTTTTCGACCCAAAAAGAAGGTAAGAAGTGTTTAGGTTTGAGGATTAAGTGTAGTTTGGTTTTCAAAAGTACAGAAAGAGCTTCCTTAATGTCTTAATTTCTCCACAGGTTCCCACGAAGAGCCCAAAGCCAAGCCAGATGAATGCGATCCCAGTTGGGATGAACTATTTCCCAGGGGGCCGCCTTATGAGCCCCGCAACACCCACTACTGGTATCCAGATGCCGAGTATCTCAACGAATTCAAAAACATTGTGATGTATCCCACCGGTGATCAGTGGAAGCAGCGACCAAAGATGACCGGGAAACAGATACCTCCAGTAGATCGTACCTTTCGCACCAAGTTCATTAACTTTGGACCCGCCCATCCGGCTGCCCATGGAGTACTCCGCATGATCCTGGAGCTGGACAACGAGACGGTATTGTCCGCTGATCCGCACATTGGCCTGCTGCATCGCGGCACCGAAAAGCTGATCGAGTACAAGACCTATGTCCAGGCTCTGCCCTATTTCGATCGCCTGGACTATGTCTCCTGCATGGCCAATGAGTTGGCCTATGCCCTGGCCGTCGAGAAACTGCTGAATGTGGAGGTTCCGCGGCGGGCCAAGTACATACGCACCATGTTCTCGGAGATCATGCGGCTGACCAATCACACCATGGCCATAGCCTCCTCCGTTTTGGACTGCGGAGCCATCACACCGCTCTTTTGGCTCTTCGAGGAGCGTGAGAAGCTGTACGAGTTCTCGGAGAGAGCCTCGGGGGCGCGGCTGCATGCCGCCTACATACGGCCAGGGGGCGTGGCCTCGGATATTCCGCTGGGCTTCTGCGATGATCTGTACCAGTTTTGCCAGCAATTTGGCGATCGCCTGGACGAGGTGGAGGACGTGGTGACCGATAATCGTATCTGGCGAATGCGTAACATTGGCATTGGAACAATCTCTGCCCACGATGCCCTCAACTGGGGATGCACTGGACCTGTTCTGAGGGCCTGTGGCATCAAGTGGGATCTGCGCAAGCAGCAGCCCTACGATGCCTACGGGGAATTGGACTTTGATGTGATTGTGGGCTCCAATGGAGACTGCTACGATCGGTATCTAGTAAGGATTCGGGAGATGCGCGAGTCCATCAACATCATTGAGCAATGCATCCAGTCCATGCCGCCGGGCGAGATCAAGGTGGATGACATGAAGATCAGTCCACCGCAGCGGCGCAGCATGAAGATGGGCATGGAAGAGCTGATCCACCATTTCAAGCACTTCTCGCAGGGCATCCATGTGCCACCAGGGCAGACATACACGGCTGTGGAGTCACCTAAGGGAGAGTTTGGGGTGTATCTCATCTCTGATGGCTCAACGCGTCCATATCGCTGCAAGATTCGCCCAGCCTCCTATGCTCATTTGGCTCTGATGTCCAAGATTGCGCCCACACACTTTCTGGCCGATGTGGTGGCCATCATTGGGTCACTGGACATTGTCTTTGGCGAGATTGATCGTTGAATTTATAATAATTTATAGGATTTATAGGCATTTCAGATGGGTTTAACATTAAAGGCACAAATTTAAGGATTTATTCTATCTAAAACTTTAATATAAATTTAAAAAAAAAGTTATTTTAAGGTGTCAAACTAACCAGGATATTCTTTCACCTCTTTTGTAATTTATTTTGAGTGTAAAAACAATGCACAGAAAATCCTTTAGCTTTGTCCCTAAACCCTAGGGTGAGTGTAATTAAAATAGGAATTTATTATTTTTGAAATTTATGCGAAATTGTTCTGATTTACTGACGCATAACATAAGCCGGCTCCATATTCTCCATTCTCCATTCTATTTATCTGGCCAGGCGTGGGGGTTTCTGTCTGGAATCAGAAATTGTTGGTGTTAATTGAATTTCATTGTGCGAAATTCTTTGGCAAATTGCAATTTAGAAACAACGCGGACAAAAGCCGGCTTCAGGTCGAACTATTTTGCAATTACAATTGCCATTAGTTGTGCGTTGGCAGCATGGCCAAGCGGGCTAAGTTATGGCAAACTATTGGTCCATGAAGTTATGCCGCATTGTTGTGGCCTGCCAGAGGATTTCCAGCTATGCTGGAGGTGAATATGATGCATGCCTTGCGAGTGCAGCAGGCCAGATAGTGGCAGGTAAGGGATGCCTGGTTGTCTCCTGATGAATATATATTGTGTGTGCCTTTCGTGTGCGTTTGGCCAGCAAAGTTGCGCTTGGCTGCTGCTTAATTGTAAATGTAATTTTGCTGCCGTGGACCCAAAACAGGCCTCATTAAGGGCCATGACAACAACAGTGGCAACGTTGCCACGCTGAGTTTGGGACAGGAACCTCAGGTAAACGCATAAAAGTATGCAGCACAATTTATTTATGCCCACAGCAGGATGTTGACGTCGATTTGGCAACAGCGGAAGAGGCTTTCCCACGTACCCAGCTTCTCTTTTTGACTTCTATTACTATGGCAACGTGTTCTGCTTTTCGTAGACTCCTTAAAATGAAACACAAAATTCATATAACACCTAAAAATAAAATCCCAAAATTTGTTTTGAAATCGCCTTAAATATTTGTAAATGAGAGCACCCCTTGGATGTCTTTTTCCGTCCATGTGTTTGTCGTGAAATTCGAGCCGCTGACTGGCACAGAATGATAGTAGAGGCATATGTGCAAACGCATCCACTTTCCACTTGCCACTTGCCACATCCTCCTCTTGGATCCTGTCACGGCTGGGCGACTACTAAAATTTTAATTGCTGCTACTCTCTGCGTACGTGTCGTGTCGCCCGGCGCTCAAAGCTCGTTTAGTTTTTATGCCCGTCGAGTGGTGCCCCCAAGCCACCCCCTACGACTTCCGCCGCCCACTATCAAGTTTATTAATTTATGCAGCACATACACACACCCTTGGATTTGTTTACTTGCCGCCGCCTGCTCTTATGCATATGCAATTTTGTCCAACATTTTAATTGAGTTGGGTGGCCAAGTTAACTTAATACCTCGAACACACCCCGGTAGTGACTTTATTTTTGCAAAAATAAAGAAAAAAGAGATCAGCTTGAGTTTAATTGTTTTGTTGCGGTTTCAATTAAAATTGACTCGTGTGTGCAACTCAAACTGGCCCCGCCCCAATCAAGCTTAAGTGCTAAATGGAAGCCGGTGTTCTGTGGCCAGGATATTAACTTTCACAAGCCATTTGCTGAGGCCCAGAGCACACATCAAGCTAAATAGCAAGTGGCACAAGATGAACAGGAGGGATATAAGGATAAATGGGTTTAATGAAAATGAAGGAAGCTAAGGCATCCTATAAATATGAATATTTATATAACTATTTAAAGACTAACTTTATTATTTAACCTACTTTTTTCTTAGAGGTCGTGGTAATTCCATCTCCACTTCAGACAGCTTACCGCAAGCAGCTAATTTTCTAGTGCATTTGTCGACAACAAAAAAAAGCTCACACTGTCACAAAAAGCCAATAAAACCATGGCAGCAGTTGGAAAATGTTAAGCTGTGAATAATGCCCTCTCCATGGCAGCTTTTAAAATTGTCAACAATTTAATTAATCAACTTGAGGGTGCTGGCCACCAAGGCGTCTGATGTTTGTGTGGGGCTCTGATGAATGGCTCCAAGGAGCAGGCGTTGATGCGGGAATGGTGGCCAGGTTAGGGGAACAGAACCCTCCACATAAATGGGATTTAAACCATAAACATAAAATATTTATAATTAAAATATTTTATATATATTTTTTAAGGCTTTAAAATTCCTATAAAATATTAAACCCCTCAAGCTCTCAATGTCCTCGATTGCCAATGAAAATGGTTAATTTTTTAATGTCCCCAGGGCAGCCATGGAATGCCGGAAACGAGAGCAGGAAAAGGAACAGGACCAGCGCCAGGTGACAGCTAGACAGGAAGAAGGCCAGTATAAATATGTGCGCCATTTCATTAGCTGCTAATTAATTTAGCCCGCACCCATACTCCCCACAATCCACACCTTACAGAGGAGGTGGAGGTGGTGCAGGAAATGCAGTTTGGATTTTCAATTAAGTGAGAGGAAGTGGGCGACGCTTGGATGGTGGGACGAGCAATTCCCTGGTTGTACCAGTGGCAAAATATTACACAGTGTTAAGAGCGATGACAGGTGCAGAGGCCCGAAGCACCTGGGCGATGTTCGTAGGTAAAAACTACGAGCGAGGGAGCTGTGAAAGATGTCAACGGCAGGGCAAAGGTAGCGAGGCTGCCACATCCCACAAAAAGGTTAAACATAATTCACAGAAAAATATGCGAATGTGCGGAATTTAAGATTAAATCCCATGCATTCTCATACATTTAGAATGGTTGTTTCTTCCTAGATCCCCCTGCCCCAGTGTTTATGCGTTTAACCCACTTTTGAATCATGTGAAGTGAAAGCATATTTGAATTAAATTAATTATTAAAGTTATATTTAAGTGTACAATAAAGCCAAGTATAATAAAAGTAGAAAATAATCTTACCCAAAGCTTTAATTTAAATATTTCCATTAATATAAAATATATTTTGTTTGCAGAAAATTAAAAAAACTGTCAGAAATTGTGTTGAAATCCTTGCTTGTTCGGCTTCCAAGTGATTTCCCGTTGATCCTCACAGCTCCATGGTGTTTAGTGTGGCAGAAAACACTCTCCACTGGCTTCCCCCATTGCCATGTCGAGGCAGTTGTTGGTCCAATAATGTTTGTTATTTGCATATGTACATCGCCTTTTGTTTCCCTCGTCAGCACAACGATGCCATAAAAATAAAAAAACAAACATACTGTGTTCCCTGTTGTAAGTTTTCCTGGTGGCCTGGCTTTTGCTTAAAATATTTATAGAAAATGGCGACAATTTGCGCCAAACAATTGCAGTTCAGAGCAAAGTCAAGCTACCTTTGGCTCCACGCACTTTACATTGCATATTTATGGTCTTTGTTTGCCTTGGTTTCTGACATTCCGCCCCGTTTGACACAAACAACGGAGAAGTGGAATAACATTTTATCCATAGGTCAAACTTCATCATGATCCTCCTCCTCCTCCTACATGGTGCATTAAGATTGGATATTGGGTAGTGGCCCTGGGCTACATTTATGGTTGGATAAACAGAACTGTGAAAAACACTCCCTAGCACCCACACACACCAGGCACCCCACACACCCCACAAGGTGTGGCCAAGAAAAATCTACCCCCTGGTCGAAAAATCTCTTCTTGGTCCCCCGAAAAATACATAATTGTTTCCATGGGAGAGATTGTGTCTATCACCGGGTTTCCCTCAGTATTTTCTCGTACTCTTCTCGCACTCCCAATCAGGTGAGCCAACCCTTGGATGGCTGAAACTGTCCCCTGTGGGTAGCTTTGGGTAAATGTTAGACACAAAGCCCAAAAGGCCGAGGGTAGCAGCATTCCGAAAATTTAATAAGACAGGAGATCAGTTGTTGTAAATTTTTCGCCAGCTATTTCCCCTTACAATTTCTCGGCTCTGTTTTTTTTTCTTTTATGGCAATTGGGGGAGCAATAGATATCTTTTTGCAAATCTGTATCTTATGGGGGTTGATACGGCAAGCACTTACCCTGTGCAAGACCTTCGACCATAGCCTCAAACTACAAATGTCTTAATGGAGATGGCAAGATATTTGATGGGAAATGATGAGACAGTTTCGGGTTACAGGGGAAGAAATTAGGGAGTGTTGGCATCAAAAGGATATTATATTTGTCAAATATTTTATTTTATTAATGGGGGATGTTGCAGCAAAAGGAATAATAAATGAAGAAATTCCTAAAATCTTAAATCTTAGTCCTTAAAATTAGTAAGATTCTCCAGTATAAATTGTCAATAAATTCGTTTCTCTGTGTAAAAGCCACTGCATATAAAATGTAATTTAACTTTGCTTTATTGATTTACCGCTCTCGTGATTAACGATTCAGTTGCATGCGTAAAATGTCTTAAATGAATGCGGCAATATAATTGTATGCAGTTCCATGGTATGCACACGCACATAGCCCACCCCAATCCACTCCACATTTTATTGTTCAAAATTAATTGAAAAAGGAAATAATTTCGATATTAAATTATGCGGCAAAGCGTGGCTGTGAAATATTAATGACACTGACAGCAGCAGCAGCAGGACGCATCCATTTGGCGACAAATGTGTTTTGTTTTAATTGATGCCACACTCAATGGTCTCCGATCGGTGAGAATCATTCAACAATTATTTACAATATATATTTTTAACAATACATATTCGTATTCCAAACGAATTGACAATTTCTGTCGCATTACAATTCATGGGAAAACGATCAAAGGTGGCTTAAATCGGTCAGCAATGTCCTTAAATCTGACTGCCAAGCCGAGTCCTCTCTAGGACTTTTTGGAGTGATGGCCACCGAGTGGCCACTTGTCTCGAAAAGTTGTTGAACGAAACCCAAGAGCTGGCTCAGCTGGCAGTCGAGTAAACAAACGACATCCGAATCCCACAGCTCCTCCTCTTTTATTTTCACAAAAATGTACGTCTGTAATATATGGCAGTGTGGAATTTGACGAATCACTTTCAGGGCAGCTGCAC